CGACATCCTCTAAAGAATACACAGAGTAGCTAGCTTCACCACCATCCAACATGATACTTTAGTGGAAGAATGGTCTAAAACTTGGATGCTAAATCTCCCCAACAGCAACTCCAAACATTTTTCCATTGGTAAATTCTCCGTAGATTTAAAAAAACAATAATAGCATTCTTCCATTCGTTTCCCAAGAAGAGACCTTGGTGCAAAGCCTTCATCATCTGCATAGAAGAAATTCAAAAGCATTTCACTAAAATTGCTTTGATCAAAATCAATAGCTCAGCCAACGCATTAGCTTAATATTAGCTGAACACTAGAGGGTTTTTCTTGTAGAAATTCGTAGAAAATAACGTGTCGCAGATGTCCAAGTGGCAGATTAACAGCAAAAGTTGCCAAAATTTCGAAATAGCAAAAAGTAAGGAAGCCCGGTTTCATTGTTTTTGGAAAAGTGTTCTTGACTTTATCAGTTTTCACACAACAGCCCTCATCTCCGTTTTATTTATGAGTTTAGGCATCAATCGGAAAAATAGCGACTTTTCATACTCATCGACCCAATGGATACTTTTGTTTTTTAGAAAATCACCCAAATAAAGCCGATAGGTTTTTGTGTGAAAAGGGAATGGGAGGAGGGGAATGGGATGGAAAACAGGAAAAGGATTCACCAAGCACGGGACCACCCATCACGTTTCTTTTTTGCCAATTTTCCCGAAAATTGATAGAATTCCCCGTAAATCCTCTATTAAAATAGTAAAAAAATATAAGGACTTCAAAAATTGCACAAAATAATCTTTTCAGTTTGATTTGAACACATTAACTAACTTTAAATGCAAACTACTGTAGATAGTGCTGATTAACCCATTCGAAACTTCTGCAGCGAATAATCGCTGCAACAAAAACTCAGGAACGGACCGCTGCAGCGATTATTCGCTGCAGCGCTAATTGAGCTATTTTCATTCAATTAATTGCTTTTTTTTGCTTTTTTCAGCATTACATGTATATTCCAATTGTAGCAGATCTACAAATTACGTGGGCAAAAAAGATGTTTCATATTTACCCGGAATCAATGCAGCCTCTGGTTTTGCATTGAAATGTTCCATAATAGTTCTAATCTTATAAAGCCGATCTCCTGCAGGATCCAGCTCATTATCACAAAAACGCAGGTTGCGAAGAATAGGTTCAAATTTTGCTCTTGACATAATGTGGGACATGTGGGAAAATCCTCCTAATCCAGGCCTGCTACTCCAGTAGTCACAAATCCTCGGTAATTTGACGATTCCCATTTGAAGCCAGGAAGAGCTTGAAAGATTTTGCATCGAAATCCTGCCAGTTTGTTTTCCTTTTTCCATGTTGATTAGATTCGCCTTCTAAAATATTGTCGTCGATAAAATAAGAATAATAATCGATAGGATCTTGAAAAGTACTGAAGTCAAATCCAAATCGTTCTTCATCAAAAATAAATAGGGCAGGAGACTCTCTTACATCTTTCCAACCATAAATAAACTGCTTCGGAGTCAAAAATGTCAAAAAAGGGCTTGGTCCGTAGACGAAAAAAAAGAAAAAACGCTGCGGTTTCGAATGGGTTAAAATATCAATTTATTGCATTATCGGATTTTAAAATGTATGTATCAAAAATCCGAATAAATAGCGTGAAATGTTTATTGGAATGGACTGAGATTTCATGATCGAGCACTCCCTTTTAGCCTATCTTTCATGGGCAGAACTAGGTAAAGAAATTGTTTAGAGACACTTTGTTTAGAAACACTTTCACTCGACCTTAACCAAGAGTTCAGTCTAACCAGAGTGAGAAATTAGCGTAAAGTCACGAGAACGAAAAGTTGTTGAAATTTGGAGTGTCTGATCGCGGATAATGGCTTCCTCATGGATATTTGAATGAGTCATCCGAAAGAGAGGCCAAAGTTTCCTCTTTATTGCAACTGGTCATTGACTTCTCAAAAAAAAACCAATAAAAGGAATGGCAACAGAAGTTTCATTGTTACTTTGAATTTGCAAAATTTGCAACTGATTTTTGGGATTTTATACAGTGAAAGTCAATTGGAAAACAAAATTTTAAGAAGGTGAACTCGAGGAAATGTGAACTTGAAAGAGAAATTGAAGAAATTGATGATGTAATGTGATGCTTAAATTTGTGTCTAATTTCATACGAATGGACAAAGAGCTTGCGAGAGATTGAAGTTGTTTTTCCTTGATTTCACTCACAGTTTCCAAATCGAACAAAGCGATGATTCCAACATTTGAACAAATTTTGCAATTTCTGAAAGAAATGAGCGAAAGGAAGCATTCGAAAAAGAGATCAAAATGGAGATATCAAAAGATTGAAAGTAAAATGAGAAGAAACAAGAAGAAGCACTTCTCATTTCCAGCTCGTTTTTACAGCTTTTAATTGAAACTTTAACTTTTAATTTAATTTTTTAAACTTTTTAATTTAATTTAATTTAAATTAAACGTTTTAATATAATTTTTACATAAGAATTTTTGTCTTTTGTTTAGAAAATCACCCGAGTAAAACTATGATTTGACTGTGTGATGACTATGGGTTTTTGTGCAAAAAGGGAATGGGAGGAGGGGAATGGGATGGAAAAGAGGAAAACGATTCACCAAGCACGGGACCACCCATCACGTTTTCGACAATTTTCCCTGAAAATTGAGAGAATTCCTCAAGAAAATTTCTAGTTGAACTAAAAATGAACTAAACTTGCCAAAATTTCGAAATAACAGAAAGTGAGGCTGAGCTTAATAGCTCAGCCAACGCATTAGCTTAATATATTAGCTGAACACTAGAGGGTTTTTCTTGTAGAAATCCGTAGAAAATAACGTGTCGCAGACGTTCAATTGGCAGATTAACAGCAAAATTTGCCAAAATTTCACACCAAAAGTTGCCAAAATTTCGAAATAACAAAAAGTGAGGATCCCCGGTTTCATTGTTTCTGGAAAAGTGCTCTTGACTTTATCATTTTCGCAGAACAGCCCTCACTTCCGTTTTGTTTATGAGTTTAGGGATCAATTGAAAGAATTGCGACTTTTCATACCCATCGACCCAATGGATACTTTTGTTTTTTAGAAAGTCACCCAAATAAAACCGATAGGTTGTTGTGTGAAAAAGGGAATGGGAGGAGGGGAATGGGAGGGGAAACAGAAAAAGGATTCACCAAGCACGGGACCACCCACAGCCTTTTAGAACAGCTGAAAACTAGAGGCTTGTCCTTGTAGAAATTCGTAGAAAATAACGTGTCGCAGATGTCCAGGTGGCAGATTATCAGCAAAATTTGCCAAAATTTCGAAATAACAAAAAGTGAGGAAGCCCAGTTTCATTGTTTTTGGAAAAGTGCTCTTGACTTTATCAGTTTTCGCACAACAGCCCTCACTTCCGTTTTGTTTACAAGTTTAGAAAACAATCAAAAAAAATAGCGACTTTTCATACCCATCGACCCAATATAAATAACTTTGAGCTCGACTTTAAATCGTTGAATTACTTGATTTGGTTCTATGTTGATGATGCTAAATTGACCTTCGACATCCCTCTAAAGAATACACAGAGTAGCTAGCTTCACCACCATCCAACATGATACTTTAGTGGAAGAATGGTCTAAAACTTGGATGCTAAATCTCCCCAACAGCAACTCCAAACATTTTTCCATTGGTAAATTCTCCGTAGATTTAAAAAAAACAATAACAGCATTCTTCCATTTGTTCCCCAAGAAGAGACCTTGGTGCAAGGCCCTCATCACCTGGGATAGAAGAAATTCAAAAGCATTTCACTAAAATTGCTTTGATCAAAATCAATTTTGAAAAATATTTCACACTTTTTATTATTGAAAAGAAATTGAGAAAATTGAAAGAAGCTGTGTATTGTGCTTTCAGGAACAAGTGGCAGTATAAGCTTTTGTTTTTAGAAAACACCAGATAACTTCTTTATTCAGCCATGTGATGTGGGAAGTTGTTTCCCGTGGCTCTTTGGTTTGCACTCTTTTGTGGACACTGTTTTGTTAATGGCTGAATAAAGAAGTTATCTGGTGTTTTCTAAAAACAAAAGCTTATAGACGACAAATGTGTCGTCTATAAGCTCACCTGTTTCCATGAGACATTCGCCAAGTACAATGAATATATGCCTATTTTGAAATTGTGATCACGATGATGTCTATCCTTTTTATTGACACAATCTATCGGGTGGTTTTCTCGGGTGGCATTGAAACGATTGTTTCATAAAGGGAGTATTCAAGTTTGTGAGATTTGGATGAAAGTATTTTGATACTTGTGAATTTATATAAAATTACCTTTTTCTTTCTTTGTTAAAAAAGACGAAAAATTCAAATAAAAACGTTATGCAAATTGGTTGGAATTTATAAAAAACAGCAAAGTTATGTAATTTTCTATTTAATCTCTTTGTTTACGACGCTTGAATACAAAGTTTGATTATAAGCACTCAAGTATATAAATAAATAAAATAGACCAACATAAGTAAAGCTTGATTTGATATTTATGGGGGGGGGAAAATTTTCTTTTTTTGTTTTTTTTTTTTTTTTTTTTTTGGGAGGGGGTAAAATTTTATTTTTAAAAGGGTGGTTTTGTTGGGTATTTTTTTAAAAATTTTCCTGGGGAAAGAGGGGGAGGGGGGGAAAAAAAGGGGGGGGGGGGGGGGTTTTGGGTTTTTTTTTTTTTTTTTTGGGGGGTGGGGGGGGGGGGGGGGATTTTTTAGGAATTTTTTTTAATTAAAAATAATTAATTAAAATTTTTTTTTGGGGTTATTTTTTTTAAAAAAAAAGGGAAAAAAAGAAAACGTCTTTGATACTAAAATTTTTCCTAAAGAATTTTTGCCTTCGAATATTGAGAGTTTTCTTTGTTATTTTCATTGTAAACAAAAAAAATTATCAAAAATACGCGTTTCAAAAACACTCAAACAATGATAATCATTTAAATAACGTATGAAATCTTGCAAGCAATGTCGGAATTAAATCTCTGCATACCAAACATACAAAAGCACTCATTTAATCTTCATTTACACAAAGTGGGCCTTGATTTTTCGTAAAATCTGGTGGAAAGATTCGCATGATTTTCCCATCTGAGACAATTATTTCGCCGAATCGTTCTTCGCGTTTTTGCTCTGCTCTCCGTAGCTCACTGAAAACTAGAGTATAAATATAAATGATTAAATACCAAAAGAGTGTTTTTAGGTTAAAGGTATCCAAAGATATTAAACTTTTTGACAACAAAAAAACACAAACCGGCAAATGAAAGCGAGCCGTTGTCGCTCCTCGTATTTCTCTTTTCCTTCTCCTTTCGGCAAAAAGAAAAGAACACAAAAGAAAAACAAAAGTACCAGAGTGAACCAGATGAGCTGCCCATGCCACTCTTTTTTAAAGCCCATCTAAAGAAAAAAGTTCATTGTTTAGCAGAAAAGTGCTTCGGATGAAAAAAGCTTTTGAAAAAGTTTTTGTGGCTTATCAAAATGTCAACTATAACTTTCTACTTGATCAACCACAAAAGCTATGCCCCAAAAAATGAACAAACAAAAACTCACATCAGTCCACTTGATAAGAGAGCGGCGAAAACCAAAGGATTGAACTGGTTGAGGCCGTGGTGGAGCGTTCTCTCGATAGATAGGCCATGTCTCGTCGTGGAGACGACGTGGTGATCGAGACGACGTGGCGATTGCATTCTGCTGAAAACTATTGAAAAAGGCAATGAAGATTGTGTAAACCTGTGTGTGAATGGGTATTTTCGCTGGATTAGCTGGTGGAGAGATGAGAATTGAGATCGATTCGTTCAGATTATTTTCCCTTGTATAGTATGAAGATGGATCTATGCACGAGTTTTCGATTACCTAAAACTTTGACTTAAACTTTGACTTAAACTCGATCCAACCTTCAAGTTTGTTATAGACTTCAAGATTTTCAACTCGCGACATTCAGCTTTTTAAAAGCTCACCAAATTTCCGCTCGTAGAGGAATAAGAAGGAGGTGTTTCTTCATTTTGAATCCCTCTTGTCACATTCGATTCCCACAAATCACTCACACATTCCGTATAAGTTGGAGGTGGGGAGGAATAACAAGCTCTTGATGAGTCCAGATTCGAGTTTTTTTTTGTTGTTGATTGGAAATTGCCTTAAAGGCGTAGAATCAGAAAAAAAATATCAATAAGGAAATCAAAAAGAAAACGAATGTATTTGCAACTCTTAGAACTCTTAGAAAAATTGATTAGAAGTTGAAAACTTTGTAAAACAAACAACAACAAATAACAACAAACGACTAACTCAAATGAAAAGCACACTGGTCATTTTCTTGAAAAAATTAAAGAAAGAGTAGTGGGAAAAGAAAAAAACGACCACGTGAATCGATTTGGCCTCAAGGGAAAGGGAAACGAAAAGCGGGGAAACGAGATGACGCATTTAGCCCAAAGCTCGAGTATTTTTAGAAACACTAAAGCTTTTTAAAGGTTTCCATGCCGTGACTCAGCGTGTTCTTACGATTACTGATTGATAGTTTATACTACGAGCTCTATGCAACAACAAAAAATTTCTCCCGAAAACCTGCAAGAATAATTTAGCCTCTTGCTACAGTTAGAAACGTTTTTGCATCAACAATACTTTTATTAAACTTTTGCTTTCATCAAAAAAAAACAATTTTTTCAATTCTTGTGATTGCCACTGAACTATTGAACAACAAAATAGTAAAATACAGACGGCCACTTGATCACCCGTTCACTGGAATCAACTTAATTACTTTTTTCTTTCTTTCTCTTCATAGGAAATTCCCCGGAAGAGTTTTCGGTCAGTGATTTCATCGAAAATTTCATCATTTTATTGAAAGCGCGGCAAACGAAAGATGTACCAGTAGATTGATCACAACTAGATAATGAAAAATGAGCCTTATCAGTGCTCAGCGGATATATAAACCCCATCACTTAGAGTTCAAAAAAACAAGCCATTTTTCAACGCGAAATTCAGCCAAAAACTTCAACAATGAAAATCATTGTTTGCTTGCTTTTCGTGGTTTTGGCTGATGTGGAGTTGGTGTGTGATTATAAGACATGTGGAGAGGAAGGTGATGATATAAGACAAAACAACAAAAAATAAAACAGCTACAGGCAGAAAAAGTTAAGGAAAAATTGAGCTATCCATTCATTGAAAAAGCTTTCTTTTAAAAATATTATTCTTCATCAAAAAGAAATAGAAAATGCACTTCCAGTGTTGATGGGCTTAATTATGCCTCAATTGAGCGAAAAAGCGGCAAATGGCAAAGCGTTCATCCTCGGTTTGCTCGATCTCTGGCGGAGGTGAGCGAGATCAATGATCATAGTGATTATGATTGTCTCTTAATAGATATTGACGACAACCACCTCAACTGAATAATCGCTGACCACGACGGGTTATTCAGGTAATCCCAACGCGATACTTATGAATCTTACGCCATTTACTTTACATTAAACAAAACAACTTTTAAGTGCTCCCGGAGCACCTCAAACAACCCTTCTAAAACGAGATTCACTTCACAAGGATCCACCTGCCAATAGTTATTCTCAGCACTTCTAGTGTTGGTGTTTGGAATCAGCGAATAAAATTACCCCCCAGAAATGGGTTCACTTTTTGATCTGAAGTGAGCGGCGTAAGATCTACAAGTAAGGGTACTTTCGAAAAAATTATTTTCTAAGTCCTTTCTTAGTCTTTGTCTTGATGAACGCTGGACCCTTTCGAACGTAACCGGATTTTGTTACCATTTGGAGGTTTCACGCATTTTTACCACACCCAACCATTCCATTTTAGAACATTGGTAACGATACAATCTCAATCTCAGCGATACAATCCTTGGCTATCGCTGGAACTTTTACACTTGGGCGTCAGCCAAATATTATTGGCGTTTGATGAGCTTAAAAGATGAACATTTGGCGTCAATTTACTGAAAAGAGGAGCAAGATTTTCTCTATTGTAAGCAGTTATCCAGCCCATGCTAGTTTTGTCTTAAAAAATTCTAAAGAAGAAGAGTACCATCAAACATTGAGTACCATCCACTAACAGAAAAAAGTCATGCACCCTACCAAAATCCCAAAATTTCCAAAATTATCTACAAACCCTCTTGTTGCAGAGCTGGTCGCCTCAAATGTGGCCGAACAGTTATGCCTGGAGTGACCCGTGTTTCTATCAATCGGCCTGGATTGGCTATTTTTTGAATGGCTCAACTGGACAGATGGGACAACGGTCGACTACTTCGGGAATTTATTCGTCGATTGGACCTCCGCATCGGTGGATCAAGTTTACGCTTGGAAGATAGGGTTTCTTCGAGAAAAACCCACCATGACATTGACTTACACAGACTGAGAACGATGCCTCGTGCAAGTATGTTCCAAACTGGTGACTAAACGATCCAATCCAAGTCAACGCCCGTTTTGTCTGCCAAGGCCATACAAAGTCGGCTCAATCGACAAGAAAGAATACGAATCGCTCACACGCCAACAAAAAGCAGCCGAAAAATTTATTTTTCCCAAAAGTCTCTTGTTTGAATAGCTCTCAAAAGTTTTTTTGCTGTCTTGTAGTGCTTTAACAACCAAAGAGACACAACCTCAAACTTTTCTTGAAGGACATTTCGGGAAAAAACCCAAAAACCAAAACCATTTGGTTCATTTGAATTAGATAAAAAAAGACTTGTGAATAAAGCTTTTTACCCTGAGGCATTGATACTTTAAGATTGGAAAAAAATTGAAGGAAAGATCAATCAGTTTTTCGATTTCAGCGTTAATCCTATTGCTATTTTTCAGCTGTACTACGCTAATTCTTAAAAAATTTGCTCCATTTCCCCATTAGCAGTACCCAGAAATGGCAAAGATCCAGTGAAGATCAAGGATCCAGTACATGCGCCTTCATCACAATGTCATCACATCCTTCATTCACGAAACTACAATCCGAATTGCAATATTTTTTTTCTCCTATACGTTTTATTTACTCAAAAAGTGATTTACATCTAAAGCCAGTCAAACTTCGTTAACAGGCTCTTGAAGAGGAGGCAAAAAACCCCTACCCCCCAAAACCCAAAAAAGGTATAAAGCAAGTCAAATAAGGATACTTTTATCAAAAGGGTCCTCGAAAATAATTCTGTGAAAAAGATTAGTTTATTATCGAAATGTTTGCTAACAAGTTTTGATTGTTAGCCACCGATAAAAGGATAAAAAAACAAAATCTCTTCAACTCTACAAAGTTGCCGTCAAGTTGATGTCAAATAGCTGAAAAGAATAGCTAGAAAGAGTAAAGTTGAAAGTTTCATTTTTTAATGAATACGTTAGATTCTTTTTTTTTTATTTTGTGACAATTTAAATAGACTTTTTCATACTTTCAGACATTTATTGTGTCGTTTAGTGAATCAAAAGTCAACATAAATGCTCTATTTCATTTTTCTCGTGATGAACTGATGACTTTGAAAGTTTTTTTGAAAAAGTGTAGATGTAACAACAAGAATCAACATCTACAGGATTGATAGACTTGTAACAGACCAGAATTGATTTGACTAGTTAAATCTAAATCTAAATCCTCTCAAAACTACTTAATTTTGAATTTTTCAAGCCCGAAAAAATCTCTGTTTGTGTGAATCTCTTTGCGAACAAATGGAAAGAGCTCATTGGGAAGAGCTCGCTCACATTTTTCGAGAGAATGAAATGGAAAGATGAAAAAGGGGATGATGCTTGCAATATTGCTTTTTCTTCGGCAATGGCCTCGATGGGCCAAGACGAGGGCCAAGACGAGGGCTAAGACGAGGGTCCTCCTCTACTTTGTCATAAGGGTAATCCCCATCCACCTCAAACCTCTTCCTCAACTCTTCTTCTAAAAAGAAACATTGATTGTCAAAGAAGCTTCCGAATCCCTTCAAAATTCTCATCTTCCAGACATCATTCTACTTTCTTTTTACGTCTCTGCATTATTCCTAGACATTTTTCTAGTTTTTTTTCAACTATGACCTCAAAAAAGATACAGGTGTTGTGTAAATGATTAGTACTTTGAATTCCCGGCTTTCAGGATTGGACTAATAAGAATTTGTTTACTGGATCAGTCGATTCATGGAATGATGAATACAGTCATCCTTTTCCTAACACAGGTCAGCAATTTCGTTGTTGAGAAAGAAGCTTTGAAATCTAGCTCCAAGTCATGGCGGTCAACAAGAAGAACATGGTCTTACTGAAAGAAATGGGTTGGTTTTGAAGGAAAAAAGAGTTGAAATGGAGAGGGGTTTAGCTCATTCGGATATGGAAGTACAGAGGGTGCAGAGCCTTCAGAGAAGATGGTCAATGATCATCAAGAAGTCGACCCGCATGCAAGCAGTGAACCTATCACATCATTACAGGTTTCTAACAGAGAACTTTGGCTGATTCAATAAGTTTTAGGCAGCTTGGAACGTGACGAATGCGATTCAGGGAATGTTTATTGTCGGATTGCCAATTGCTGTGAAGGTGTTGGATATAAAAATGTAAAGTTACAAAGAAAATTTGATTAGGTTGGCGGTTGGTGGAGTGTTGGAGCGATGGTTTTCGTTGCTTGGATTTGCTATTGGACGGGCATTCTACTTGTCGAGTGTCTTTATGATAAAGAGATAAAAATTCGGCACAGCTATCGAGAAGTTTTATTGATTTTTTTTTTAAACAAATTTCTAACTATGTAGGTGGCCGAGGCTTATCGTCCTGGCTTCGGGAAAATCGTTTTGGCAGCACAGGTACGAATGTAATAGGATAAAGGACGAATATAACTTTTATCTAGATGACCGAGTTGCTCTCAACTTGTATTATTTATCTCGTAATGGCGGCTGATTTGATGCAAGCTTGTTTTCCGAGTATTGGTTGGTTTCAAAGTCTCGATAATGGAGTTAATGGAGTTCAAAGTTTATTAAAAGCACAGATAAGCCAGCCTGGATGATGTTGGTTTCATCAATTCTTCTCGGATGTGCTCTCCTTGAGTCGCTTGTCGTCGTTTCACAGGTTTCTCGTTCCACAGGATTTTTTTTCTTTGACGTGAAAAGGTTATTTTCAGTTATCCCTAGCCAATGCAGTTTCTCATTTGATCATCAATGCAATCATGGTTATCTATTGTCTTTCACAGGTAACTTCTTGCGAATCTAGTACTCTAATGATAGCTTTTCTTTCAAAGTCATAATAATTTTGTCTTATAAATGATTTATAGATAAGCTCATGGGTATGGGCTGATGTGCGTCTGCTTCCATCGATCGATACCTTTCCAACAATGATCGGTGTGGTCGTTTTCGGCTACACGTCACACATTTTCCTACCAGCGCTTGAGGGAAATATGAAGGTGTGGAATAGATATGGGCCTTTTGTAGAAAACGATTCAGTCTCTTGCAAACAGCTCTTGTTTTCTAAAGCTTTGTAGCTTTGTTCTAAGCTTTGTAGTTTTGTTCTAAGCTTTGTAGCTTTGTTCCAAAGCTTTATAGCTTTGTTCTAAGCTTTGTAGCTTTGTTCTAAGCTTTGTAGCTTTGTTCTAAGCTTTGGAGCTTTGTTCTAAGCTTTTCTTGAGCTTTAGAAAGCAAGAGCTTTTTGCTAAAAAGGTGGAAGTAACTCGTTTTCTACAAAAAGCCCATTGTGGAAGAAAGATCTTTCTCTAACTTAAAGATTTCAGGAACCAAAAGAATTCAAGTGGATGCTTAAATGGTCGCATGTTGCTGCAGCGCTCTTTAAATCCATCTTTGGCCTCATGGGCTTTCTCACCTTCGGTCAATTAACTCAAGTTTATCCTTTGTTAGATCAAAAAGCAAACACAATTTTAGCAAGAGATTTCAAATTCTCTGCCAAATCAAGGATTCAAGATCTTGATTAATTTTGTGCTAGTTGTGAAGGTAAGGCTTAGGCTACAATAAAATTGAATCTATGCTGCAATAAAATTGAAATCCCAGGCTCTCCTCTCATATCCACTACCATTTTTCGCTGCTGTCCAATTGCTCAAAGACAACTTCTTTCGTGGTCGAAAGTTCACAATTTTTACGAGGTTTTTTGAAATGAAAATTTTCAATTTCTTTTTCATCTTCATAATTGACTTCTTTCAGTTGTTACTCGAAAGATCATTCACTCCGTGAGTGGGCTTTATTGTTGAGAATCGTGCTTGTTTTGTTCACTCTCTTCGTTGCACTTTCTGTGCCGTATCTCATCGAGTTGATGGGACTCATTGGGAATATTACAGGTACTAAATTAAAGCTAAAACTTTATTGAATGTAGAAAATTCTCAGGCACAATGCTTTCCTTTATATGGCCAGCTTTATTTCATCTCAAGCTGAAACAAGCAGGAATGGTGAACAGGTCAGAGCATTCAACATAGACCTGTTTAACGAGTCTGGGCAAAATTTTCAGACAGCCTGTCTCGCTCTTCGATTTTTTTACTGCTGAAAGCTCCTTCAAGCCTGAAACTCAGGATCCCCCGCAAGCTCTTATTCTAGGCTTCATTTTAATACTAAACATGGCTAGGTTCTGTTTTGCCATTCTTTAGATTTCGATCAATCTTTCGCCGGACTCGGTAAGCTTAACGAGTCCAGAAAAACTTTTATCTAAAATGATCGAAATCTAAAGAATGGCAAAACAGAACCTAGTCATGTTTAGTATCAAAATGAAGCCTAGAATAAGAGCTTGCGGGAGAACTGGGTTTCATGCTCGAAGGAGCTTTGGGGTAGTAAAAATCGAAGAGCAAGGCAGAGTGTCTGAAAATTATGCTCGAACTCGTTAAACAGGTCTAATTCAACATATCATTTTGAAAAGACTGATAATATATAAAATTTAGAGATCGAAAGTTTGATCAATTTGTGGTTGGACTTGGTTGTTTCATTTGTGTTACTGGCATCTATTACTCGGCCAAAGAACTTCTCTTAGCTGTTCAAAATGGAGATCAATAATCAATAAATGGAAATCTTTTTTTGCTTGATTTCTTACGTCTATTGATTAAAATTTAGTGAAATGCATAGTTATTTTTAGATTAAATTATTAATAAAGTTTTATTATCGACATAAAAAGGAATGTAAGAACCCTGACATTTCAAAAAAAAAAAGGAGAAAAAAGGAGAAAAAAGGAGAGAAAAGGTTGAATTGAAAACAAGTGAACCGGAGAAAAATGTAAAAAATGTAAAAAATTTTGAAGAAACTTTGAATTGAATTGAAGATTACTGTTTATTGAAGTACTTTCTCAGGTAAATGATTGTTTTTTGAGGTAACGAAGTTGAAGATGAAGTTGAATAGCGGTGAGAGAAGATACGAAAAACGCGGCCGTCACCGTGACACCCAAAGCGATGAGTGCACCCAGCACTCCGCCAGTCATACAGTGCAACTCTTCGCTTTCTTTTAGCACAACTGAAACAGTTTTTGATCTTGGCTTTAGCTTGACAAATCGAATTTGATCTTTTCCTGTACCTGATGCTCGTTTGTCTCTCTCGAACTCATCTTCCAACTCAATTTTCACGTTATCGAAAAGCCTGTGTCCAATTGCCGACGATCTCCTCGCTCGCCGAGTCGCATTTTTTGCACAAATTTCCTGAAATTGAATTTAAACTCTTGTTCAATCAAGCGATACAATCTTTATATTATTGTATTTGGGTTTTTCAAAAGAAAATACCGGTGCTCGATCTCGTGGAGTCAACTCGACCGAACATGAGAAATACACATCATCCGGGCCAGGGAATTTGAAAGCAGAGATGCCAAAAAAATAGGAAATCTGACTGGCCGAGTCTTTCTTTCGTTGCATTGAAGAGACAACTGCTGGCCGCGAGACACAGCTTGAAAAAAAAATTTTTATCTTCTAGAATTTTCCCCAGAACACTCACCCATATTTGTCGATGAGTTCAACTTTTGTTGTACCAGGTCCATCGGTGGCGAAACACGAATGCACAAACATATCGTAAACATTTGGATCTGTAAATGCGAGACTATCAATGAAAAAACAAAGTCTTCTCAACTTCTTGTAACCAAAACATAGCTACATAGCTTCTTTAAGCCAATTTCAGGATCAACATAACCAGCTAACCAGCAGTAGCCAGCTACATAGCTTCTAGTAGACAACTTCAGTATTAAAATAACCAGCTAACTAGCAGTAACCAGTTACGTAGCTTCTTGTAGATTTCAAACGTCTTAGCTTTACCGATACCTGAGCTCATTGACTTTGAGCGCACAACGAGCGTTATATTCTCTCCGATTTTCACTGGTCTGCCGACAGTTGGCGCATTTGGACCATTTCCTAGTTGGATTTCAAGAAAAACCTAAAATTGGATGTTGTAAAATGAGCAAATTTATTGACCTCTTGTTTGACTGTTTCTTGTTTTTGCGTCGCAATCATACGATCCACATTTAGCTGAACATTTGGTTTTAAGTCAAAGAAATTCTTTTCCGACTCACGCTTCCATCCTGGGATTCGGGGAGATCATTGGTGAAAGAGAGATGTGGGTTTTGTGGGGGCTCACGAATTCCTTGGTATCCATCAACACTCGCGCTAACCTCAGGCTAGATTTTGTTAATGTTTAGACAAACTTTTTGCTTGAACTTACAGGAGGGGTTGCATAAACTGTAGGATTGAGATACGATGGATGAGGAAGTACAAACGGATGAATGGGAGGCGCCCGTCGCACCTCAGCGTTTACTGGTGGGCCTCTGGAAGGCGATTATGAAACGAATTCCACAAGCTATTATCAAACTTTACTACCTTGTAGTAAATATAGGTCTTGCCAATTGGATATATTCTGAAGTCTGTTTGACTGGTGGTAGAGGATAGCCACGACCAAGTGGATCATCTGAATTTCAATATTCTACGACTTTTCCAAGAGATAATCAAAATTTCAAAAAAATCAAAACTTTGCACTTTATCTGTTGGTGCTAAACAAAAAATTGCAGCTCGTTTTCAATTCTTTATCTTCTTGTATCGATTTTCAAAACTCAACCAATCGATAAAGCTGTTTTTGGCATCACTTCACCGGCTAAGGCTGACGGTACAGTTACATCAGACCAAGGCTTTGCTTCAATCTAGATTTCAACAAAATAGCTTAACACGTTGACGACAATGGCGTTTTTGCACAAACAATCGCATGGGACAACGTTGTTTTTTTTCGACAAAGAATGTCACCTGCCATCAGGTGACAATGTCCCAGGCGAACGAATATGTGTCAGACAGCATCAGGTGACAATGTCGTCAACGTGTTAATCATTTTGTTTTAAAACATACTTTCTCTGTAGATCCTTTCCATGCAGGCTCAAGTCCAACTCCAACAAGTGGATTGAATTGAATCCCCTCGCTTGTCTGTTGTTCTCGAAGGGCTTGCAGTGCATCGACTCCACTCACCCTAATTCAAATGTTAATGAAGTTTAAATGAAGATTTTACTTCTCGCGAGAAGCCAATGTTTTCCGAATAGCATCAATCCCGGAAATCGAGTTAGCCATGGTAAAAGCATCTTGAGAAATACCTGAAACTTTTAGCTTTTAGCTCACGTAAATCACTGACCCAACAACTGTCTCTCTTTTTCCGCAAAACTATGACCATCAATCGAATTGTATTGAACAGAATATGCACTTCCATCTGGAGTCGATTTTGATACTAAAAATCGTTTACCTTTCTTGTCTTTTTTTCAATTTCACCAGTAGATGGGACAAGTGGTTGAGGAGCGAGGAGTTTCGGCATACTCGATCTCTGTGGCACTCCCGGATTGTACTCAATTGAGCCAGGTATTGGCCAATTACCAAAAGCCGCTGAAGATGTGGAGACAGCTGATACAGTTGGCACTTGGTGGCCCATCTAAAATTCAAATACCATTTTTTGTCTCTTACGCAAACCTGAGCCAAAACCGGAGTGTCAAGAGGTAGAAGGTTTGTTTGAAAAGGAGGTGCGGCATATGCATCCATTGAACGAGCATGCTAAATTTATGTTATTTAAAAAAAATACATTTATTCACATGAATAATGTGGTACAAACAACACACAAGCAGAACCTCTAAGCGCTAAATCTAGGGAAGAAAAAAAACCAATAATCTAGCTGACGGAATTGAACCGTTGATGTCCCGACAAAGCTACATGGCTCTTAGCCAGCCAGTCTTAGCCAGGCTATGACGGCTATTATTCAAACTGTTCAAAAGTAATGCAAATTATATTGATAATGATTTGTCTCTAAAACCTGAACAGTTGGATGGATAGGTTCCGGGTTGTTTTCCGGGTTGTTTTGACTCGCGTAGGTATCCTTTGCTGGTAATGGGTATGAAACGGGATGACGACGAATTTCCAAGCCACGAATGAGATCACTAAAATTAATAGTATTGTTTTAAACAGTATTTGTTTATCACTTGGATGTTGGGGCAATTGGTTTCTCGACGGTGGCGAGTTGACAAACGAAAGAAAACTGTTTATCGGCAGCAGTTTGCGTGTCTTTATCCATTTGCACATAGACACGGTTTTCCATTTGATCGATCACCTAGAGGTTAAATTTTAGAAACAATTTACTGAACCTTGACTCCAGTTGATAACAATTTAGCTACACTCTTTGAAGAATGGCCAAAAAAACTCTCCGAGCCCTTCAGAAAGGATCTTTTTTTGTTGACCAATGACTTACCGTTAGGCGCTTTATCAGCCCTTTTTTTGACATTCATCCCCCATTATACAAATATGCATCTCAATCCTCTGGAAAGCAAATAAACCAATGTCTCTATTGTCTTAAAAGTCTCGTTTAACTAAATGCACAATTCTTTTTCTATTTCACAAAATCCTATAATCTATGGAAAATAGAGTCGAAAGTTCACAAATGTGGATCACCTTTAATTAGGGGTAGAGAATTGTTTGGGAAAGAGAGAGAGAGTGAAGCAATAGCCTTGACACGCAGCCTCATAGTGCCAGCTGCTAATTCAGTTTTCAATCCTCACAAATCCTAATTGCGCAAAGTGAGCAAAGTGCATTGAGATGAAATCAAATCCTATCAACTTGTTTTCCCCCGTAAAACCTTCATCGAAACATTTAAACCGCACACAAACGAACATTTCTGGTGGTTCTTGAAAGCTTTGTGCCACATCGATGCGCGGGAATTGAGAAAAGAACTGTGTCCATGTCCATTGTGTTGTAGTAGATGCATTCGTGCACATTCGCGTAGTCCAATGAATAGATCTTCCCATTGAAGGATCGATCGAAATCGAGTGAAGCGGTGATCCCCTCCGATGAGCACATCGCGTTCACCGCTTAACTCGCTCTTTGCTTTGGATAGCTTTTTTTCGAAAACCTTTAACTTTCGGTGGATCATAGCGATACTGAGCGCAAGCCACGCAGATCAGCCACAATATCCGCAAAATCATCTGACCCTCATTAGTAGCCCTCGTTTCTAGAAACCAATCATAGACAGCTAAAAGAAATGGGAAATTTGAAGCTAAAAGGAAATTTCAAAAAAATGAAAGAAGATTTTTCTTCTTAGGGAAGTTTTTCGATCGGAAATGGACCACGTCCCCAATTTGGTTGAAGAGAAGGCAAGAGGTACGAGTTGAAATGAAAAGTGGGTGGAGTTACTGTAAAGGAAAGGAAGAATGGACTGTCCACACGGTAAAAGAGAGCCAAAAAGGTAGGTAAAGGTAGGTCGAGGAATGGAGAAAGAAAGGAAATGAGGAAAAGGAGCAGATGGCATTTGGCTCTCCCACCTCGAGAGCAATAATGGACGAGTGACTCGATCTTCTTCGTTTCGTTCTTCTTCTCTCGGAAGTGCCCCCTCTCATGTCCACTAGTTGAAATCGAGCATGAGGTGCGGTGAGCAATCGAATTCTCTCCAAACACTTTTCTCCCTCAAATATTTGAGAAAAACTCAATAACAAAAATTGCGACTCTGAATGTTTCTGAGAAAAACTGCTCCCGTCTGACGAGTGTTACACAAAAAACGGAACAATAAAGCTACTGAATAAAGTCTATATCTCAAATTTGATCACTTTCTAACGTTCTACAAAGCATGTAGTACTCGGAGAAGTTATCTGCTTGACTCGTTTTCTATTTTGAGACCAAGTCAAAGCCAGGCACCTACTTTCCACGTAATTGTCCTAGGTAACCAACCGGAAATTAAAGTAATTATGGAAAAAGTTGTTCGTGAAGCTTTTTTCCCATAAAAAATTTCATTTTCCCAAAAGTCTTTAAAATTTGGATGTGGTTCCTCTTGGTACTTCTATCAGGTATGAAGTTTTTGACAACAAAACTCTTAATTACTGAAGGTTGTTCGGCTTTGAAATGTTGGCGCTGCGTGGGTCCTGATTGTGGAAACGTCAAAGGGCCATCGGCGCAACTCGTTGAGTGCCCAACTGGCTCACAATGCCAAGTTTGTTTTCAAAGGAGAAATCGTTTTTTTTTTTCATTTGGAACTCTTCCGCTTTCTAGGTCAATCAATTAGAGTTCTACGATATGCGCCTCAATCAGACACGCATCCAAATTCCGGTCCGAAGCTGCTCCTACGAAACAGGTTTTCTAAAATAAGTAGCTGGAATTTTGACCCAAAAATATTCCTAATCAAATTTCAATGGATAAAATTTCAAGTCGCGTGTATTTAGGGTGTGTGGCAAGTCTCGATGCATCACACTGTGAGATGATTCCGAATGAATTTGCAGGAATGGGATGTTCTCGCACCAAATGTTGTGTTGAGGACGGGTAGAGATAAAACAATTCACAATAAAAACTAGTTATGTTGAATTTTAGCTGCAACTCTGCTTCATCACTAACTGCTCTTCTACCCTCTTTATTTGTGGTGGGCATTCTCTTCGTGATTCATAGTCAAGCCTGATGCAATTAATGAAAAGTTTCTGTTTATTATTCTCATCAGACAATTTATTTTGGTACAAACACTATTAAATACACGAAACACTGAAACATATCCTTTGAAATTTCCCTAAACAATGAGGCAATGTTTTCCATTTCAAACCTAGGGAAATTCAACGTCAAATAGTAAATGCTTTACAACTCTACATAGATTTGAAGGAGCCACAACGCCTGAATGACCCAGGTAAGGCACTAAACAAGAATAATTTGCTCAACGGGAAAGAACATTGTTTGTGAGTCAAATGCTAAAACAAAAAAACGCACGCATAAAAAAGCATTAAAAAGTTACACAAAAATCAAATATCACAGAAGGTTAAAATAATAATAAAAAGTTCTATCAAACGCAAGGATCCACGCAATATTCAAAAAACCCTCCAAGCTCGTTCTATGGTTAGTTAAAAAAGCAATTATTATATAAAAAAAATAACTTTCATCACATGGATCATTAAAATAAATCCAAAAGGTCAACAGGCGCCAACGTGTTCGTAGTTTCTTTTCCAGGTAGAATGGACATCGACGCATTTTCTTTCACCTCGCTTGGCTTTTTACTTCCACTGGCCATCATAAACATGTCCTAAAGCTTTCATAGTTAATACCATTAGCACACATCTTTGCGCGTCAATTTTAGCAGCTCTAAAGTTCTTTTTTTGAAAAGTACACCTTGTCAATTCCATCAAAAGCCTTCATGGCTCGCGTTTGCTGTGGTGGGTTATTGAAGTTCTGCGTGTGCATCTAGAGTTGGGATAACAAAAAAAAACATAGAATACAAACCTGCATTGGTGGCCCGGTCGAACTTCTTTGTTGTTGCAAATTGTTTTGCGGCAGAGAACACATTGAAAGGGAAGACAACACATCAACCTGAATTAAAATTTATAGGACCAAAAAACACCCTTTCTAAAAATATTTATTTTCAGGCTGATAGTGTTTTAAAAAATACGTTTGGCATTGTGGACATTAACGAAGGTAGTTGTGCCACGTTTTGTTGTTTTGCTGCTATTTGAGAAGTGTCCGACAAGTTTCCAAATTGGCTGAGTCCATAGGCAGTCGCTGAAAATCCTCCAAGAGGCGGAGCCGTGAAGCTTTGTGCTAAAGAAGGAAAACTTTCACTACTTATTAATTATAAGCCCTACTTGGAGCAACACTAAATAGAGCCAAAATATCCGCATTTGACCTTTGCCCATCATTGATACTATTTGACACAGATGGAACCTTAATCAAAACTTTTGAAGAAACTTTCGTGAAACCTACGGAAGTTTCTTGCGTTGGCACAGAAGCGGATGCTGGAGCGGAAAAGACTCCAAACAAATCCGCCGCGCCCGAAAGATTACTCGGAGTTGAAATTGTTGGCATGTCCCCATCAAAGCTTGGGAGTAACGACGCAGTATTGGTATCAGCAGTCGAGTTAACAGCTGCTAAAAACTTTCAAGGCAAGCTTGTATTTTCATCCTTACCAAAATTAGCAAAGCCTTCAACGGGTTCTGATGACGCCGAAACAAATTCTCCAAAAGGATCATCGGGGCTTTGTGGAGCTAAAGCTGCAACTTAGAAATCCAAAGACCAAAAATATTTACTTGATACTTTCATCTGATCAAATTGATCAAACAAGTTTGGTTTGGCTGATGAATTAGGGGCAGGAGAATCATCAGGGGACGAGAAGTCAAGAAGGCTTTGTTGCTTCTAAATACATTGTTTACTTATTTACTAACTTACTTTTACAGTTAGTTTAAAACACAAGCTAGAACTCACTATAGGTTCAGACTGCTTAACAATAGACTGCCCATTTGAGGATACTGCAATACGGCGTGGCTCACGTGGAGGGGGAATTTTTCCATCCCGCGGATAATACCTAATTTTAACGATTGCAATGAAAATAATTTTTTTTTACTATTAGTTTAAATTAGGTATATAAGAACGGCTCACCTTTTTTGTTCGTACTTTGCTCGAATAAATTGTTCCATTTGCTGATCCGATGTTGCAGGACGACGAAATCCTTCCGGCAAACAGGCTTCGTACAATGTCTAAAATATCAATCTCAACTCATACGAGCAATAGTCTACTCTTAACTTGTATTAAGAATTTTGGAAATTACCCGAGCACGCTCGTTTCCCATTGATTCTAGCTGGTGAACTTGGTCAACAGACCATGAATCGAGATTGATGGATCTAACCTTAAGATGACGTTTTAGTAGCTTCCAAACTGAAGATCCTTACCTTTGAGATGTGCACTCCAAGATTGCGATGAAGACCCGCACATCTAATACAGATATAAACACCCAAATTCCAGGCGGCCCATCTGCATGCTAATGTTAATCATCGACATCTTAGAACCCACCGTGGAGATTTAGCTTGACAATCGGCACAGTACTTGTTTTCTTCCTCTTTAAGCAACTCCAAAAGGATCTAAACCACAAATACTTTAAACAAAAGACAAATGTTACCTTTTGCAATCTTTCTGATTCCTCTTTCTTGGGATCAGCTTTTTTTGAAATACCTTTATCTGAAAAAAAAATCCTCGTAAAACAAGCAAACGTAAATACCTTTTGAAAAAATTGTTGGATTGACATGGACAGGCCCGGACATTTTGATGAAGGAAGCTCTACAATAATGAAGACATTAAGCACTTTGCCGAGCTCCGAAGAAAATTCATTTTATTTATGCACGGTAATACGACGGCTTATTTTACCAAGCGGCGTTTAAATTAAGAATCAGAACAATCATTTATTTGCTAACACTAAAGAAACAAAAAAGCAGGTATAACGATCCAAAATTTCTTTCAACGTCCAGGCAAAAAATTTAGAACATTAGAACTAGCTTAACTTTGAGCATAAATAACACAGATCACTCGGATTGTACCCAATAAAAACGACTATTTAAAATTAATCAACTATTTCACGTATGGAATGTATTAAACAAAACAATAGTTGATTAAAAATTTGGGGTTTATTTTTCCTTTTTCGTATCAGCTTCGCGTTCCTTCTTGCGGAGTGCTGCTTTGCGGATGGCAAGTGATCCCTTGTCAATAACTTTGTCAAGAAGCCAGCCAGGAAGTGAAAAGAGCAACTCAGCCTAAACGTCTCGTGTCAGATTATCAATATTTAAATGCTTAGGATAAATTTTCTACCTGAATTTGATGGCTGAAATAGCCGGTTGTTTCATTAACGACTCCAACGGTGTTCAAGGCAGCTCGAGCAAACTTTTGGGCATCTGGTGTGAAGAACGATGTTTTCTTGACCTAAAATGCCTTTATCAGAAAACAATTCAAATGGCTAAAATGATAACTGACCTTGCTCATGTTAGTAGCAACAAGCATAGGACAGACAGTTTGAATAATGATCCCAGTCGACACATATTCCTTTCGGAGAATTGCAGAGAGCCACTGGACGTATTTCTACATTAATCAGATAAAATAGGTATTTCAAATTGACAAAATAAACCTTGGTGGCCGAATAAGCTCCCCAAAAAGTCATTGTATGATACGAGGCTGCTGAAGCCAAGTTGATGACAATACCCTTGTTTCGAGTAACCATTTGTGAAAGAACGGCAGCAGTCAACTAAAAATACTCGTAAAATTTTTATAAAAAGGTGACTCTACCAAAGTGGGAGGCAGTGTATTTACGACCGTAATATCTGCGACGCGTTTAAGTTCTCCCTCAATCTCATGCATTCTCTAAAACAGGAACTTAAAGACCAAACTTTTAGCAACCTCGGGATATTCGTAGCTGAGGCCGACATTATTTACAAGCACACCAACATCCAAGCTCGTGATCTCTTTGATCACGTAATCGTACTGATCGAAGTTACCAGCCGTAAAATCAAAAGCAAACGTTTTGATTTCAACATTCTAAACAAAAAAGATTCTCAAAAACTATTCACCCCGTAAAACTCACGCTTTTTTCCGCAATTTCCTTCTTTGTAGCTTCCAACTTGCTAGCAGTGCGTGAAATCAGTAAAAGGTTGAAGCCTTTGCTTGCCAGCTCAAACGCATAAGCCTTGCCAATACCATCGGTCGATCCGGTCACAACTAAAGAACTCTAGTAAAAAAAGTACTGTGCAGTACTTACCAGCCCACTTAGCTCCAGCTTTTTCGAGCAAATTTCCAGAGCTTGATAGGAAGAACGGGTAGATAATGTTGTAAAGAGAAACCAATACCTAAATCAAAAAATAACAGGCTTTTCATAAATAGAAACAGACCTTGTAAGCCGCCCATGCAAGAGCCGCATAGCCCAAGTTCTTGAGAAAGCACTCGCAAACCATTCTTCTGAAACAAAATCTTACACTCAAGTATTTTGCGAGTCAGAAATTAAAAGAAAATAAGAGCAACATCTTAATAAAATACAATGAATAACATCAATTCTACATTTTTTCCCAGTAAGACAATTCCCGCTTCCCAAAAATCTAGCGGTGCCGCTGTTTCTAAATCGGATAAAAATAATATTCAGCATTTTTACCCGATCAAATTGTTAAAAAAAAATGTTAGGATCAAAGTCTTGCTTGCATATGTGGTGGCCTGACAAAAATTATCTGTCAAAGAGCCGTCTACACACAGTAAAATCGCGCAATTTGTATAAATTGGAAATCGGCTGATGTTGAAAATGGGGGAGATCGTTATCTAGTTTTCCTCGACCGCTCAACATTTAAATGAAAATGTCAAGCAAGCCCTTATCAAATTAGAGTGGTGTGCCAAGCTTATGAAAAAGCTCATGAAAGGTAGAGCAACACAAAAATGAGAAAATGAAAAGAAATAAAAAGTGACCGGGGATTTCTGTCAACAAAAAAAAACAGGTATTCATTGAATAGCATGCGGCTTGTAATGTTTTCGGCATTACAAATCGGAATCCTCGAATTAATGATGATTGATGATGATCGTTCTGTAACTTTCGAGTTCCGCAACTTTTGTTATGACTTTACCTAGTTTATAACTTACACTTCTTGTCTGGGATCACCGTGAATACTATCACGTATCACGTATTAAAATTACGGGCTTTCAGATTTAGACACATGCTTTAAATTAGGAGATCTTTTACATTCTGTCGACTGGAGGATACCCATGGGTCCTCCACCAATTAGCTTTTTTATCGTATTTATGTTGAAAAAAAATGTTGCAATCATTGTGAAAAGAGTTTATTAGCCATTTTACAATAAATTACTTGTTACATAAATTAAATTCAATCAAGATCCATGTTGTCCGGTTCGTCGTCTGGTTTGCCTCGTTTTGGCTCAGGCTCACGGGGCTCCTCGATCGGGCCACCCTCTTCGACTTTCACCTCCACCATTCCCCCTTCTTTAGCTAAAAATTATATTTCTTTAAATACGCTCGAACTTGTATAATTTTGTCTCACTCACGTTCTTCCTTAGCACGCGATCGTTCTGCATTTGTCAGCGATTCAGCGAACCCCAGTGCATCTTAATGTTATTTTCTTATTTCGATTACTGATTGTGAGATACCTCCATCGGAAGCTTGACGCACCACTTCCTCAGACATTCCGAATTGCTGAAGAACAGGGCCAAGTTGGCCGCTGTTCAGAGCATATCCGAACATACCAACAGCTTGTTGGAACTGTGGCTGTCTGATAGTTCCTTCAACTTCTGCTGTCACTGTTGTACTCGATTCTGGCACCTCTTCGACATTGATCACTTTGTCGGTAAAGTTACCTAGAATTTATCTGTTTATTTTTCAAAAGCTTGCAAGTAACCATGATTCCTCCTAACTACGTCAAGTACTTTTTCCCCTTTCAGTACATCAGTTAGGTCACAATTTTTAGAGCTGCGAGGGATTTTTATTCCAGCAAGAAGAGACTGTAGCTGCGAGTACTCAGCTGCTGAGACTAAAAGTGTTTTTATTATTTGTATTCATGGATTTGCGCACTATACAGGCCAATGTCATAACTTTTGAGTAAACCAGAAATCTCTCGCAAAAGCAAAGGCCTTGATTCTAATGAACAAAAACTAAACTAACCTGCTCCTTTCTTTGATGCTCCAGAACTGGAGTTGGCTAAAGTATTAGCATTGGCCGTTTGAGAAGAAGAATTGAAAGCAGCTAATGTGTTATCAGTAGATGCCTCTGGTTGTCCAAGCAATGAGGCGGCACTAGAAGGTAAGCCCGAAAGCAAAGGTTGATCGCCGCCATTTGTCTAAATTTTTGTCAAGATTAGCACATTTCACAATAGTTAAGTATAAACTTGATTACCCACTTGATTCATCAATGCGAGAAGTTGCATGAGTTGGTTCTGGTCCAACCCTCCAAAGGCACCGAGATCTTCCGCACCAGGATGCAAAGCTGTGATCCCAGCTGGCCCACCAAATGCTGGATTGCGAGTTTCAGAAACACCACGCGTCGTTGCACGGCCAACAGGTGGCTTATTAAGGAGATCATTAATCTGTAATTCATGCTTAGATATTTCTCAAATTTTTATTTTTACTTTTTGACAGAGATCCTTGTCAGCATCAGGGTTTCCATCCTGAATCCAAAAAAGACGGCGTTCGGAAGTGGTTTTGAACTTCAACATGTAGACTTTCCCATCCATACATTCGCTCACTTTCAAAAACTCTGTATCTCCAGGGAAGATGATCAGGTCCTGAAAGTATTCGTTTTTAATTACCGATTTTTGGGATTCATGGGGTTTTGCCAAAGTTGGCCAACTCACATCAGGAATCGCACCCGTTTCACGATTTTTCCAGCAAAAATGCATGAGTTGATCATTGCTTTGTTTGATGAAAAGGAGACCTTTAGTTTTATCAGCAACGACCTAAAATTTGGGTGTCATATAAATAAGTTAATAAAGTTGAACCTTTTTCTTTTCAGCGGTAGCACCTGTGACAAGATTTGAGCGACCAGCTTTGATTTCCAGTAAAAATCCGTTCGTCGAGCCTCCTTGAACAGCACGTGCGTTCGCAAACATTGCCCCGCTCATTCTCTGAATTTGACTTTTTTTATTACTTTATTATTTTCCTGTTGCAATTTGTTTTGTTAGATTCTCTGAAAAATAAAAAACACGAGGCCCTGCTATAAGATTTCTCGAAAGTATTTATTGGGTTGAGGAGTATGAAATGGCGTCGACTTTCAAAAATTTTTCTGGAACGCATAAAAGCTTCATATAATCCATTGTTTGTATAATCAAAAAGGTCTATCATTGCTCTACAAAGTGGTTTTTGAGATATTCCGAAAAGCTTTTGTTTTGTGGATTTTATGGGCTCCTAAACGCAACCAGTCAAAATGACAAGAAGTCCGATTCGTCGTTTGACTCGTTCCTTACACATAAACTTAACTTGATGTCAAAACAAAAAAGCTAGGGCACATTTAATTACATAAGTAGCCAAATTTTTGTAGTGACCTCGTCAGTCATTTTCTCTAAATGACGATTTATGGATTTTCTAAAAAATAATCTTTTATTGAATTGGGGCGCTTTTGAGTTCTATTTCAAATACAATTTTGTAGACAAATATTTTCTAATAATACTACCCGCGTGCCATTTGATAAAGACTACTCGATGTTATAAAAGTTTCTTTGAAAGTCGGCGCCATTTCATACTCCCCAACCCAATGTTTTAAAGCCCAAAAAGTTGGTTTGCTAAACATAACAGGAGTTAAATAACAAATGAATAAATATTCTAAAAATCAGTTTATCAACTAAAGACTTTGCAAAAACAAGATGACGATGAGCTTGTTACCAAGATAGTGATTGTAAAGGTTTCCCCACGTCTACAAAAATCCTTATTCGTGCTGGGACCCAAAACTATTCGAAAACATACACTCTGTTATTGTTTTTAAAGGGAACAATAAGCAATCCTTTTCATCGACTGATTATCATGTTTTGAGAATTGTCTCAAGTCTTTCAAGTAAAGAGTCACGTTTTTTCAACTTATCGCAGTTCATTACTTCTCGGCAAAAAACGTTTATCCCCAAACAGAACATTCAATAAAGATGTAAAAGAAACTTTGTTTACACAACAAAATAATCGAAATCTGTTCAGGAATAATCCAACATGCTCATCAATTAGTTGGACAAGTAAAAAAGTTTTCACAATAAAACGGGGGGGAAATTTACAAATTTTGTGCTTTCAACGACAAATGATAATTTTTTAGGCGGTGGGTGCAGGTCCTGGAGGAAGTTGAGTAGCAGGGGTGGCTCCGCTTGCCTGTTGACCGCTTTGACCAGCACCAGCCACAAGACCAGATTGACTTTGAGAAGCCTTTTGCTTGAGCATCGTCCAATCTATAATAAATTGTTGAATTGGTAAATTAATGTAAAAATTTATACCGAATGTGTAATCATATTGATGGTTGAGCGTTCGGAACAAAATGCGGAAGAGCTGACGCAAATACATGTAATCAGGAGCTTCATCAAAGCGCAGGCCGCGACAATAGTTCAAATACATTGGGAACTCGGCTGGGAATCCTTTGCAAAGCATTTCAACTGGAGTCGACATTTTCTAAAATAAAAAGTAAGTAGTACTATAAAAACACACCGACCTTCTCAGAAATCTTTTCGTATTTTTGCTTCTTGGTTGCAGCTTTAAGTCCTTGCCATGGAAGGGTCCCGCGATTGAAATACATCAAAACGTAACCAAGCGATTCCATATCATCTCTAAAACAATATATCCCTCGTTGTAATAGGAAATGAACCGTCGGCTTTGTTCGATTCCCAAATGAGCGTTGATGGAGGCATAACGTGCAGTGCCTGTCAAATTCTTGTCTTCTCGATAAGGGATATGTGTACGAGTGCGCGAATCACGATATCTGAAATTGAAATCATAGTTAATTTGAATAAAGCAATGACTCACTTCTTTGCAAGTCCAAAATCGATCAAGAACAGCTTGTTGCAATGGCGACCAATACCCATCAAGAAATTGTCTGGTTTGATATCACGGTGAATAAAGTTTTTCACATGAACGTATTCAATGCGTCCAATCATCTGGTCTGCCAGCATCAGCACAGTCTGAATAATATTATTGTTGTAACATAGAGCACTGATTCGATTCAAAATTTACTTTCATAGTGAAGCGGCGGCTGCAGAAGTTGAAAAGATCTTCCAAAGATGGCCCAAGAAGATCCATGACAAGAACATTGTATTCGCGCTCAGTTCCATACCTAAATAAAAGGTTATAGATTATTAATACATTCGACTTTGTTGTTCTTAAATGATAAGCAAAATTGGTACCATCGAATGTGAGGAATGCCGACGCCTCCTTGCAAAATCTTGTACACCTTTGATTCGTACAACAACTGAGGATGGCGAGCCTAATTTAACAAATAAAAACTCTACAAAAGCTTTGTTTTACCCGGTTGCTCTCAAGCTTGATAGCCACTTCTTCGCCATTTGTGACGTTAATGCTGACGTAGATATCACCGAACGATCCAGAACCAATTTTCCTGATCAGCTTGTATTTGGTGGCGACGATGAAGTCCTTGCCCGAAACTAAACAGAGAAATAAAGCTGATAAGCAACAAACCGTAAATTCAAAAGGTAAAACCGAAGACTGACCTGATGGAATCATACTCATCTTGCTTCTAGTTGTGCTCGCTTTTCGAAGAGCACCTACCCGTAAAAACTAAAAAGAAACAATAAATGAAATGAAGAAATGAAGCTGAACCCAAAAAGTAGTAAAAACAAAGAGTATGGGGAATTTAGATACACGTGCTTATTTGGTGAGCTGCTCAGGATGCTATACAATTAAATAAAAAAAATCATGTGTAAGGCTCACATAAAATGGCTTTCACAAAAATTCACGATTGAAGCAAATCGGTGCTAGTAGTTGCGGGGAGGCAGTGTACATTCAACCAGAACGAACTAATTTTTGTTTCTAGGGCCTTTATTGGCATAAATTCTTAATTTGTATTTATTTAAGCTTTAGTGACTGTTCTCTAGCTATTTCAAGCAGTTACTGAGGTTTTAAGCCTCTTAATTCAGTTCCACACCTCTAAACCCAGTGGAAATAGAGCTAATCTTGAAGGCATCGGAATTGTTGCTCAAACTGGCATAAATATTGTTCAAAATGTTTTATAAATACTTCCAGTGGATTCAGTGCAATTAATTATCCCAGAAAAAGTTTTTAAAACTAGTGGGAAGTTCGAAAAAACCGGTGTTTACAAACCGTCCTCCCCAACTACTATAGCGCCAGCAAATCTTATGCTTTTGTCTTCTCTAAACCTTTAGCGCTATTAAAAATCGATTAGGGGCAATTTTACGCATTTCTATGGTGTAGCCAGAGGGCTTTTAAAAAGAATATCAAATTTGCCAAAAGGAAAACAATTAATGGGCTTATGTAAAGTGGAGAGAACATCGTCGATCTTTTTGCGCCGCCTGTTGCGACGCGAAACGCAACCTAAGACAACTCAGGCAAATGGGCACCTTTTAGGCGTGACAAAAGTAATTTAGGCAATATAAATTGAGTAAAGTTTTGATTGAAAAGTTTCTCTGTGCATTTGTTTTTTTTTCTAGCTCCAGAATTATCTCGTTTAATTTCAGATATCTAACGTTGATGCAACGGGATCAACGTCTCCTTCGCTACATCTCGAATTTTTCTGCTTGTTTACCAGAGGTTATTTTTTCAGCCAAAATTTTTAATATAATTTTTTAGGCTGCAGCATACGGTTCTTGCGTTTCAGCGAGTGCTGAGAAAATTAAAAAAGACGCTTGTGCTGCCGAATTTGAAAAACTAGTGTCGTGTTTTAAAAAGCAGGTTTGTAACTTTTCTTAAATGAGTAAAAAAAAATTCTTTAGCAAGCTATTGCAAAGAAGAAATAAACGCCAAACTGTTAACAACAAGCCGCTTCCATGAAAGTGAAACGAGTCAAGCGTGCAGCGAAAATTTTGAACTTCTTCAAGTACAACTATAAGCTTTTTCCGCCACTGAGGTAAGGTTTTAATTGATGACTTTGGAAATGGGTAATACTTCTAGAATTTTGGTCGATGGAACTTTTTGCCTTGCAGCTCTGAAAGATAAAATCAATCTTCGTGAGCAGATGTCAAAATATGTTGGCGCCGATTGTCAGATATTAACGACGAAATGCGTTCTAAAAGAGTTGGGTATGTCAGTTCGGTTTTATGGAAGGCAATGTTTTTAGAACTGATTGGCGAGGCCGTATATGGTGCCCAAGTCATCTGTAAACAATTTGCGGTGCGTTTTAAAGTTGTCTGTTCAATATTAGAACAAGTTTGTAGCAAAAACGAATTTTTAGCTAGCTGGTTGTCCACACACTCCTTGTCGTTCAGCTGCTGAATGTTTGGCACATTTGGCTAGGAAAATGAATAGACGTGGTGAAAAGTTCATTTTTGGAACACAGGTTTTTGCATAGCTCTTATAGTTGGCCTTTTAACTAATAAATTTTAGGATGATGCTCTACGGGAAAAGTTGCGTGGTTATCCGGGTGTACCTCATATGTTTATTAAATTTAATACTATTCTTCTGGATGATGTGTCTGAAGCAAGTAAGGTTGGTATCAAGTTTTATACGTTTTTAGCAGCTTGATGCATTGCTAATTACCTTTAGAGTGCTGTTTTGCCGGAGAATGCAGAGATAAACGAAGTACGAGAGTTAAAAACTTCATTGTTTGATAAGAATAAGATCATGAAAAAGCCGAAAGGGCCAAAGGTTGTAGAGTTATACAAATCCCGTAAACATAACAATTTAGGGTATAAATCCTTTGAGTTGCAAGAAGAAGAAAACTACAAAGTTGACTGCACAAAGAAATCAACAATCTGTAAACGGCGAAAAGAAAAAGCGAAGGCGCAAAAAAGCCAGTGCTAAGGAAGTGCCTAGCTGAAGTTGTTTTAGTTCTGTTATTGTTCGGGTGTTTTTATTTGAATAAATTTTATGAGTTTCGTTTCGTTTTTCCTTTGAGAAAGTTAAAATCTCCAAATACTTGAATCTGTGCTTGCATTGTATTGATTGCTCGGAACCATTTCTTGTCCCACATCACTTGCGCTTTTCATGAATAGTGCAGAAATCGCCGGAAGTTGCGTTTACCACTAAAATGAACGTTAGAAAAGTATTATGGTAAGTATATTTAAAACAGTTTTGAACTTTCTCTTTTTAAACAAAAAGAATTCCAGTTCCAAGCAAGAAAAGTATTTGCGCCAAGCGCTTCAACTACTTAGATAATTCCAACAACTACCCCTGGAAATGACTCATTAGAAATAGCAGCAACTATACACGTCTTTAATCTAATTCTTACTTTGAATTGACGTAAAAAAAACTCATTTCAGATAACGGCATCGAATGCTTCGCCGCCTAGGCGGGAGCTCGGGTTCACTTTGGAAACCGAAGAACCCCCATTCCCTCGAATATTTGAAGTAAGTTCATGAATATTTTCTACCAAACTATCCGAGTTTTGCCCATTCAGATATCTCCAAAACGTACTACAGAAAAATGAGAAGTTAACGGAACCAAATCGAAAGATCATCGTAGAAGCACTTCGAGCTATTTCTGAAATCCTCATATGGGGAGATCAAAACGATGGAAGCGTTTTTGAGTATTTATTCATCGTTTTCCAACGTAATACCAATTTAGTTTCTTCCTCGAAAGACAAATGCTTTCCCATTTTCTTCAAATTATGGAACAAGACACGGGTCTATTTGTTTCGGTACAATTACTTCAAACGCTCAACATTCTCTTCGAGAACATTCGACATGAAACCTCACTATGTTTAGTACTCATTACAATCAATTACAGCTCCTTTTTTTCAGATTTCCTTCTAAGCAATAATCATGTTAATCATATAATCACTCATCGATTTGACTTCTCAAATGAAGAGATTCTCGCCTATTATGTCTCTTTCATAAAGACGCTTTCTATGCGCCTAAATCCTGCAACAATCCATTTTTTCTTTAACGAGGTAAGCGATTGAAATTGAAATTCTTTCAAAAGATAAACTCAGACAACAAACGATTTTCCTCTACTTACCGAAACGCTCAAGTTATTCGATTCGAAAGAAACAATGGTAAGTATTACAAAGATGACACATGATTGAAAACTAATAACGCAGGTTCGTATCGCTGTTAGAACGGTTGTGCTCAATATCATTCGGGTTAAAGAAGAAGGCTTACAAAAATATTTGATCACCGCATTAAAGGTACTATTGAAATGCACAATTGAAACATTCTTAATTACAATATTTCAGGTTTATCTCTGTGATCTTATTGATCAATTAGTGGGAATGTCGATTGATCTTGACGTTTTTGTTCGATCTGCAGAAAATGTTACAGCCAATCGAGAAAGACTTCGTGATAAAGTGAGTGCTGCTAAAATGACTATTTTCACAAAAAAAAGACAAGTGTTAACATTCTTATTTTAGGTGGACGATCTCATCGACATTTTCCATTATGTGGGCGATTTGCTTGAGACAAATTCGATTGCTGATTCGCTCTCTTCACTACTCACATCAAGATTCATTTTCCCATTACTTTTCAACTCATTGATAGCACGAAGGTAGTGCTTGTACTTGCGATTTGATTGCCATTCTAAAGTAAATTTTTAGAAACAATCAGGCCGTCCTACTAACTCCGATATCAGCATTGTTCTACGCATCACAGGTAACTTTAAAAAAAACAAACTTTACCTACATCTATTTAGATTCTTTTGGTCATTTCTCATCGACCGCTTATCCTTTCTTTCCTACAAGCTTTTCTTTTTGAAGACGCATCTATCCTATGCTCACAATGGGTCAGTTTTTGCGATGTAAAAACAAACTTTAACTTTGACTAATTGAAATCGCAATGAAACAAGATTTTAGATTCGATCTGAGGATTCTTATTGTTTACAAACTGCTCCACTTACCGATTCCACGATTTCAGAAGAAAGAGCTTTTTTTCACGGTCTATTGGCGGCTCTGGATAGTACACAAAATGATGATTATCTATCATTTTACGCCTTGATGGTCATTTATGCAATGCTACAAAATAAAGGTAAGCAGAAAAAGCGAAAATCTTATATAAATCTTTTGGCAATTTGATTCTACAGACTGTAAGTTTACTGTAGTGTGGTGCTAAAGTTGTGGAGTTTTGTCGAATGAAATGCTTTATTTCAATGTTTACCGGTTTTTTTATCTAAAGTTCTATTTAGGTGATGTCAGCGACATTCTTGCTGCAGCAAGTATTCCCCATAATGGAGCAACTGGAACGGTTAGTCGTTCAAGCATATTTACCCTATGTTTTTGTTCAGAAATTTTACGAATTACATTCAATTTAGGTGGTGACGTGTGAGCCACGCATTGTCAAATGTCTCATCGACGTGGTATTCAAAAAGATTTCGATTATTTATTGGAATTGTAAACGATTTTTAGGTTGAATCTGCCGCTAAAGCAGATTCTCGTTTGAGGCCGATCACTCTTGAGCTCACTTGTATCGTATTACGACAACTTGTGCTAACCGTTGATGATGACAATACGGTAAACATGAGCACTACAAACTACAAACATAAACTACGCACGCTTCTAACTTGTCTCAAATCTACCGAATTGATATGTATAGCTTAAAAAATAGAGAATCTCAAGAGCTTTTGAATGAGCCAAACACAGCCAAAAATATCAATGCTAAAGAAAGTTACAGTGGTTTTGGGCCTGACTCGATCGCTTCGAGTACAGTTCGTTTCGAGTCAGGACTACAAACCACTGCAACTTTCTTTAGCATTGATATTTTTGGGTATGCTTGGCCCATTCGAAAGCTCTTGAAATTCTCTATTTTTGAGCTATAGATTATGTCGATTCGGCAGATTTGAAGCAAGCTAGAAGCGTTTGTAGTGTGATAGTTCGTCATTTTTGTAGTTTAGAGTGCCCATATCTAAAATATGGTATTGACTGAATAACTAGTTTTTAATCGCAATTGTATTTCCAGTTGCATGAAGCAATTGCCAGAAGCGCTAGCGTTGTTCAAGCAGTTATGGGAACACACTTAGCAACAGCACTTTCAAAAGAACAACTTTTTTTGGAAATGTTCGAGGATGAGTATCACGAATTAACGGTGATTTTCCTTTAGATCAATGAACAAATCACTTATGTTTTAAAAGTGATTTTTAGACTCAAACTCTTCGTCTAAATGCAGTTGGCTGGGAAATGTTATTGCCTCCAGCAGCCTCGCCATTCTCCGGTTTACCTCTAAATAAACGTTTATCAAGCGGTCATGAGGAACGCGTCCGAACGGTAGCTTTTGTTTTTTTTTTTGCCAACCGTTAATATCAAATGCCTTAGAATATTCAACTATATTTGCATACACGGAAACTGAAGCAGGATATGCTTGGTGAACAAGAGACCCATTTGCCATTACAGGTTGATAGACAAATCTCTTCAAAAAAATATCAAAGTTTCAGATCGATTTACATGCTGTAGTGCGTGTTGGAGATTGCATAAACTTGAGTAAGTTTTTGATTCATTTTCCATTTGCATTCAAATTTAGACAATTCTGATTTGCTTTCTGTGACGGTTTCCTTCTCAAGACATGAGAAACAATCGCGTTTTTTGGTTACGGATAGGTTGCAATTGATTTTGGTTGAGCCGGATACAAAGAAAGCTGGATGGGCCATTGTAACGTTTGTCGGCCTTTTGCAGGTCAGCTCCCAAGAATTAAACTTTAAATTATGATTAAAGTGTGTTCCTCGCGAGTAATGCGTTTTCTAAAACGCAAACTTGGAAAAAAAATTACCGTAGTTTTCATGAAAATTTTCGCCAAAAAAATCGAAGCACACATCCGCGCGAAAAAGTGATTTCTATAGGTTTGGAACCGGAAAGTAACCAATCGACGTAAAAAATCATCCTGATTCCAAATACGAAACTTTTTTTGAAATTCGTCTGACTGAATTTTTAAAAATTAATTTTTTCGTTTTTCCCATGTAAAAAAATGGGCTATTTTTGGGTTTGGAGCGCTATAAATTGCTGATATGAAGAGAAAAAGTCAAAACAAAGCAACAAGTTTTGTTGGCATAGATCTTGAGAATGTTTTTGTGCAAAAATTATAGACATTGATCAAGTCGGCACAAACTAGTAGCGTTTTGAACGGGCGCAACTCGGATTTTTTAAGTTGGCACACTATAGTGTGGACGGAACGGCAAAAGTAGCCCTTCCGCGGTTAAGTTTCTATGTGTTTCCTATTCTTATTGGATGCAAGATCAAAGGTGCCTCCGGAACTTTTTCCGGAGCGTAGCATACGGGCTCAGCTCCCCAAAAAATGGCGAAAAAACGGCGACGAGATATGACTCCTCTAAAAGATATTCAGCTGTTTACCTGAATTGGTGGCGAATTGCCTTCAAATGTAAAGATATTCAATTTACTAGACGCTTCAATAGGATTACTCGAATTCAAATTTTGACATAACAGAGCGTGTGGAACTAATTTGAAAGACAAAACGGCTAGATCAAATTACAGAAAATTGTCGACTTTTCTCTTTGTATAACTCCGTCTGTTTGTTTCCACAAGCTCTGATATGTCAAAATTTCGATTCTACGCCCTAAAATTACCTGGAAAAACAACTTTTGGAATAGAAATTGGTTAATATTAGCTTTTTAGAGCTTTTTTAAAACGCGAAAAAAGGTGCGCTAATGGGCAAGGTGCGGAAAAAAAGGTGCGCAAATGTCCGGGTGCGCAAAAAAAGGTCGCATTTGTCCCACTCCCGTAAAAATTACTCATGCAATTTTACTTGAGTATTTACTTTCTCTCAAAGTGTACACTCTGATTATGATAACAAGAAATCTTTTAGGATACACAAATCACAGGCGACGCTTCGGATTCCCGTTCATTGCATGTGGTTGTTGAGTCACGTGCCGGAATCAAACGACCTGGACCGCTACTTTCAGCACGATTCATTTTTGACGATCATATTCGATGTATGGCTGCAAAACAACGGCTGACAAAGGTTAACAAACATCAAATGACCAATTCATATCGAATTTTAGGGTAGACAAAATGCTCGTCAATTGAAGATGGGACTCATCTGTGACTTGCTTGGGTGTCGTACCGAGGTTCTCGCACGTTCAAACCCATACAAAATAGTTAAAGGATGTGCACCTGGCAGTGCAAGGAAACAGGTTTTTCGGTGAGATTTGATCGTTATCAAAAGGGTGTTTACAGCTGGACACACCCGCGAATGATGGACTCGGTTCGTCGAAATCTTCTTCGAACTCGATTCCTGAAGATCCGGTCACCTCTGCAAATCCGTCGGGATCGAAAATTCACCATATTTAGGGCATTGATTAAACTATTTAGAATAGATTTTTTTGAAAAGTTTAGTCTTTAAAAATTCTTGGTGCCACTGTAAATGAATCCCCTTCTTGGTTCTAGTTTCTCTTTTCTACAAAGTATATTCAGAACAATGCACGAGTTCACTTCAGCCATATTGTTTCAAAAAAAAATATTATAGCTTCATTTATTTCAATCTTCTCTAATGATAACCCCCATTTTTTTTAGTTCATTCTGTGATAATTTTGTACATATTTTTACTTTTCATTGTTTATTTTAGGATCTCAAGATTTACGGTAATTTTGGAATAAACATTTGAACGAAAAGAAAGTTTATAAATTTAAAGAAAACAATTTAACCTATTAAAATCTGAAAAGCTCCAAATGGGGCATTGAAATTTTTATTGGTTGCGATAAGATTTCCTAGGCGTCATTGTCGTTAGCAGAATTCTCTCAATTTTTACTTGGGATAAATGCTCTTTCTTTTCTTTTCATTCTTTATTCTACACGCAAATGCAATAACGGGTAAACAAATTTCGAACACTTGCTAGAAACCATTGATTATGCTTTTTAGGGGCTACAGGGGGTTACATTAAGGGCTTACAGAATGTGATGTTTATCCGTGCTCTCGAGATGTCATTATCGTTATTGATTCAACGGTCAACATGCTCAACGATGCAAATGTGAAATTGGTTGGTAAAAGCTTAGAAATTTTGATAATACAAAGATTTAGCAAATCGATTTTGTCAAAAGCTTGATTTCTGGTTGGAACCTTGGAAACGACAATGGTCTTTTGGTGAGTATTGAAAAAGATTTCATGAATGTACTAAATTCAGACACGAGTAGCCATTGTTGGCAATGGGATCTTGGAAATTATTGACACAACAGACTATCTTACGGTAATTCTATATCTATTATATATAAAAGAGTAGTGTCTGTCTGTCGGTCTGTTCTCGGGCGTGTTTCGATCAATAAAGCTAAAAATTCCTTAGAATAGATTGTAGTTGTGTCATTTAAAATCAAAAATTTAAGAACTCAAAGCCGAGTGGCACGCGGGGTCGAACCCGGATTGTGTGGACGGTAAAAAAGCTAGCTCCTGACTGCGCTATGGCGACAAGGAGCGTCCGTCGCTAAAACATCACTATCATGCAAAACATCCAGTTTTCGGCTGGTGCCAAAAGAAAAACTTTAAACGTGTTTAGGATGGAGTCGGACTACAAAACACGCTGAATCGAATGGCGAACGAGGCCAGTCTCTACGGACTCAGCGATTTTCGTTTTAATCAGTTAACAGTATTGTCTTCAATTTAAAATGAATCAATTCTAGATTGATGGATTGGATCAATCGAAAATACAACACAAATTACCCGTATCCGGCTCGTGATTTGAACAAAGTCGAGAAAAGGATTCTCGTGTTCACACCAGAAAAGTATTTTCAAGTCAAGTTTTCAAAGAGACAAGATTTTTTTTCAGTCAAACGAGCAGCATCGCCAGCGCTCAAGCCTCGATCACGAACCTCACCAATAACAACTTCAAAATCTCACTCATCGCAATCACTCCTTCGAAAGTCGACCTCTTCAACTCGCTCACCGGCATTCAAAAGGTGAAAAAGCAATCTCACAAAGCACATTCTCTTTTCCAGAAGTTTTCCATCACCAACCTTAATTCCATTCCTTCTACGTTGAAAAATGACTTGATTCAACAAGCGGTATGCTCAGGTTGGGAAAGAATGAAAAGTTAGAAATAGTCTTTTTCTAGATCAAAAAACTACTTGTCCCACAATGACTTCTCCAGCTACCACGACGCCGGTATTCGCAAAATTTACGTTTTTAGTTTCCAAGCTTAGGGTGCATTGCCGACAGTCAGCTCAAGCGAGTTCTTTGTGAACTGTTCATGCACAGCCTCTTCACTATGGCTGGATATTGTCGTCGTTATCGACACCTCAAAGAGTATGGGGAAATTGGGCCTCGCGCAAGTAGACGATGAACTGCTAGTCTCTCTACCAAGTCTTAGGTTCAAAGTGATGTCGCCTCGTTGATGATGTGGCTGACTGTTGATTCAAAAGTAGCGCAAGCAAGCCGAATTGGCATTGTCACTTTTTCGAAATCAGCAAAAGTGCAGGTGGAAAATGGAGATTGAATTGAGAGACTGTCACTTCTAGAACCCTCTCGGTTCACTGGCTACCGATGATGATGTAATCAACGCACTTTTCAACCTACAAGCCACCACCGATGAACATCTCGATCTAGTCACGTAAATGAAACTTTCAGTAGGGAAATGTTGTTTGAAAATTTTTTTTAAAGAGCTCTCGACTATGCGGAATTGACAATGGAAAAGGGAGGTAAAGGAAATCCGAAAGTCATTTTACTCTACAGTTCCGCTTACAAGTGAGTTTGAAATTGACAAAATGATCATAGGAATTTTCAGCGAACAAGGAGACCCAGAGTCAACAGCAGCTCAATTGAAAGAATCGGGTTATACGATCATCACAATGGCTGTCGAGAAGGTGGATAGAAAAAGAGTTTGAAACCATTTCCTTAAACTACTATCATAAAACGTATGCAAATGTAAATATAGTCAGGGCAAACTGACGTAGTTCGGCATCTCAGCAAACTCGCAAGTCCAAATATGGGATTTGACAGTGTTGATACGGACTCCCTTCACAAAGTCGTCGATGCTTTTTGTCAAGGTTAGATTTTCCATAGCTAATCTATTGAACAAATCTAGCGAATTGCTTTTGCAAACGAGGATGGGAACAACTCAGCTACAACGAGAGAAGATATGGAGAGTGTTTATGGTTGGCGATAGAGAAGTTGGGTGAAATGTGAAAAGGATTGTAGGCACTCGGCGACAACAGCTTCCTGGAATACAGCGATGAGTGAATGTCAAAAATTGGATGCACACGAAGCAAGTCAACTGATTTATCTCAACTCGAAAGAAAAAGAGAATTTCACGGTTACAGGTAATTTTCTAAAGTTTCTTGGGATTATCTTTTCAGAGCTTGCACACAACGCACAAGGGATCCAATTTTCCTTTCATGTGGGTCTGAGATACGAGACGACAATCTCCGGCTATCAATGGATTAATGGAGTCAAAGTATCAAAAACAGTAGTACAAACTTTAAGAATGATAAATTCAGAATCTTCCGTACACAAATTGGGATACCAATTATCCAGACTCTTCCAAAGGATACTGCATTGACCTTTACAGGGTATAAGCAAAAAATATTGTAAACTATTGAGCTCATTTAGAATAGCGGCTTCCGTTATACATGGAGAAACGAAGACTGTACAACAAACTTATTGAACTACATTTGTCAAGCACAAGCTTGCGATTCCGATCATTATTGCCCTCCCAATTGATAAAGCTTCTGTTTTATAATATTTAGTGCATTTTTCCACCGACACATTACTAAACACAAACTTAAAAAATTTTTTCAATCGAACAACAACAAAAAACAATAACAATTAAAAATTTAACAATTTTGTAAACGTAGGTAACCAACTAGGTATCTACTCAATCAAGAGCTTTGAGGTCCTTTTTGCCCAACCGGCCTCCTTTCATCTTCCGCATTAGAAAATGATCATTTTCGTTGTTGTCCTAAATTTAATAAACATAACTTTAAAATAATATATTCTACTGCTATACATATTTTCATATTCAAAATTTTACCTTAGCTTTTGCAGTTTTCGCCTGTTTCTTTTTTGGAGTCACTCCATCAAAAGCTTCACTCTCAGCCGGTCTCTATAATAAAACATACGCTTTTACGTTTTCTTTAGCTACCTTTTTTGACGTTTTGTGCTCATCCTTTGTTTCCTTTTGCGTTGCATTGGCTTCAGAAATGTTCTTTAGTTTTTTGGTGGCTTCCTATAAATCAAGATTGCCTTCGAAGCTAAAAAATCAAAATAAAACCTTTTTAGCCTTCTTCTCTTTCTTTTCCAATGCAGCTTGTTTTCTCTGCTTTTTCACGCCCATTTTCTTCTCCTAAAACCATAAATATTTTACCAATGAATCAAGCAAACCTGGATTTCAACGCGCTTCTTCTCCTTGTCCTTTGTCAGGAATGGTATTTTTGATGTATCATAGTCACTTCTAAAACCCAATTTAAGAGTCGACTATTGTTTTGCAATAAAGAATGACTGAAAATGAAAAATAAACCTCTTAAACTGATCCTGGTCAGAGCGAGCACTAATTTCTTCCATCCTTGGTAGACGAAGCAGTCCATATGCGTGTGCGAGTCCCATAAGATCAAGGTCTTAATCAAGCTTATAAATAATGAATGCAAATAATATTTAGTCAAATGGCAACATTTATTCACTCCACCTTTTAGTGCACAAACAATGTCGGAATCATGCCGCTTATAAGCCTCGACGAAAGACACGAAAGCTTTTGTTCCACTAAGCAAGATATCCCTAAAATGAAAATATTAGAGTTCTGAAATGAAAAATAAACAACAAACCTGTCACCCATTGCCAATCTGCGTATTTGTTCAAGCAGTTGCTCAGCTTTAAGCGTAGTAACGGTCGTGACTTTGAGTTCTTCCAATTTCACCATCTCATATCTTAAAAACAATCAATACAATTATGATTATTGAGCCTTACTTCTCAACGAATTTGATAAATGCTGATTCTTGCGGTGTAAGGAGAAGAAGGGCAGCTCCCTCACGACCATTTCTTGAAGTTCGACCAGCACGATGCACGAACCAACTAAGAAGATGACAATAAAATCATTTTCGACAAAGATTAACCTGCTCGTCCGAGGCACATCAAATTGCACAACCCAATCAATATCTTCAATATCGATTCCACGACTTAATACGTCCGTACATAGCATTACACTGTTGGGAGTCTTTTGGAAGACCTCGATCTGGAAATACAATCAATTCGATTAAAATAAAAATTAAGTTACTCCAGTGGTTCGTCCTGATTGTTGCTGGCCATGGACAGCCAAAATCTTTCTTTTCTTCAAAAGCCTAAATATGTATATACCAGCTGAAACGGCTGCTCCGTTACCTTGGAAAAATGGAGTTGAAATAGACAACACATTCCCAGCTAGAAAGAAAAACGAGAATCTAAAAAAACATATTAGACGTTTGCTGTTAAACCGTACCTTCTTATCCGGCTTGCTGCGAATAAACTCCAACAGTGTGATTAACTTCAAATTTGCATCGCAAAGCTAAACACATAAAATAAATGTCTCTTTGATAAAAAGTACCGTATAGTAATTTTTCAAAGCGGTAGGGCAAACAATATCGGCACGTTCCTTTAGCTTGATGGTAACTGATGAGCGAAGTGTGAATTTGATAAGATCCTCCTGTTCTTTAACCTAAAACTTAGATTTGCAAACGTTTCGCCGTAGTGGTACTTTCTTGGAAGCTATTAAAACTTTAAGCACCAACCTGTGTTGCCGAAAAAAGTCCAGTTCGTCGGAGCTTTGGAATGGCTGCCATAATATCGTTCATACTGGTTGAAAAAGCAGCTTCCGTAAATCGATCTGCCTCGTCGACAATTAGAACCTAAACTTTTGACAAGACGCATACAAACGAAAAAGTTCCAAACTCACTTCAAGTGTTTTAAACATTCGTTTCAAAAATTGGTCTTTATCCAGTGTAAGCAGCTTGCTCAGGCGGCCAGGCGTTGCGACCAAAATATTGCATCTAAAGTGCCGGAGTGATCCCAACGCCTATCTTGTAAACAGACCCTTCTTTTATCAACATTTCCAAGTCCTTCTCGTCTTTTTTAGTTCCGCCAATTGATGTTTTCACACTGTAGCCCAATGCTTTTCCGAATGGCTCCAAAACCTAAAAAAAATTTAATACAACACAAGAAACTTGTTCAGATAAACCTTTGCAATTTGAATAGCCAATTCTCTCGTAGGCGATAGAATCAAAGCACCAATCTCATTTTGCTTCCACTAAAAGAACTAAAACAATATCCAACATCTAGATACCTTTTCGGTTCTTTTGTGCATGATTGAAAGCAGAGGCAGACCGAAGGCCAACGTTTTTCCGGATCCTGTGGGCGATTCAACAACAACATCTTTGTGCGTCAACAGAGCAGTTCCGGCTTCAAGCTAAACAAGTAAAAATGTAAATAAATCCTTTGATAGTCAAAATACTTTATTTTTATGAGTTAGCAAAAAGATTGGGTTCATTAACATTTACATTGCCTAAGAGCTCAAACTACGCACAAAGACCCGAGCGTCCTTTGGAGTTCTTTGGACCCACCGCAAAATCGATCCACCAAAAGGACCCAAAGATTTCAATGGTCCGAAATTTATTCTTATATTCATTTTAAGCTTTTAAAAAGGCTTTTAACAATACTATGAGCTCCAAAGAACAACCCCAATGGGGTAACTACTATTACCAAGGATTGCGGAAAGGCAAAAAGAATTGGGCCTTGGAAATATTACACAAGCTGAAAGAAGAGCTCCCTACGTTCGAGGAAATCTTTGATGAGGTAAGTAATTTTTGTTATTATAATAAAAAAACCAAAAAATTTTAGGAGACATTCTATGTATTCGCCATTTGTTTCACGATAGCAACAATTGTTCTCGTGATATTTTTCGCAAAAATTGTTGGGGTTAAGCTGAAAGAGCACCCATTGGAGACAAATCGAGATTGGGGAGAGCCTGTGCCTGCAAACTTTTTCTCATTTCCCTGGGAAGAAGAAAAACGAAGGAAGAAAAAGCAAGAATAAGTGTATATCATGCAATAAATTGTATAATAAACTTTTAAAATGATCTACTGCATTGATTTAAACTTAATATTGAAGAATATTAAAGTAACCGGAAACAGATTAAACCAAAAGCTACCTGCACTGGAGTAAAGCGATCGTGAAGCGAGTAGAAAACTTCTTTCACTGATGGGTCCAACAGTTCGGCGAAAGCGGTCTAAAATATAGATATTAGAAACAGTTTAATAATTTTTTGACTACTAACACATTATCATAATCTGTATGATAGAATAAAGTTACCTGTTTTGGATCTGAAGGCATATCACTTTGAGTTGATGTTACTTCTTCAGTGGCAGACTTCTTCTTTTTCTTCTTCTCTTGAATCATAGCTGCTGTCTGTAATTGAACAGTTGTAAACATATCAATTATATTATAGCTAAAATAAAATCAAGATAACCGGATAAAGATAAAATTTGAAAAAAGTGATTAATGAAGCTTAATGTTCTTTACTGCAGCCGTAGACAATTTGCCATTATTTGAAGCTTAAAGATTTTGAACATAATAAATGGCTAACGTGCTTGTTAATCTTAGACAAATTGACACTAGAATTTCCTTTTTTAACTTTGAAAAATAAAACTAAATTTCACTCATTTACCCAACTAAAATAGGGAAGAAAGAAATCTGGGAAAATGCAGCTAGGAGTCGTTATTAGTATGTATTTGTACGAAATGGAAGAGCAAAGTGTTAGGATAAACGGTAGAGAGGGAAAACGTCACCCGACAAATGCTCCTTAGTATTGTATCTGTGGAAAGGTCGTTACTGGGGTGCAAAATGTAGAGTCAATTTGTTTCACAAGTTAAGATGTTTAGTCTGCGTCATGGCTAATAACGGGGCATCTCATTCAAGTTATTATCGACTATATGCAAACGATGATTTCATAAAAGAACTTTTTCTGATCTGGAAAAAAAATTACTCACTACCAAAGCCAATCGCGCACCAGCTGATTAGACTTGCTTATCGATATTATCGATACAAGCGGCATGCTCATGTTTGACCGTTCAGATCGCAGTTTCTAGAACAGCTATCAATCTAAAAATTGTTTCATTGGAAAGTGAAGAATGTTAGCTTTTGATTGCTATTTTATACATATACAATTCTTTTATACATAGCTATTTTATACATAACGACTTTTAATGAGTAAGCACCTCATAAATCTTATCGATACTTATCGATATTTGAGTATCGACAAGTATTGATCAGCTTTTTGAGGCACTCATCTATGAGAATTTGCTATGTGTGAGATAACAATCAAAAGTTGACATTATTGGCTTTCCAATGAAACAATTTGCAGATTGATAGCTGTTCTAGAAACTGAGATCTGAACGGTCAAACAGGAGCTTGCCGTTTGTATCGATAATATCAATAAGTCTACAACTGATGGTGAGTCTTGCCCGCGCTATTCAATTGAAATTTTAAGAAAATAAAACAAAATTTTCTTATTTAAGCAAGCGTTTTGGCGTTTTTATCAAGGATTTCAAAGTTGGCTATCTATAAACGTTTACATATATGTTGTGTCCGATTTAGATTTCCGTCCGATTTAGATTGAACTTATCGCGGACGTCCGATTTAGATTACAGTCTATATCGGGCGTCCGATTTATATTCAATCTAAATCTTATATAGATTGAACAATAATATAAACATGCTTAATATATGTTCTTAAGCGTTTTCTGTAGTTTTAATTGTTTCATAGTTGGGTTTTCTTTTCAGAAAAAGACAGTAACAGACCTTTGAAAAATGCAGAAAACTACAGAAAAGGCTTAAGAATATATATTAAGCATGTTTATATTATTGTTCAATCTATATAAGATTTAGATTGAATCTAAATCGGACGGAAATCTAGATCGGACACAACATATACATATGCATGCGTTTCTTTTGTTTAAATCATTGGCCACACGAGCTCGATTTCGCAAAATCATTTGTGTACGCCTCACCATCGACTTGTTGTCCTTGCTTGGACAGTACATAATAGGATCAAAGAGTGGAAGATGGAGGTGAGAAAGAAAGAAAAGAAAAGGATCCACGGTGGACAGAAACAGCCGCGAGAACGGGGGTATCTCTACAGCCTCGTCTTTTCTTCCGAACTAGGCTAGCACTGTTTGCTACGATTTTTCGCTCTTTCTTCCTTTACTCTTCACTATTCTCTGAAAAATTTCACTAAAACTTATCTTCACCTTTTGACAACAAAATCTTATGTAAAGAGTTTGTAAGGTTTGTTAAACAAAATTTGTATCAATGCCCTAAAAGAACGCAAAAAATTTATAACATTTTCCGTGTGGAAAAGATTGGAGTGCCCAGTGGTTGTGTGTCTTTTTTTGTTGTTCCTTTAGGCTTGTCCGTATTTTCTTGTCTGTTCCAATCCATTCACTCTCTTCACCAATATTGATTGACCCCAAATGCACTCGAGATCCCGTTTCCAATTCGAGCAACAAAGATTTCCCTTTTGCTCTCGATTTTTTGCGATAATCTAATCCCTATCCTAAAGACCTTGAATATGGATTTAGCAGTAAGCTAATAAAAAAAAAAAGTTTTACTGTAAATGTTGTAGATGATTGGTCGAAGACGACTCTCAACAATATGTGTATTTTTGGGTGTTTGGTTGCTCACAACTCTCTATTTCTTTGGCCTTATCACAACGAATAATGGAAACACACTTGATAGAGAAACTTCAGGTTAGTCTAAATCATAATCTAAATCTTGAATCAGAAAAGTTTAGCCCAAAATATATACCATAAAGATGTAGTGAAAGAAGCGCCAAGAGCTCGAAAATTGAAGAATCTCGATTACGGAAAAGTGGAATTTCCAGTGAAAGGAGATCACTTTGAAGACAAAGACAGATTTCATTTGAAACAGGTAACGATTTTTTTTTTCCTTGAGCTTACCGTAAATACTGTAATAGTACCCCACCCCCATAATGACGGTGCGAAGCGTTGCGTAGTCTAGCTTTGAACGAGTTTTTCTCGACACTGGTTTATGCTACAACGCGCGCTTAGGTATCAAAAAATAGCTGAAATTCAGGGCTATTTTTTGATACCAAAGGCGCATTTTTTGAAAGTACGGGCGCTTTGAAAAAAATGAAATACTAAAAAACTTTTGCGACTACGCGACTGTACGAGGGGGGTGGGGTACTATTACAGTATTTACGCTAGGAAAAACTCAAAATCAAAATTTTACGCATATTTATTCAGGATAAAGCTTTGGAGAACGATTTTGGAGAAGTTGAGATGCATGTTGTCGAGAATAAAGAAGAAAATCGAAATCTCAAAGATACAGAAGAAGATTCACAAGAACAAAAAATGGTAACTTCTTTGCTTGAGCTTAACTGTTGTTTTTTTTTTCAGAAAAACATTGCAAAGCCAAAGATTGTGCAGCCAAAAAGAGATGATCAGATTCCAGAAGTGAATCTCGATGAGCTCGCCCTCATCAAGAGTCCCCAAGAACAGGTTACATCAAAATACAAAAATAAAAGTGAATAGAATTTCAGATAGAACATGACACAATTTATAAAAAATATCAATTCAACGGTTGGTTGAGTGATCGAATCGGTCACCGGAGAAAGATCCCAGATTCTAGACACTCTTTGTAAGTTTATCTTTCGAAACTTTCACGTATTTTTTTTCATTTTTCAGATGTTCAAGCGCTTTTGCTTCTGATCTTCCAAAAGCTTCAATCATTGTTTGTTTTTACAACGAATCACCATCAGGTAAATAAAAAAAATTCGTTTAATGTAAGCTAAAAAGGTTCCAGTTTTAATTCGAATGGTGAACTCTTTGCTCGATCGAACACCAATCGAATTGATTCAAGAAATCTTGCTAATTGATGATGGATCAGAGTGGGGTTTGTTAGCAAAATTATTCAATCATTACGTGGAATTGTTTAGCGGAAGCTTACAACGAGGCACTCGAATATAAAGCATCTCATCCTCTATGGAATGGAGTGAAATTTTTAAAAACTCCACAAAATCTTGGATTGATTCGAGCAAAAGTTTATGGTGCTCGAAAAGCAAGAGGAGAAGTGAGTTGAATATTTTCGATTTATAATAGATTTGCCTAGGTTCTCGTGTTTCTCGATTCTCATTGTGAAGTGAACACGGATTGGTTACAGCCACTTTTGGAAAGAATTAACGAAGATCGAACAAGGTGAGTTGAAATAGAAAAAAACTTTCGCATAAAAACACATTTAGAGTGGTTTGTCCAATCATTGACATCATCGATTCACAAACGATGCAATACGTGCAATCGCCCGTATGCAAAGGAGGCATGAATTGGGGGCTTACTTTCAAAGTAAGTAATCTCATCTCAAGAAAGGAAAGGAAAGAAAGGAAAAGAAAAAAAGGAAAGATAGTAAAGGAAAGAAAGGAAAGGAAAGGAAAGATAGGAAAGAAAGGAAAGGAAAGAAAGGAAAAGAAAAAAAGGAAAGATAGTAAAGGCAAGAAAGGAAAGGAAAGGAAAGATAGGAAAGAAAGGAAAGGAAAGAAAGGAAAAGAAAGAAAGTCCTTTCCTCTCTCAAAAAATGCAACTAGATGTCTACTTTTAGTCTCAATACCAATTGTATGTGCCGTAATAATTCTAATAGAAGACCAGCCCTAAAGAAGACCAGTCCCAATAGAAGACCCCCCTTGACCCCTTGAAATCGGGACTTTTAAAACTTCTGTTCAAGTAGATGAAAGATTTGGGTCCAGATAGTAATATTTTAGCCGCGGGAAATTGACCGTAGTTTTTGAAAAAAAAAATAACTTTTTGGAAAATTTCCGGGGGTCCCCCATGGTTTTTTTGAAAGATTTTCTATGGGCGGGCAAGAAAATAATTTCACTTTTAGACATGTTTTTGGCATGTTTTGGGGCAAGGGCTATCGTTTGAAATAGTTTTTAACAGTTGTTTTTAATTTTTTGTTCATGTGGGGACCTTTACCTCTTTTTGACTCACCAATTTTGGGGGGTTGAAAATTAGAAGACCATGGTCTTCTATTAGAGTTATTACGGTAATCGAAATTTTCAGTGGGATTACCCGCATCGGTCTTATTTCGATGATGCCACTAACTATGTGAGACCCCTTCGCTCTGCAACAATGGCTGGTGGACTTTTTGCAAGTAAATCTTTGAAAAGATCCACAGATTGAAAGCGTATTTTCAGTTGATCGTGAATATTTCTTTCACATTGGTACCTATGATGAAGGAATGGATACATGGGGTGCTGAAAATGTCGAAATCTCAATTCGAGTGAGTTTTAAAGGAGGTAAAGATCTCAAAAAAAAAGAAATTTCCAGTTGTGGACTTGCGGGGGTTCTTTGGAGATCATTCCATGCAGTCGAGTAGGGCACATATTTAGGTAAATGTAGTAAAGTAAAGTAGTAAAATCAATAACCCCTAATTTCAGAAGCGTTCGTCCATATGGTACTGATCGAGACACAATGGGGAAAAATGCTTTGCGAACAGCGCGAGTCTGGCTCGATGAATATTTAGTATTTCAAAAACTTTTTTGAACTCTTTTGAAAACTCTTTTTCTTTTAAGGAAAATTTCTACACTGCAAGACCTTATCTTCAAAAAATGAGCGACTTTTTTATGGGTGATATTTCTGGAAGAGTCGAGTTAAGACAACGGCTTCAATGTAAACCATTCAAGTAAGTTATAAAAGTATTCTTTTGAAACTTTTGCTGTTGTGTAACAAGGCGGCTTTTAAAATAGATAAATTTATTTAGATGGTACCTTTCTGAAATCTATCCTGAATTGCTCCCAGGGAACGTTCCTGATGAAGCCGAGATTTCACATAAAGTTGATATTTCGAAAAAGTATATGGTGAGTGGAGAAAGAACTTATTTTAACAAATAGCATTGGATTAAGTTGCAGGTGCAGTGAATTAAGTTACCGTAATTATTAAAGCACCCAATAATGACAGGGTATTGTCGCATAGTCTAACTTTACACACTCCGTTCTCCGCACTGCTTTATGCTAAGATGTGCGCTTGGGTGTCAAACGATAGCACTTCTAACCTAGTATTTTTTGGTATCAAAAACATAATGACTTTGTAAAACGTTGGTAGACTACGCGACTGTACGGGGATGCTTCTATTAGGGGTAGGCTAATTTCCGCAATTTTTTTTGCGCAACTCGCCATAGCTTTCTTCTAAGTGGGTCAATCTTTATGATTTTGGTCTCATTTTATAGATCTAAATAAGTGCAACAAAATGAAATGAAAATCATAAAGATTGGCCCACTTAGAAGAAAGTTATGGCGAGTTGCGCAAAAAAAATTGCGGAAATTAGCCTACCCCTCTATTAGAATAAGTTAAGATAAGTTCAGTGTTTTAGATTCGTTTATTAAACTCTTCGATGTGCATGGCGGCGGATGGATCCGGCAATCACATCTCTCCGGGTTCACCAATAGAAGTAACAAGATGCAATGAAGCAGATAGAAAACAACACTGGAGATACACAGGTATTAGATAACGGATAAAAATAAGATAAAGTATAGATAAAGATAAAATAAGATAAGATATGTTGGGTCCGATTTGGATTGAAATCACCGCTGACCTTCGATTTCGATTAAGTTTCGTAAATTTTCATTAAAATCTTTTTGATTTAGGCTTTTAACTAACCAAGTTTTGAAGTTTTACGACATTTAGGCCAACTGAAGTAAAAAAAAGTAAAATGAATGATTTCAAGCGTTTTCTCACCCCAAAGTACGCAAAAATCTTTAAAATTAGGTATAAGTATTCATTAGTGCTATTCTACACTTGGAACTAGGGCATATCGAAAACTCGTGTGTCGCCGAGACTCCAAAGCAAACTCGAACCTTTCGCTCAGCAAGCAACTGTGCTAACCATTACATCAGAATCCACTTGATCTTCCCTACTCCAGAGGGAGTTAACTCTACTCTCTTCGAACCTTTTATAGATTTATAAAAACAAAGAAACACTCAAGATAACAGTACACGTTATTGTAGCGCTTGAGATTGTTGTGATCCAAATCGGACCTCCGATTTGGACGTTCAATCAAAATCGAACACAACAAATACACAAATGAAAACAAACATTCAGCAAAGCTTGAACTCCGTCCAATGGGTAGCTCTCGTTTATGTGCTGATGCTCTCAAAGGGGCAACTCTACTCAAATGTCATAATCAAGGATTTCAGCAAGAATGGAAATTTACGGTAATGTATTTAAAAAAACAAAGCTATAGCTATCTGTACTTCAAAAACTAACAGTAAGCTATCGCTTTCCAGAAAAGCGGCCAGCTCTTCAACGCAGCCACAGGGAAATGTGTATCGGGGAAAGCCGAGCGCTCTTCTCATCTCTATCTCGAGTTTTGCTCAAAAGCGATTCACTTTGAACTTCTACCAATCTCATAAGGATATTTATTAAATTCTTTATTCACTAATCTTTATCTACTGGTAAATCTAAATCCCTTGATGCGTGCCTTCAAAAATGTGATGCTTTGACTTTACCGTACCTCGCTATAATTTTATTAATTTATTCACGGGTTTTAAATCTCCATAATGTTTTTTTTACCTATTTACTTAAGATGATATTTCTCTAAAAAATGTGATACATACAGCTATTTGTTAAGTAACTTATTGTTTTTGTTTTATACTTTCCTTTTTCTGCAATGATAAATCGGATAAATCTTATAATCCTGAAAAGTAGAGTATTATGGGTAAGCAAAATACCCTACACTTTTTGGGAATATCGTTATTTTGCAAGATTTTCGTACGAAAGAAACTTTTGGATGGCAATAGGACAATACATTTGTGGACCACTGTACATATATCGTTCAAGAAAATATTTTATTATCAATATGAGAATATTTGCAAATATGTGCAGAAACAGGGAGGGAATTTTGCAAAAAAAAATTTGATTTTCATATCACAACAAAAAGGGATTCTTATATTTCTTATAAATCGACCGGTGTTTAAGCTCCAGTATTGATCACCCAGAGAATTTCATATTCAATGATAACAAGATAATTTCTTTTTTAAGACATATTTACAATCTAATTCATGACCTTAATGCAACATAACGATTTAGAAGTTTTTCTTTGATTTTCCCAAGTGGTTTAAGGCATGGGAAAAGATCGATATCGTTTTTCTTTAAAATCTCACAATTGTAATTGCATAAAGATATCATAAGAATTATAAGGAAAACGATAGCTGTAAGCATTCCGATAATTGGAAGACTCAATCCAACCAGCATTGGTACTGGCATCACCTGCAATATTCCTTTAAGTTTTGGCGACTAAAGAGAAAAAGAAGCTTGTCAACTTACGAACTTTTCAAGGTTTCTTTGTTGACCAAATTTTGCTTTGAATTTTGAATCTCTTTCATAGATTTATAAGCGTATTAGGTTTCTTTTAAAGCTAATGCTAATTTTTAGTGTACAAACGTGCACGTGTGGCTGACTGGTTAAGTGTCTTTTATCTTAATCGGAAGGTCGAGGGTTCGAACCCCACATGCGACATGGTCACCCCCTTCGGATTTCCTTTCCCTTCGGGTTGAGAGGTTTTCTGGAGGGCAGTCTGGTGGTTGTGGCCCCAGTTCTTTAAAGTGACAAGCCACTCCTTCATCGTCATCTTCCCTTCACCACCAAAAAAGCTATTTAGTTCCCCATTGAGCTTAGGGTTAGGGAGCCGTCTGTCATGAAGTGGGTTAAGTTAAGATATAGCCTAGTATTGTGTGTGTAGTTGTATTGTGATTGATATATTTCGTGTATGCGATAAATTCACCACTGGTAGCCCCAGTCGGTATTTAAAAAAAAAAAACCCGAAACGAAGTGTCGACGAGGTGTTGAAGCATTGTCTCGGAATCAGAAAGTAGATAAGTGATATCACCACGACATGGCTGAAAAGAAAAGTTATCAACCGTAATAACTGCACAATATTTTCCTTTATAAAGCTTACTAATAAGCTATCCCACGTTCTTTTGCTTACTTGAAAATTCGGAAGATGTGGTGCAAAGGAAAGCCTTCTTTCTCCGACATGCGGGCAATCAATGACATTCAAATTCAAATCCAGACATATTCGCACATCACCCAACAATGTTTGATGAGTCTAAAAAGGTAAAATAATCAACCTAAATCAATCTAAGATAAAAGTAATAAAAAAAGAATTAATCCTCTGCTATTCAACTGGGAAAAGAATAGGGTATTCGGGGGTGGGACAAATGCGACCTTTTTTTGCTGGAAAAGGCCTTAGGAAAGGTCGTAGAGCTTCAAAAATGTTTTCGTAGAAGGGAATCTACGCATACGATTCCCTTATATGGAAATATTTTCGAAGCTCTACGGCCTTGCCTTTTCCAGCAAAAAAAGGTGCGCAAAAAAAGGTAGCATTTGTCCCACTCCCGGGTATTCGATTTTAAATACCTTTTTATCAGTGAGGCAATTGAATTGAATGTTTTTCCCATTCGCCAATCCTTTCCTTAATGCATAATTGATTTCATTCACCGAATATTGATTCTAAAAACTTTACTTCATAATTTAACCTTTAATTTTCTAACCATAGATGGCACAATTCGTTGATCAGCCAGCGCCTTGTCGACGTGGAAACGTGAGAGTTGTTGAAGTGTACTAAAAAACGATTATTACGTTCTTTTTATCTTTCTAATGAATGTAATCACAATTTTTGAGATATAAATCTTAACCTATTAAAATACTTGAGTTGAGAGGAGAGAATTGGATCGATTTGAGCGCAAGTTCCGTGTTTTTCCCATTCATGTTTCCACAGCGAAGAAATCGTTTGTTTTGGGTAAAGATTTGGCCATTCCGATCTATAAAAATAAATATTTACTAAAAAATAGCTTTACAAAGCTTTAATAACTATAAAAGCTTACTTTAATTCCTGCAATATCGATGCCACCTCATTGATGTCAAACTTTTGACGAGTGCAAAATTGTGGGTAACTTCCATTGGCGAAATTTGGCCTAGAATTGTTTTGCTTGAATATTATTCACATTTTCAATAACTTAAAACACTAATCTATTTATTATTTCATTTCTAAAACTATTAATTTAACGAAAAAGAAACCATAGTCCGTGAAGTGTCCATTTGGGAGTGTTTGCGGGCACTTCACACGAATCTCGAATCGTGTCATCGTCGGCTCGACACACCGCTTCTGGATATATCAATGTCAGCATCAAATAATCGAATCCATTTCTTCTTTCTGCAATAATGAAAATAGATTTTCTTAAATTTAAAGAAAAACCTAAATATCGTTCGGGATCATTTCCAATCACAAGTCCTCCTCGTGGTCCCGCCATTCGTCCCACCACATCTTCACTCAAATATAATAGAAATATTAGTTTCGTGAAAATAAAAAGCATTCCAAGGATGATTGAATTGAAAACTCGGCAATGTTCAAGTCAATTTATCACTTCTTTTCGATTCTAAAAATACAAACAATCAATAACACGTGCTTGGAAGGAATGGTAAACAATAGATCGTGTCATGAAAGAAAAAAAGGTTGTAAATTGTAAGAAAGTTAAAAAAACTAAATTCGATCAAAGAAAATTGTAGGTTATGGTGGAAAGAAATCGATTTTGGAGTGAGTAGTTTGTTATCTGTCAAGGTTTTTTTTCGAAAGGGTAGAGAAAAGAAAATGGCGTCCTTTTGTAGGCAGAGACGCCGAGAAAGAAAAGATAAAGGCAGAGAAAAAGAATCTTTTTGTGAATTGTGAACAGATGTTTGTCAATTCATCCTTAGATCTTAACGATTAGAGAACTGAGTCAGAAGTGTTTAGTTTAAAGGAAATGAGTCAGATTCGGATATGTTTGGGAAAAAGCGGAATGCAAATGGAAATTCAATGGAAATGAAGCACCATGAAAATCAGAATCTAAACTATTTCCTATTAAGCTGTTCAGTTGAGAATCGTCTCTTTCAATGTTGTGTCTACATTGGAGACAATCTCGATCAACAAATTGTCTTATGAATCATCCAGTGGCAATTTGAGAAAGATGTTTTTAAAAACACTCTGTGAAAGAACTCAAAAATGCAAAAGATTTATAATTAGCTAGGAATATCGAACTGTTATTTCAAGTGAGGAACTCAAGAATAAAGACAGACTTTACCGTTTACCTTGATAGAGCTATGAGCTTATGAGTCAAGAAAAAGCAAGGCTCAAGGCTCAAGGGAGTCCAACAAAATTCAAAAAAAGCTTGATACGCTGTAAAAGACAGAACAGAACCGTAACCCGATATTGGCTACTTTTCTGTTATACCCGCGCAAATTTTGCCTATGCATCAATCCTAATATCCGCCGCAAAATTTGTGTTTTAAAGAGCTTCAAAACAATTGATTCCAGTATATGATTGGACATGCTAATTTTGCGGGGGTATTGACGCATGGGGGAAAAGTTTGCGATTGTAATAAAAACAGAATCGTACCCGATATTGTTATCACTGTTACAGCTGGTTTTTCTTGTTATGTCTCATCCTTCTTTACAACCCTTTTCCAATTATCTGGGTCCATTTTAAAGTCTTGTTTGTCCATTGGTCTTGTTTAAAATTGCACAAAGCTGACTGTTGAGTCACTCTCAAGTTTTTTTGGGGAATAAATCATTAATGAAAAGAAGAAAGAAAAATGAATCGGGGATGGAATCGGGCGAAAGATCAATCAATCAATTCAATACAAAAGCTCTGGAAAGTTAATAAAAATCGGCTTTAAAACCAGTTTCAGATAAATGTATGGTTTAACAAAACGAGAAATAAACAAAACGTGTTAACACGTTGACGACATTGTCACCTGATGCTGTCTGACACATATTCGTTCGCCTGGGACATTTTGGGACGCCTGGGACATTTTGGGACGCCTGGGACATTTTGGGACGCCTGGGACGCCTGGGACACCTGATGTCAGGTGACAGTACCAAAATTGATTTCTCTGTGCATATTTATGTTTGCTGATGATGGATATTAAATAAGCAAGTAGGGTAGTATCTATATTCGACTTGGTCCCGGAAAATGTCAATTTAACCGTTGATTATTAAAATTTTAATTTTTTAGGTGGCAATTTCAGGTGACATTTTTTGTCGAAAAAAACAACGTTGTCCCATGCGATTGTTTGTGCAAAAACGTCATTGTCATCAACGTGTTAAGGGGAGAAAATTGGAGTACAGAGAATAATCTTGAAATTATTGAACTAAGACGTGTCAATCTATAAAAATAAGCTAAAATTTTCTTAAAGGCCAATAAACTTCGCGGAGGCTCAGGAAAACATTTTAGAAGCGAAAATCGAAATAAATCGAAATAAACTCCCTAGAAAAAGGGTAGAAAAAGGGCTTTTCGTATCTCGATTGGGCACACGTGTGATGAGCGGCAGAAAATCGCCGATAAAGGCTTTGTGTTTCTCTCGATTTATTTTCCCTCTTTCTGTGTGCCCCATTTCTTTTTTCAATTCATCCTAATTAACCCAAAGAAGTTTGAAACACTCCTGAAATTTCCCACGCATTTTTCTCTAGGGTCAAATTTTGTATTTTTATTTGCTCTTAGAGTGACAGCTGAAAAGAGATTTTCTTCTTCTTCTTCAGCTTTCTTTTTTGTGCCTTGTCCCGGGATCATGCACTGTTGTAATGCCATCCCCAGCTCGGGTCAAACCCCGTCCGAAGAAAAAAAAACAGAAAGAATTGAGGATCTCTCATTTTGCCGCTACAGCTAGTTCCTGTTTTTCTCAAATTTTCAAATGTTTTTGATATTTCGATAATATTTTCTTGTGATTCATGAGATTTTTATCTTGATCGCACTCACATTTCCAAAATTCGAAAGACAAAAAAGCTTTCTTTAAATTTCAAATTCGATCTTGAACATTTGAAAATGTCATATCTTCATTTTGCAAAAATATTTCGAAAAAACGTCATGCAATACTTAGGTAAAGCTCAAAAAGGCTTAACGATTAGAGAAGTGAGTCAGAAGTTTAAAGGAAATCCGTTCAACTCAAAAAAGGCTAATCACAGGTTGGAGAAAGTATTCTAGTCAACATATGAAACTAATCAAGTCAGAAATGCGGGTATGGGTGGCCTCGATTGTCTACTACAGTTATTGCTATGCAGTTTGTGAAGTTTTAAGGTAAAAAAAACTAATAGAAAAACGGAAAATTGTGTTTATAGGCTGGTAGTGTTGTATTTAGTCCCAAAGCCAAGGCAATCACTCACAATACAACTGCTGCTTGAAGTTTGTCCCATAAACACAACAAAATTCTAAATAACTTTCTTTCAAGTTTGTCGGCACGATCCAAATTTGTGCCCCGATGTTCGATGTGGGTACTGTCATGGAAAACTACGGGTTATTCGGTAGAAGAAAAAAAAAAGATAACGAAAAGAGTCACATAATTCAGGTGTTTTCATTGAAATCACAGGCCTCGAGATCGTCAACAGTTTCCTTCTTCGCGATGCCATTGCTCATCCGTGTCCAATTGTACTTTACATTAATGGTTTTAAAGATTGTTTTTATTGCTAGGTGACAACATGTTATCGAAAGAGTAAAGCAATCCGAAGGGCTATTTATGTATTCTTGGTTCAAATCACTGCGGCCTATTTGAGCTATTTTGTTGCTAGGTAAGTGTGAGTATAAACGGCCGATTATTTTAGATTATTTACAGGCAATTCTGGAAATTTGGGATTCATCAAGCTCACACTGAACTCTTGCACACAAGCACTTGCACCGCCGATTTAACAGTCGGTTTTATATAGAATTGGGTGAGATACGTGCAACCAGAATTTCAGGTCGCATTGGCAGTAGGATGTCTGATCGAAGGATCGGCGGTTTTTATCGCAAAAGCATTTGAGCATTTTGCCACCGAAAGGCGAGTTTTCAACAGAAACTAACAACAAAATGTTTAGATACCCAGATAGTACAACTCAAATTTTGGTGAACTGTTCCTTTGCGGGATTTTTATGTGTGCTAGGTGAATGCCTTAATTCCTAAGATAGGTTCAAACTTATGTTTAGGAATCAATTTTACTGGCATGTATGCAAATCCAATCGTTGCCTGGGCTTGCACGTTCAATTGTGAAGGAGTTTCTCATATTGGGCATTTGTTTGTATACTGGCTAGCCCCTCTAATTGGATGGTAGCAACAACCAAATCAAATCATTCCCAGTGAATCTTTAGGTATGCTTCCGAGATTGTTTTTGGCGCTGAAGATAGCGAAGTCTTCTGTGAAGAACCAACTGAACCAACCAAAGAAACCAAAAAAGAGAAGTAGCTTGTTCATTAATCGATTAACTAGGTTCATTATAAATTTTTTTGCTGTGAGTTTGTCGACAATGCACGTTAAAGTTTATAGCCCAGTTAGTAAAAGAGGACATTTAATCTTTTTGCAACAAACAATACAGATAATCAATCAGAGATACAGAGATACCAGTACTCGTATTCAGATGGGATAAGAGATTAGTAAGTTAATTAGAAAGTCGATAATTTTTCAGCATCACACTCAGAAAATTTGAAAGAACGAATGTGAAAGCGGCACAGCCTTCTAAGCGCTTTAGAGCTAGCAAGTAACTAACTAATTATGCAAAGGCAAATTCACAAACTAGTTAATATGTAGTAAAGAGTGAGGACATTCAATAGCAGCAACAGCATGATTGCTAGGTTCCATATATTTCTCGTAAATACTATCCTTGAGCTCGCTTGGTGCCTTCTTGAAAGCCTTGATGAGCATGTGACAGACGGGCACTAAAAATAAAAATAATGAGGTAACATTTAGACACTAGACTTTCAGCAAAAAAAAGTGAAATGATTCATTACCAATTTGTCCATGTTGCAAAAGAGCTCGTCGAGAAACTTCATCATCATTGAAATCGACATGGTCTGCGATCACACGAGCAGTATGTACAACAGCGGCACCAATAATTGATGGGAATTGTTCGAGAAAATCCGACTAAATTAAAACAACTTTCGTTATTTAAGCAATAAATCACTTACCTCGACGAGTGAAAGCTCAATCAAATAAGAAACAAGTGCACTAGTACGGTGTGACAAGTTGCAGAAAAAGCCAAGCCTAAAAAGCATCATAAAAAAATCTCAAATTGCACTGAACCGTGAAGAAAACCAGCTGCAAGTCGGCAAAGAGACATCGAACTGAAGAGTGTTCATCAAATAGCGCTCCATTTTGATCATATCTCGACCAGTACAGGCGTCGGCTGTCGAGAAGACAAAATCTTTGACTTCCGGAAAATAGATTTCTTCCATTTTACTAAAAGTAGACGTCTTGACAAAACTTAAAAAAAACCGGTACCAAGCAATCATGAGAGCGGCAGCGCCGACCAGTTGATAGCTCCGTTTTGGTACAACTTTGCGCGACAACATACGGTCGATAATGGCAACAGAAAGAGCAAGTGTTTCCTAAAATCATCCGACAATATTTATGCGATTAATGACCATACCAAATTCAGATTGTAGTCTGCACAGACATCACTCATCCACTCAACGAGGGTAAATCGATTTGCAGGAGTGATTTCCGTCTGTGTGGGGAAATAATTTGGACTTGGTCGCAACAACACTTCTCTGCAAAAATACTATAACAAACGAGAAATGAATTATTACCTTCGTCTCATGTATTGATAAATATCGGCTTCAAAATCAGATTCAAAAAGCAATTCAAAGGCATGCTAAAAGTAAAAGTTCACAATTATTCATTCTTTGTCACCTCAAAATTCTCTGCGGCAGATTTTTGAGTCGGCAACTCAATATCATCTAGCTCCATTTCATCAAGAACAGGCCTTGGTGAGCGCTGGGGCAAGCTTTCAAAAACTGTTGAAAGTGCATCTTCGTAGATCGATGCTGTCGACACACTTGGTGCAATTGAGTGTTCCTGTAAAAGCGTATAAGTGGAAACTAAACAATCACCTACAGTTTTAGTCCTGATCTGGTGATTTGCAATATCCTTCAGTTCTTTCTTGCTTGTTGCCTAAAATTCCAGAAAAATTATGTTTCAAAAACTAAAAATACCTTTTTCAAATCCTCTGCCCGCTTTTCGAGCTGATGAATAATATTTGTGTTCATACTCTCATCTTCCATCGGAACAGATCTTAGTGAGCGCTGGGGCAAGCTTTCGAAAACTGTTGAAAGTGCACCTTCGTAGATCGGTGCTGTCGGCACACTTGGCGCAATTGAGTGTTCCTGTAAAAGCACATAAGTGGAAACTAAAAAAGCACCTACAGTTTTAGCCTTGAGCTGTTGATTTGCAACATCCCTCAGTTGTTTCTTGTCTTTTGCCTAAAATTCAGGAAAATTATGTTTCAAAAATCCAAAATACCTTTTTCAAATTCTCTGCCTGCTTTTCGAGCTGATGAATAATGTTTGTGTCCATATTCTCATCTTCCATCGGCGAATCCATAAAAACTTCGAAAGTCGGCTTTGTTTGCGCCTTGAATGCAATGCCATGGAGACCAATCTTTGAAGCACAAGCCTAAGGTAGGTAAATCTTTTAAAAAAATAGACAAAATTACCGTTTCCTTTAGAACTCCTTTCATCTGCCCACCCAACTTCAGGTTGCTAGTGCCATTTTGTCGCTGCAGTCGAGGCTTTTGTATGTTGTCAGCAGGCAGAGACATCTTTGCAGAAACTAAATATGCCTACTTGTATAAGGTTGTTAAGCTACAAATAAAATAAATCTGAAATAAAGTATGAGGTCGACTAACTAGATGTAAACTTTAAAATAAAACGAGGTTGTCAGGAGAACAAGGTTAAGCTCGTTCGCTTTAATTTTACGATTAGTTGAATAAAAAAAATTTTGCGAGTGCAACTACAGAATAGGTGCAAAATAGAAAATAGGCAGTACGGTAAGAATAATAAAATAACGGTGATTTCAGCCAAATATCTGTGTATTTTTAAATTATCAAATATCAAATTTTACAATCAAAATTTCTTCAATGAGAAGAACAAATCATTGTCTTTCTTTTGTGCCAAAAACAGGCGTGGTTCCCCTTTGCTAATTTGAATCACCCAAGCAGTACCATTTTGCCGCCATACCGTAGTTATTGAGAAGGCAGGCTATAGCCGCAAAATCTCCGTCTTTCCAAGATTTTGGAAGTGGCTCCTGATGTTGTTAAAATAATTGTCTGTAAACCATTTTATTAAGCTAAAACTTTTAAAGTCGACTTTTTCCATTCCAAAAACAAGAAAAAAAAATGTTTTGACGACGTTTCACCTCACTTGAACTTTATTTCAATACTTTTGTTCGATACGTAGCTATCTAACTTATTCCAGAGTCTTGTAGTTTTGCAAATTCGATGTCTCTTTTCATTTTATAACCTGTTTTAATTTAGATATGCTTGGGGTAGGAATCAATGCGCAGAAGTTGGTTCCATGCACGTCGACTCGAACGGCCGTCCGATTTATTCGAGCCAGATGGGAGCGCCCCTATTTGAAAGATCTCTATCATCGACGAATGCTTCTTGGCGCTGATCCGGAAATCCATCGATCGTCGTTTCCTAATTGGTAATGGTTTAATCTTGTTGGGGACCCCGTGACTGCTTACTAAAACATCTTTTCTGGCCAATAGGCTGGGCGATGGGGTTATTGAACCCTCTTTTAGTGTTCGTAACCATCATTGCAATGCGGCTGTTGCTGCTTCGCAACTCTGGGCCCCTCTCAATTCGGAAATTGATGTTGCGTCGGATGCTTTCGTTCAAAACAAAAGCTCAATGGAAGAAATCGTTTCGGACCTACGGAATAAAGTTAGTTGCAACTTTATACCAGATTTTTTTTTGTTTTGAGATTGCCAAAATATCAATTGGTGGCGATGAAAAGGCGCGTTCTCTCCATCGCAAACGGAATAAATTGATGGCACGCGAGAGAATTGAAACGTTAATTGATCCAGGTGGGGTGATTTGATGAAACTATAAATTAAAACTTTTATCTTTAGGCACTGCGTTTCTGGAGCTGAGTCAACTAGCCGGTTACGAGATGTACGGTGATGATGTCCCTGCAGCAGGCATTGTGACGGGAATAGGATCAGTCGCTGGAAAAACCTGCATGATTGTTGCGAACGATGCTACTGTAAAAGGAGGAACTTATTATCCGATGACGGTCAAAAAGCATTTGAGGTTGGATATAACATAGTTTTATAACTTAACATTTGCTTAGAGCCCAAGATATCGCACGGGAAAACCGTTTACCATGCATTTATCTTGTCGATTCGGGCGGTGCAAATTTACCACGCCAAGCTGATATCTTTGCTGATTCACAACATTTCGGTCGTATTTTTTATAATCAGGTAAGCCTTGTTTTTCATGTCTAAAACATAAATTGATTAGGCGACCATGTCATCCGATGGAATCCCACAATTAGCCGTGGTGATGGGCTCGTGCACTGCTGGTGGAGCTTACGTCCCAGCAATGAGCGATCAGGCATGCTTATCGTTTAGTTTTTCAATTAAAAATTTTAGGCAATCATTGTTCGTAAAACTGGAACCGTATTTCTTGGAGGACCTCCGTTGGTTAAAGCAGCAACTGGAGAAGAGGTAAATTTGAGCTGAGTTTTGTCGATGAAACCCTTTGAAGATTTCGGCTGAAGCTCTTGGTGGTGCCGATCTACATTGCAGCGAATCTGGAGTTACTGATTATTATGCGCACGATGATCAACACGCTTTAGCCTTGGCTCGAGCTGCGGCCGCTGGATTGCCTTCTCAGGTTGCATTTAAAGCTTATCCTTTCAATTACCTCTCAATTAGTAGTTTTTGTGTCTCTAATGGTTTAAAATTTAGACGCCAGCTTTCGAACAAGAATTTGAAGAGCCACTGTTTCCCGCTGAAGAGATTTACGGAATAGTTGGCTCTAACCTGAAAAAAACATTTGAGGTAAGATGAATTAGGCTTCTATAATATATTTTTTTGAAAACAGGTGCGTGAAGTCATTGCTCGAATAGTTGATGGTTCACGATTTGATGAATTTAAGCCCCGTTATGGAGAAACTTTGGTGGGTGATTTTCTTTATCGACTAGAAAACTCTGAGTGTTTAGGTGACGGGTTGGGCGCGTTTATATGGAAGACAAGTCGGAATCTTAGCGAACAACGGTGTACTTTTTTCGGAATCAGCAGTGAAAGGAGCTCATTTCATCGAACTTTGTGCTCAACGTGGGATTCCTCTTCTTTTTCTGCAAAATATCACTGGTAATAATTGGAGCAACCTTGTTTTATAAAAACTATTTTGTAGGGTTTATGGTTGGTCGTGACGCAGAAGCGGGCGGTATTGCAAAACATGGTGCCAAATTGGTAACAGCCGTTGCTTGTGCTCGAGTACCGAAGATTACTGTTTTGATTGGGGGCAGTTATGGGGCTGGAAATTATGGAATGTGCGGTCGTGCTTATTCACCGAGGCAGTTTAAAATCTCTGATTTAGCTATTCTTATTTAGGTTTTTGTTTATGTGGCCTAATGCTCGTGTATCGGTGATGGGTGGAGAGCAAGCTGCAAATGTCCTTGCCACAGTGCAAAAGGATAAAAGGTATTTTAGATATTGTTTAAAATTTACAGTTGATTTTTTTAGAGCGAAAGAAGGCAAAACATGGACTCCAGAGGAAGACGCAGCTTTACGGAGACCTGTGGAGGTATTCAAATGATATGCATAGACATTAAATGTCGCTTAGGCTAAATACGACAAAGAGGGACATCCTTATTTTGCTTCTGCACGACTTTGGGATGATGGAGTCATTGATCCAAAAGATACGAGAAAAGTCGTTGGATTAGCTTTACAGGTTGGGCCTTTATTTTAAAACGAATTAATTTTTACTTAAGGCTTGCCTCAACAAACCAATTGAAAAGACAACATTTGGCGTTTTCCGAATGTAAAATAGTCTTTAGGATATAGTTTTATGCTCGATTCTAATCAAATGTTTGATATGTGCATATATGATGAGCTTATTTTTGTGCATTTCTATGTGTTTCAGATAAACGTTTTGAATTTTGTTGTTTACAAAAAAGCTAAATGAAAATTAAAAGCAGTCACGGGGTATGAAAATTGTGAAATGATTAAAGGCCTAATTAATAGATGAGTTTAGGAATTACAACGCTGAAGTGTATGCACTTGGCCATAGATTGGGAGCTAATCATGTCTTACCGGAGCAATGGCTTCAAGCTTTTACCACCCAAAGTTATGCATCAAGAGCTGATGTAACAGGTTACTAAACATTCACTTTACTTTTAAATAGTTTTTAGAAGGGGCGAGAGATGCTCGACCTACGCTGGGCAACTCTGCTTTGGAGTCGGTGGCTGATCACAAAGCTCTTCGAGATCACGGCTCAAAAATTTTGCTATCACGAGTAGCTGCATACTTGCGGTTCCATCTACCTAAAGCACCAGAAGAACTGATCCAATCTGTTACATTACAGCTAACCAGCAATGAGCTTTTGAGCGAGATCGGAAATGTTTTGGGTTTGTTTTATCGGCTAGTGGTAATTTCTAGGAGTTCTCTAGGAAAAGGTTATGCCAATCATCCAAATTCTAATTAATATTTTAGGAGTAAAAGTGCTGGTACGAACCTCGGAGCATCCCGCAAGCTCCAGCAGCGTGGCTGATTGCGTGTGTGCTTTACTTGGTGTTGTTGGAGACAAAACGGCTACACGACTAATTGTTGATTTTATTGTTTGTTGCATTTTGGGTATACATGGTTAATTTTTCTTTAGATTCCTCAACTTCTGGACGTAGATTTTTGCGAAGCACTACCATTGGAAGCACCTTATGAAGTGATGGAAGCCATTCTCAAAAAGCAGGGTGTCCAAGAGGTACACTTGATGCATAAACATTTTCATGCGTCTATTTAGGTGGAGGCGCGCCTAATTAAATCTGCGGGTGTTGTCAGTGCTGAACCCTTATATGTCGTTGGAATTTATGCAGATAAGGAGTTGATTGGACAAAGTATTTGTGCTTTTTCTACAATTTTATCAAAAAATTTTAGGTGCGGGCGAATCATTATTCATAGCAGTCGATTTAGCATCCAGGGATGCTTTATTGAAAATGTGGGATATTGTGCCAGAGAAGTATGTTTAAAATTAATTTTGATCAGCATGAACGTTTAGAGTCTTTTTCTTTGGTGATCGAGCAGTAAACGATGTTGATTTTAAAGCATATCAACAACCGCTTTCTTCGTTAAGCGCGCTTTGCGGCAAAGGGTATTTATATTTTGTTTGCGGAATTGAAAAAAATTTATAGGGTAAACATTTCGCTTGAGACAACCGAGCCCGATTCCGGATTGAATTTGGTCGAGGCTGCATTGCGTTGGCGCAATGAGATTGAACCTGTTGGTTTTTTAAAAATGAAAATTACTATATGTTGTTTTAGGTTGTTGGCAGAACATACACTAAGCGGTTGCGGCACAAATTCTCGCGAGGATCCCTTCTCAGACGGACTTTCCGATATTTGATCAAACCACGTGTTTATACTGTTGCTTAAGTCATGCCGTGCCTTATTTTTTTGCTTGAAGTTATTTTTTAATTTGTTTGAATTGTGCCTTTGGCGAGGGCTGCTTTATTTTGACCCGACACCGCGCTACTCTTTACGACTGCTCCTAGTGCTGTGAGTAGCCCCATTAGGTTTTTGCCTCCACTACTACCTAGGTTATTGTTTTGTTTCTAGATTCATTTTTAGATCTTAAAGCTTGATTTATCTTTTGAACATTGTAGAATGATTTAGATTGACCAATATTAGTGAAATTTGTTGCTGAAATAAACAGTTTACTTTTGTAACTTTTGTAACTTTGTTCTGATTTTTGTTCAAAGCTACCAAATTTCAAATATTTGAATAAAATGAATGGCTCATATTTTAAATGAAAAAGTTTACAGGCCGGCTATCAACATCAATGAAAGATCTCATAAACCATGGCTCCACTAAAAGTATCAACTAGCACAAACTATGAAATAGACCCACTAGGTAACAATAAACCTCTGAGAAATTTACGTCAAATTTTATCAGAACTGGAACTCACCATGGAAAAAATTCGCCAAACTGCTTCGAAGATCACATGGGAAGGCCTTGCAGGAGCACTGAGACGAAATATGATGGTTTGTTGAACAACCATTGACTTTGAAAAGAAACCCTACGCACCACCATCAATGATCAATATTGAATTTCAGGATAAACGCTCCAATCTTGATATCAATGATCGATTAGATATCCAGCGTGCTCTCGCAATTTTTCGTAAATCTTTGCCGATTGAAGAGACCTCTGATTTATCAATCAAATTAAGGTGGAAATTTGTAAAAGAGCAAGATAACTTAATGAGTGTAGACAATTGGCTGATGGACTCGAATGTCAATTCTTGGTCGAGCCTGGGTTAGTATTCATTAAAAATGCAGATGTGGCTATCGAGATAACAGTTGAGGCTTCAGAGGTATCAAGGCTCTCCCAAAAGATTTAGAAGCATAGCATTCAGGTCAAGTCTGCCAAAATTGCCTATTTTCAAGCTGCTCCCCTCTATTTTGCAGAGTTCCGGTTTGAGGGATTAAATTGTACCCAAATAAAAAATTCTTTATAGGGAACTTGTAGCGAAAAATGAATGGGAAAAAGTGCGGAATGGAGTTCATTCGGTGCTCGCCTCGATTTCAAGCTTTCATGCCCAGGAAAGATCTGAAGTAGCACACGCATTATCCGTTTTTGAGACTTGGATTGCTAGTCAAGGATTGGTAAGTCGATATTAAAAATGTATATGTTTCAACTAAAATTATTTGATTTTTTCAGGCAAAGCAAGGCTGTGATCCGACATCTTTCAACAAATTACCATTGGGTGCTCTTCTTCCTCGTTCTCCTTTACGACCTGCTCGTTTACTGTTTGCTGCTGATCCCACTTATGCACAGAAATTCGAACAACCCGAGTTCGATTTAGAAAAAAGTTTGTTGTTAAACTGCAAAACTTTCAGTCACCAAATTCAGATTCGGAGTCACTTCCATATTTCGAGATTTTGGTCACTCCTTGTGATCAAGAAACCAATCTACCTTTTGGAGTTGCCGGGTAAATTTGTGTTTCTTTTATCGAAGAACTTTTGGCTTTCAGTACCGAATGGACAACACAGAAAACGATGAAAGCTTGCTTCACATTGAAATTTTCGAGTCCATTCATTTTCTCAGCGGATGTCTGGCGGTCATTGCAGCGGTAAGAAAGAATCAAAATTTACAATTCAAGATTGATTTTAGATTTTTGGCAAAACCGTCTTCGATTCGAGAGCATGTAAATCTCTATCGATATCTAAGTGGTTATGATATGAAGGTAAAGATAAAAAGAAAAATATCACAGAGATAGTCTTTCAGAAAAACGAATTTCTTTTGCGAGCCTCACTCAATGGAGAACAATTTTACTACTTTGAGGTAAAAAACCTCGTAATTTGAAAAATTGGAAGTTTTAGATCTCAAACACGGAGCTTTACGATGAATCGGATGTGATTGTCAATGAGCTGCATCTAATTGATGGAAGAGATTTGAAAAAGGTTTAAAAAAATGAAAAAATAACATGACGAAGAGAATAATTCAGGTTCTGAATCTGGTGCGAACTCAATTTTCTCATAATACTTTCTACAAATCGTTGCTCGCTTGGACGATCGGTCACAAGAGGAAAACTACATACAGCCTTTTGCGCATTCAAACTTCACTTTCTACAAAATGTTTCGAGTTTACTTTTGGCACCGGTCTCAACCTTTCAATTGGTAAGCACACTGATAAAGTAATTAGTAATGAGATTATTGTTTTAGTTCGTATCTTTGAAAACAATGGAGAATGGATTGTCCAAAGTGAAGGCACCGATGGACACTCTGATGATGATCTTCTTGATAAGAGGGCGACCGCTCTCTTTGAAAAGTTTGTTTTCAAAATAATGAGAGAGTCAAAAAATTTTAGGTGTTGGTCTCTTCCTATTCTACTCCGACATATCATTCAAGCTCGTGATATAAAATTTGAAGCGATTAATTCGAATAAGGTTTGGTATAAAAGAAAATCCTCAAAATATAGCCCATTTTAGCGTCTCGATGATGACGAAGCGATGGATACGGATATTAAAGAAAACGATTTATTGCAATCTGATAAAGTGGCTTCCTCTTGGTTACAGTGTTCTCATCATCATCAAAAAAAACGTAAACGCGAGCAATTCGACTTTACGATCGAAGATCCACTAATGACTGATGGAACTGAGCCAGCCGGCTTATTGGAATTGTGGAAAGAAAGGGATGAGCGCCCAGTGGAGCTCATTCCACCACAAGAACCATGTCGAAGTGCTCGACGGGGTGGTCGCGATCTTGCGCTTGATGCTCTTGCTTCTTCTCGTACTGCTCATCGTCTCGTTTCTGACACCACTCTTCAGAACAATGCCGTCTCCGATTTGGTTCGTCCACAAATCTTTCCCTTAACCAATCGGAATTCGAATCCGAGCGGCTCTCTCAATCCCTTCCAAAACGTATCGCCAAAAAATACAAATCCTGACTCACAAAATTGCTACAATCAACATAAAACAATTATCTTAATAAATGTTAATAAATCTTTTTTCGAAAGGAGGCTGATACGATTTGGAATGGATTTTTTTTCTCACAGACACACAAAACTATACGACGCAAAGCAGGCGATACGTTTTTGGTTTGCAGGATGAGATCGCAAGACTGGCCCAAAATCTGGATGAGGATTATACGAGAGTCGGAGTTTCGACACCGACATCAGCGTATCCGTACTTTGGTGGATCGGGTGTCTCACCGCGTGGTTATCACTCTCATTCATATATGAATATGCCTGGTGGAGGGCAATTGAGTCCTCTCGAAAATGCACGACAAAAGATGAATGTAAGAAATCAAAAAAATGTTAATTACAAAATATTTTTTTTACTAGGCGCTGGTTAATGCTAAAAATATGTGTTATATCTTAAAAAATTACCCATCTTCTCTATTTTAATTTGATAACGAAGCGAGCAGAAACAAACCTACTGGTGTCGAGATATGAGCGTTTATTTGAGAGGAAACTTAGGCTACTTGGTATTTATTTGCGACGCTCCTATAGAGACTTCTATTAGAGGATTGATGGTAGTTAATTTAAGCATTGTTAGAAGTCTCCTACCGTGAATTTTCTACAGTAAGCTTATTGGTAGCCAACGTGGTTTTCAGGCGGTGGTTACTGGAAATGAGATGTATGATTTCCCGGATGAGACATCCTCCCAAGGCTCATTTCCTTCACCACACTATGGTTCAACCGGTTTCAACACACCTTCTTACATGGTATTATCGAAAGACTAATTATGCTATATCTATTGTTTATTTTGAGAGCGCCTCCGCTTCTCCACTTGGTGCTTCTTTTCGTGGACAGGTAGTTGAAAGGGGGGAACACAGAAAAAGGTAATCAAATTCAGCCGACAAAAAGAAGAGGCAGAGGGAGAAGGTCGGGAAATGTGGGAGATCGAGAGGGATCCGTCGAATCGCCTGGTCCACCAACTGCACGGAAAACTCGTGGATCATCCACTGGGCAAAGAAGGGGTGGCCGAGGGGTTAGGAAAAGTGTTGGCCCGGAACACACGGTTTTCGATCAACGACCGCCACTCATGCGCACATTCTCCGATGCGCCTTATTCGAATGAACCGCCAAGTAAGTGCAAAAGAGAAAAAAAGCTTTCAACAAGATTTTAGCCCCGTTTTCCACCGGTTCCTCGTCACACTCGCCATTTGTTGAAGAGAGCGATAGCGATGAGGAGACTGATCCACCAAAGTACATCCCCGGCGCCTCACACGCACAACATCATCAACAAGTATAGTCGAATTTATTTCCAAATATACAAATATAAATACAAATTAAAAAACGAGCAAATAGGAATTTCAGCAGCTATCGAGTTCTTCGATAATCACCGCCACGGTTGCTCCATCACCAGCGGCTCTAGCAGCTCAGTCTGTTGTTGTGCCACCCGTTTCTCAGGCACGAGAACACTCATTTAATTTAAATCAAAACATTTTAGCCTCTTAATTCAAACTTTGGCTCAGTGTCACCGAAATCGAGAAAACTGAGTATGGATTTGATCTCGGGAAAGCCATCTCCGTCGATCAGCTCGACTCTAACGCCAACCACCACCGCTTCTCCTTTCCCTTCTTTGAGTTCTATGGTATTTTTTTTTGCCAATTCTTTAAAAAAAACATTTTCTTAGCCACCTGCGCCTAAACCGAAAGCCTTCTCTGATTTGTATGATGATGGAATCGATTCCCCGCCACCACCACTTTCCGCAAATGAAGGCTCAAGTGATGGTCAAGCTACTCCTACTCAACCGCCACACATTCAACCAAGCCCATCTGTAACTATATCTCCTATTGAAAGAAAACCAAGCATATTGGTATGTACAAACAGTACCAATTGAGCATACAACATTTTAGCAATCTCCTGTTCGAGCATTTAACAGCTTCGAGGCTGCTCTCGCTATGGGTGACATGCCAACATCAAAGGTTTGTCAAGAAAAAATCAATAATTTGTTAAGAAGCTGATAAATGGTAAACTAGTGGGGTGGATTTCAGGAAAGTTCTTCAACTCGAGATGGGAAACTCATTATCAAGGTTCACTTTACTGTTTGAAAATGAAACCCTTGCTGTTTTGCTCTCACTAACGGGCTTCTTTTTTTTCGGGTTGCTGGTGAAAGGAATTATTTGGAATTTTTTTTCTTGAAAAGACTCAATTTCAGATACCGAAAGATCCAAAGACGACACGAGGAAGTCCATCGGTTGAGTCGATGAAGAGCAAGGTTGTTTTTTGGCAAAATTTTCATGTTTCATCAACTGAATCTTTCAGTCTTTAAAGCTGATCTCCATGACGGATAAGAGTGAGAAGAAGGAACGGGAAAAAGAGAAAGATAGTAGAGAAAAGGAACGAGAAAAAGAAAAGAAAGGTCGACGAGAAAGTATCGATAAAGATCCGAATGAGAAAAAGGTAAAGCAAAAAAAAGATAAACCCATAAACACCCTAGAGATTATAAGCTAAAATTCTAGCTTGGATATAAATTTCTAGTTTCGTGTTGAAAGAACTCGGATAATGTTGTCTAAAAAACAGGTAAAACGGGGAAATCAATTTATGGATTTGTTTTTGCCTGCAAACAAAAATTTTTGCTATTCTGCTTCTTTGAAGATTGATTTTAAAAGTTAAAAGATTTCAAAAATGAATTCAGGATTTGGTTGCTGGCATAAAGACGACAAAAACAATATCTGATGAGAAAAGGAAACGAAAGCTTGAACGAGAGAGAGAAGAAACGCGACGAGAACATAAGAAAAACAAACTCGAGAAGGTAATTCGTTAAACATTTTGCCTATTTAATGAACGATTTTCAGCCGGATAAGGAGCGCGACAAAGAGAAGAAAGATTCTTCGATTGTTCCCACTCCACCACTTCCATTCATGCAATCACTCAGCTCTTTCAAGATACCCAAGAAAACCACTGTAAATTTCATTCAAATATTCCACTATTTTCAAATTTTACAGACTGAACCTGAGAAAGAGTCACCGAATCCTCCAACGCTATCGTCTGCGACTGTCAGCGGGTTTTCGGCGAGAGATTCGAGTCAACGTGACTCCCGAGAACAAAGAGATCCAAGAGAAAGAGATCGTGAAAGGCCAAAGGAGAAATCCGGTCCTCCAAAGCTGCCACCAATGAGGCCTCATCCAGGGTAAGTCGAAGAAGTTTTCTGTAAATTGGAATGGTTTAGAATGGCGGGAATGCCACCAATGTCAAGAGTGCCTCCATCACGAACAGCCGATCCATCACTGATTCCCCTTCCTCCAGCCGGGCCATCAAGCGGTTTGAAGGAAAACACATAAAAACAAAGAAACACCTTTTCAGGGAACTACTTCAACCGAAAACCACTGGTTGACCCGCAAAGGAAACCGAGTGGCCCACATCTCGGACAAAGGCCCACACCAGCTTCACAACCAGGACAACAACCATATAGGTCAGTGAAAAGATTGTTAAGCAGTTTGCTTAATACTGTTCGTACAACCCGAGAGATTTCAGATGGGCACCACCGATAGACCGTGACCGTACGGGTGCAGTAGTTCCAATTTCGGCCCTTCCTACGCCCGCCTCCCCATCACCTGAGCCTATCGCTGATCCTGATAGTCCAGATGCTCTCAAAATTGTTGATGATTAGCTTTTTCTTGATTGATTTAGGTATTTTGTAATTAACCGTGAAAACTGTATTTATTCCTGCTATTCCCCGCTACCTAGGAAAAAGGTTTAAAACCTAATCCTTTTCGATACCCCAAATTGATTCTCAGATAGCAAAATTTACTGTTTATTGTTTGTAGTTGCATGATTAAAAATCTGTGCGGGTGCGCTAAACTGAAGTGAAAAATCTGCTTTTCGATGAATTCTAGCAATTGTTAGTTGTAAATTAGTTGTAAGCTGTCATTTAACCCTTTTTTTTGATACATATTAAATGATTGTTTTGAAGATTATCGTATTTTGCCATTGTCTCAATGCTTTTGTCAGTCAAATCTATACTTTCAAAGTGCCACCCTAAGCTCTAGTTCAACATCTTTTAATATTGTGGGAACATTTAAACAAATGGGGCAGCGATGAAAGCTACGAAGCGACGCCCCTTTTTCTGCGTAGATTTGTCGTAGCTGCCCGTTTTGTTTGGAATTCCCCACGAAACTTGAAGATATTCAGCTGAGTGGGCAAGGGGGACACTTTCAAATTATAGTCAAACCGGGAGTGGGACAACTGCGACCTTTTTTTGCGCACCCGGACATTTGCGCACCTTTTTTTCCGCACTTAGCCCATTAGCGCACCTTTTTTTGCGTTTTAAAAAAGCTCTAAAAGCTAATATTAACCGATTTCTATTCCAAAAGTTGTTTTTCTAGGTAATTTTAGGGTGTAGAATCGAAATTTTGACATATCAGAGCTTGTGGAACCAATTTGAAAGACAAAACGGCTAGATCAAATTACAGAAAATTGTCGATCTTTCTCTTTGTATAACTCCGTCCGTTTGTTTCCACAAGCTCTGATATGTCAAAATTTTGATTCTACGCCCTAAAATTACCTAGAAAAACAACTTTTGGAATAGAAATTGGTTAATATTGGCTTTTTTTAAAACGCGAAAAAGGTGCGCTAATGGGCAAGGTGCGCAAATGTCCGGGTGCGCAAAAAAAGGCCGCATTTGTCCCACTCCCGTCAAACCATCATTTTTCCGTTTTGTTGTGATACCTCTATTTATAATTCGTGGGATAAAAATTTGTATTTATTTTCGAGACAAGAACGAGAAGATACAGTTTACAAACTGAATTCTTTTTGAAAAGGTTTTTTTTTCATTCGCATTGAGTTTAATTTGACCAAACTTGACATATAATTTGTTTATTTTCTCCTTTAGAGCTAAAATGGAGGATACGCTAAATCTGGAGGTGACGACGAACGTCAATCAATTTCCGTATGAAAAGAAGTTTCCTTCAACGATTCCACTTCGTGAGCTCAAGGTAATCTTTTTGGTTTAACGGCTTAATTTTGATTAAATTTGATCGTCGATAAAATTAATCTTAAATAAAATAATATGAAGTTTTTAGGTACTTTGGTGGTTTGGAGGAGCCACTTTTATCCTGGCTTGGTTGGATCTAATTTTTTGAGTGGTTGTTTTGATACCTTTTATCTACATATTCTAGGGTAATCCAATATGCTTATATTTTTAGAGCACTTACAACATGTTTAAAGTTTCATATTGCCTCTTTGATTTGATTTTCAAGTGTAAACAGCTTTGAGGTAGCGTTTCGTGGTTAAAGTACATGAGATTAGGCTTGAATTGTCAAAACTTTGCTAAAATAACCGCCAATCTATTAAGTGTATTTGACTACACTAGAATAGATAAAAGGTATCAAAACCAACCACTCAAAACCTTAGCTCCAACTAAGCCAGGATAAAAGTGGCCCCTCTCAATCACCAAAGTACCAGTTTTTAATGGTTATCTACATATTTTCTTTTAGAAAAAGTTGGAGCTTGTCGTCGGTACAAGTGGAGATTTGATGAAAATAGAAGTCTTTGACAGTGAAGGGAATTTCGTGGCTACATTGAGCGATGACAGCAAATCAATAGCCGAGCTTGGAGTGCGGTGAGGCTAATAGTTTTATAAAACCTAATAAAAATCTTTAGAAATGGTATGCGGATTCATGCAACGGATATTACAGGACAAAACCTCGAGCTGAATAATGGGGATATGGTGGAAAAGTATAACATCAGTGACGAAGCGTACAATAATCGAACAGGTTTAGTTATTTATGTTTTGATAAATAACTTTGTTTAGACTCCGTACGCGCGTTAAAGAAAAAGATGATGGCAGAGAAAGCGCAAGAAGAAGGAAACACGCAGGCTATCGATCCAAATCAATTGGCCGCTGCAAACATGAAGGTAAATAAAAATACTTTAATCGATTATTTGTTATTATTTTGCTATTGTTGAGACAGGGAAGCTACATATTTTCATTTTCAGGTTGGAGATCGCTGTGAAGTTCGAGTGAAAGGCAATATGGAGAGACGGGGAATCATTGCCTTTGTTGGACCAACAGAGTTCCAATCCGGTTATTGGGTTGGCGTTCGGTAAAATTTTTGGCTTTTTTATCTTTACATTTAAATATTGTAGATACGACGAACCTGTTGGAAAAAACAACGGCAGTGTGGCTGGTGTTAGGTAAAAGTTTTGAGTTACAAGTAGGACAAAGTGAAAAGTAACCAGTTTTACTGTCTTCTACGCATTTTTTTAGCTAATTATTTTAAATGTACAAGATTTAGATACTTTGCATGCGATGACAAGTATGGAGGATTTGTGCGACCGGTTGATGTGCATGTTGGCGATTTTCCCGAACTCGAACTCGAAATGGATGAGCTCTAAAGTATCTTGTACCAATAACAAAATATTGGGTCTTTTATTTTTGGTCAGGTTGTGATTTGAAATATTTTCCTGCGCCTCCTTACTAAAACCCGAGTAATTTTTTTTGATCTCATGAACCTCTCTTGAAATTTGGCTTACATTTATGCTGCTTTACAAAGTTTTGTTAAATTTGATAGGAGAAAATATGCCAAACGTTATTATAAAAAGGGTTCTATCTGTATTGATTTTGAAGTTTTTATATGCTCCTAATAAAAGCTTTGCTAATTAAGGTGAAGTAAATAGCATCAAAAACTCACGTAAGAGTGGCTCTGGTGGCGCAAAAGAAAAATAAAAGGGGGAGAAGCTGTACGGTAATGAATTTGTACGAGCTGTTTTGCTTAGCTTACCTATTTATAAGAGATGTTTTTTAATCTCATTGTTAGTTCAAACCTTCAGTTTTGCCTGTTTCTTCATAGACTTTATTCAAGTACAAAAATGTAAGCATATACAATCTTTGATTACGACACGACGAGCACACAAAGAAAGAAAAAGAACAGTCTCAAAACGGGTTACAATGATATCTACGGATAAAAAGGTAAAGCTTTCCGGTAAAATGCAGATAAAATGAATAGAACTATGCGCAGGAAACAACCGTATATCACATGGGGAGAGAGGACGCAAAAAGAGAAATTCTCGCGTGGCAAAATAAACGAAAATCAAACACACGGCTAAAGCTGAATCGTTTTTTTTTTTTGGAGAATAAAGCATTGAAAAAACTGAAGATAAACGGGGAAAAGAGTAAAGCTTTTTTTTAAAGCAAAAAATGGCCGAGATCGGGAGAAATGCTTTTCAATGTGATAAGGGGCTCATTTATGTGGTGGATAAAATAAAAGAAATTCATTCAAAAAAAATAATTCTGCTATTTTTGAGCCATAGCCATGGATGTTTCAAAACAAAAAATCCAATTTTGACTGGAACAAAATGTAAATCTCTGAGCTACTGTGAAGCAAAAAAAAAGAGTGAAAATGAACTAAAGGGAAAATTTGGCTACAATACGAAAAGAACACGAGAATCTATCAGTCACGATTTGGCATCAAATATTGGCAAGTAAAGGAAAAATTTCTTTGACTTATTGATCAACGGGCAGAGACTTTCAGTAACCAGTGTGTCCGTAATATTGATATTGAGTCGGATAGGGATACTGAGCGGCTGAATAAGGATCTGGATACAACACTTGTTTCGCATCTTCCATACCTAAATTGCACTTTTCTTTTAAGCAATTATTAGCCTGAGTTTTTTGAGAACAGTTTACCTTGATATTCTAAGTATAAAAGTCGAAGTTTACCTTGATATTTGTTATCGAAAGAGAATTGATGTATAGTGGAGAGTTGAGCGGGGAAAGCCGACGATGATGTGAGTTGGAATGACTGAAACTTTGACTATTTTAGAAAAGTAAACTCCCTATGGAGTAAGGGAAATCAAGTCCGTTTTGGTGTAATGGTTAGCACAATTGCCGGGTAGTCGGATCGATTACCCGGCAACTCTAGAAAGATCGCGGGTTCGAGTCCCGGTGGCGCAGAAGCTTTTGATCTACTAGTTCCAACTGAAAATCCGTTTTTTTCGAACCTGAGGAGCAAGTGGAGAGGAGAGTTGCATTAGATGAGAGGTGCCCATCGAAGAGAGTCCTGGTGGAGGCAATGAAGCGCCCAGTGGGGTCAGTGTTGCCCCTGGAAAGTCCTTTTGTTTACCCCTAGATTAACTCTTGTTGTATATCGTATAACAAATCTCCAATAACTAACCAGTACCGGTGGGCGTGAGAGCGGCAGAGAGGGATCCACTACTGACACCGACGGCCGAGGCGAGTGGCGTGACCGCGGTGAGACTCACTGGAGGCCAACCGCCAATACACGACGGCGATCCACCACCAACTCCCAATTCGTTTGTCGTATCCGATTGCTCACCCATCGGCTAAATTATCCAACTATTACTGACAATGATGAATGCGCTCACCGAATGGACTCCTTCTCCTGTCGATCCTTCGTCTTCACCCTCCGCTTCTTCATCGGACCCATTCTTGTCACTCCCGCCGCCCTTGCCTTGCTTCTTTTGCTTTGATCGACGATTTTGAAACCAGATTTTCACCTAAAACCTTTTTTAGAATTTATTTTATTGGATTTTGTGTGCAAAAAAAATGAACTATCATGCATTGACAAACACATCTTTCAATAATTGTCTGGAAAATGGAGAGGATGACCTTGACCAGACGAGGGACACGAAATGACAAATAGCGTATGATTTGACTCGTTCCCTCATTTGCTATCAGTTTTCAGTTGGGGGGTTGTTGGAAGAGATCTCAGGGCGACGATCAAGACCGTTTGGTACGGTAGGAGGATGTAAGGAAGAGAAGAGAACGGTCGATGGAGAAAAGAAGAAAAGGAGAAAAAGAAAAGAAAAAAGAAGATCGACCAGTCAACACCCTAGCAAAGAGAGCAATTTTCTGACGCTAGAAACCGGCTGAGAGCAAAACCGAGCGAAAGAAATGTGACGCGCGCCACCACAATGGGAAGATGAGAAAAGAGAAGAATTCGAGGAGAAGAGCACAATCCATCGATTCGAATCGAAGAGCACATATCGATTCACCGTTTTTGTGATTTTCAATAATGATTTATTTTGATAAATCATGCTTAACAGTATCATTGAGTTTTAATTCCTTTTGTAGAATTTACAATTAACAAGTAGCTATTGGAATGTGATCTCTAATCCGTTTTCGATAAAAGGTACAAACAGTGAGAAGTGATTGAAAGAGCTGACAGTGGCGTGCTCTCGATGCCCAAAGCAATTTCCGGAAGGACGAGCTGGACATGAAATGCTTCGCTAATCCAGAGATTGTCGTTGATTTGATCGAAGGAGTGAAAGAGAAAGAGAAAGAGAGAGAGAAAGGTGAGTGAGTGTGCATGTCACTTGTCATCTTCGCTTTTCTGGAGAAACCCTCGACAGGTCAGAGTCTCGGATCTTGTCTAGAGGGAGAGTCTTCAAGAAAAAGAGACCACCTGGACACCAGGTGAGACAGATAGAAATGCGAGAGGGAGAATGAGAAGAAAAGGTAAAAGAAAAAGAAAAGAAGGTCCCACCGGAATCGTATACCATCTGGTATCTTGCGAGCCGCCAGATTATGGTAGATAAGCTAGTCTGACCCCACCAACGGTCACCCAACCCCTCGCTCGATTTCTCATTCTATTAGGTGGCCAATGAAACCCGTTAGAGCTTTAAAAACCTAGCTTTATGATCTTTAACGACTGTCCAGAAAGTCTTTCTCGTTATTTTTTGTACTTTTGTTTAAAACTACGAATTGAAGTATAGTTTCCGGAAGGACGAGCTGTTCTTCCGCAGACGACAGCTCGTCCTTCCGGAAGCTTTCATTAGAAAGGACAATTATTTAGAATTAGAAAGACCTGGAAACCCCTTTAGTTTCTAAACAGCTTAATACTTGATAGCACTCAGAAAAGCTAAAACTTTTTGTTTCCTTCATCAACGACAACAATATGGTGCAATTAGTGCAAAGGATGGTGCTTTAAAAAGAGAAAAAAAAGCGGTGCCTGGGTTTGGGTGAGTCCAAGTTGTTCGGCGAGCTGACTGCGATCCTGCAGGGCCAGATATTTGCTGTCTTTGAAAGCCTTCTCGAGTTCACCGAGTTGATGCGATGAATAGATTGTACGCGGCTTACGCACCTAAACTTGTAGGCGCTCTTCATCAATAAATCCTATAGCGGCATTTCTCAGCAACAACTCGTTGAGCTCGTTCTTTCTCAGCAGCAAGCAGCCGAACATCTCACCTCACCCTCTCACACCCATCACCGGCATTTTTGGTTGACTTTTTTTGTGGAACATACACCGCACACAACTCAGAAAAAAAATTGAGAAATGAAAAGAGAAAAGAAAAATTTGCGGTACAAGCTCCGATTTGAATTGAAATTTTGAATTGAAAAACTTTGAAAGACTTGCATTAGGTAAGATTCGAAAAAAGAAAAAGTGATCGGTGATTGAAAGAGATTTGGGGAGAAGTTCTTTTTTTTGAAATAGCCGCTTGCCTGCGTTTGATCGATGCCCAACGAGTTGGCGAGTTTCGCGCGTTCAGGCAGAGAGAGGTACTGATTCTCCTTGAATTTTCGCTGCAATGCTTGCAGCTGTTCGGTGTTGTAAATCGTTCTCGGTTTTCGCACCTAGAATTGGTGAGCCTTTCCAAAATCGATAAAAAAGGATTTCCTTTTTTCCTTTTGCTCACTTCTGGTAGCTTTTTATAAAGTTAACGTAAAAATTTAGCTGAAGAATTTTGAGGAAAAGCGCACCTGCGGGCCCCGTAAAACTTGTGTTGGCTATAAAAGGTGTTGCCGACTCGGCAAAATTGATTTCTAGATTTCTAGATTTGTTTTCTTCTCCAGAATGAACATTTGATTTATAGGAAAGGTTAGAAATGGACTTGGACTTGGGCCTGTGATTCTGGCAAAACATTTCCTTTTTCTTTCTCTCCACAACTCTCAATCAGTCTCCTTGATTCCAATAAATCATTAAGCAATGATTCATCGCTTTTTTTTTCAGCATCTTTCACACAACTAATAGGTTGGCCTTTTTGAAGTGCTTGTGTGAAATAAAAGTCGAAAACTTTCGGGGAAAAACTAATGTCAATTCGTGAACGATTTCGGCTCTACCGGGATGGTGTTTGTGAAAGTGAGACGTGATCGTGAGTTCACCGTTTTTCCAAATAAACGAAATCTTCCCAAAAAAAGATTCGAATGGAATTCGGTGTGGAAAGAAAAAGAAAAAGTCTTGCCTGAGTCTGCGTGAGGCCGAGTTCGGTGGCTAGTTGAGCCCGATCGGGCAATGCGAGGTATTGGGTCTTCTCGAAGCGCTGTTGCAACATTTGCAACTGCGCCGAGCTGTAGATCGTGCGCGGTTTACGTACCTACAAAGTAATAGCACTAACCATTTAGTATCCAAGTATTTATAAGTATTCTAAATACTTATTTTTTAACTCAGTTTCAGCAAGCGTAAGCGAGCAAGTTTTTCAAATGTCTAAGGTCAACTTCAAGGCTTTAAAAGTAATGCTTAGAATTGTTAAAACCTAGAGAAACTAATGGTTAGGATGTTTATTGCGGCAATATGTTGGATGGGAGAGCACAGGTGTTTTTTTTAGGAAATCATATATGATGTGTCTCCTTGAATTCCCCTTTCTCTTCTCTAGATGGACCTTCAATCTGATCGTTATCTGATCGACTCGAAAATATGCCATCACGGACAGCTGTCCTTGAAAAAAAAAAACATTGAATAATCCTTGCTTTTTCATAAATAACTCAGGCTAAGAATGATTGGCATTGCGAGAGTTGAATCGATTTTTAAAACAAATCAAATGATTTATCGATTTCAAACAGCTCTAAGCTAGCTACACTACTGGACAAGGAAATATGATATTTGAAAAACGATCGTCACTTTCGCGCCTCTGTAACTCCCTTTTCTTTACCGTATTTCTAAATATTAATATTACCATTGTGTAGCCCTTGAAAAGAGCTTTCAGAAAATGTATAACACTAATAGTTTAAACTCAAAGCGAAGGAAGTTACAGACGCGCGAAAGTGACGATCTTTTTTTCAAATATGATATTTCATTGTCCAGTACTGTAGCTAGCTAAGCTATTGTCAAACTTTTTCCCAAAACAATTTAACTTTAAATAACTTAAGCCTGGATATTTATAAAATAGCAAGATGTTAAATGCTGATTTGATTATTATCTTTATCAACAAACCTTCTTTCCTTTGCCGTTGATCTTCACCTCGCTTCCTTCAATGATTTTTGCCGTCATCTGGTCTGAAATATTTTTGATATTTTATGGGATTTACATTAAATTCCTCTTTTCATTAGTGCCTTTAAAAAGAAGTGAGAAAATTCTCTACAAAAGGAGACTCCATTAACCCGAGGCTATCTTGGACAAAAGGTGTCACTGATTGAAAAGTGGAGATCAAGGGACTCACCTACTCACTATCGGGCATTATTCTACCTTCAATATCTCATTGATCTTTCAATGAAAGCAAATGGAAAATGATGACGAAGAAAGCTAAGACTTTACGAATCTCATATTCAGATACATATATCAAAGTGAACTTTAAAGTCTTCCAGTCTCTCAAAAGCTCTCAGTCTCTTTTGGAAATAATTGCAGACCACCCAGGAGTCACTACAAGACCCCCACATAATCACGGCTAATTAGCCTCGACTATAGAAGGACTAGAAGCCGAAAAACTGACCGAAGAAGTCAGATTGCTCTTGAGAATTCTCTTTCATGTACTGTAACGAATAACAAAGATTGAACTAAACCCTAAACAAACAAGAACATCCAATGGAAAGGATGAGGAGTCTGTAGGGAAGCAAACAAAGATATCTAGCTCTTAGAGGGAGACCTACTTAGATTTCAGGAATATGAAGTTAGAGATCAAGTAAGGGTAACTATAAGGTTTGAACATGGCTTCAAGTGGAATTTGTCGTGGTGAGACTTGAAGAGCTTATTGTCAAGTGTGAAACTCTATTTGTTTCTCCTAATCTTCATAAATGTTATCAAAGATTCGCAAATCATAAAAAATCATAAAAAAAGCGTCATATAAAGCCTTTTACATGTTTCCCCTAACAATGACAATATAGAATCTACTTGTTTATTGGAAAAATTCCCTCAGTTTAATCAATTTTCATGTTAATGTAACGGAAATCTAACGGAAATTACCAAAGGAAAAGGAAAAGGAAAACTTTGAGAAGAATTGGGAAATTTTCCAAAATCCCTTGAAATGCAGACTAAAAAAAAAAGGAAAAATATTAAAATATGGTTCTCATTGATAAAAATGGATCTAATTGTCGATCTCCTTGATAAAAATGGATCTGATTGTGAATCTAATTGTAAATCTATATTTAAACAAGTTTAAAAACAACCTTCAGGACTGCTGGCTTGAGCTTGATACATCGAAAATTGATGTGGATACATTGATCCTACTGCCGAAGAAGCTGTGCTTGTGGGAAATGAGTTATAAGAAGGGAAATATGGAGTAGCGCTGGAACCAGTGAAATTACAATATCCGGTCGCTCCATAGGTATATGCATCAGTGTAAGGCTTCTGCTCAATGTCGAGATCGAAACCAGCCGCTGTCGATCCAGCACCCGAAGCGGCTGGCGTGGTCGACTGCTCGGCTGATGTCGACATGGGAATATTGAATGTGACGACGATTCAAACGATTCTTGAAAGGTTATCAGTTGAGTGTCGAATACGAATCGCTGAGGAATGGATAGACTGACTGAGCACAGAGGCACGAGAAAGGAGAGACGGTAGGGAAAGACGCGATCTCTCATCCCCGCCCACCTTTTCCTCATTGGCCTTCTTACTCCACCCATTCGTCGCCACGCCCACCACGAATCTCTTTCTTTTTTCGGAAAATCAAATTCTTTTTTTGTTTAGATTTCAGTGATTAGAAAATGAATCGAGTGATTGAGTTGAAAAAATTGCTGAATGGGACATCAAGTGGCTGGGACTTGATCGTTCAAAATAGGGGGCCGAGTCAGCGACGACGAGGCGAGATAATCGGGCAAATTGGCGGGCAATCATCTCTCGGCCCGCTCGACGCCCGTCTTGTCCGAGTACACGCAATTGGCTCCCTCTCACTCTTGCGTAGCAATTGTTCTTCTCCTTAATAAGGAGTTGTCTTTACTCTCTCTTTTAATTAGCGGATCTTGTCGCTTAACGGGAAGTTATGTTTTTATGGCTAACTTTTAATAAAACAAATATTTTCTGAAAGCTGATGTTCTAAGCTATCTAAGTCTTATTAAAACGTCCTGATCTAAAAAGTGTAAGGTGCATTTAAAATAAGCTGCAAGTTGAACATAAAAAGTGCTCCTCTCATTAAGCGATAAGATCCCAAGCTCATTAGCTGATCCCTGTAAGCAACATAGCTCAATCAAATCGAGAAATTCACTTTTGAGCGTTTATGTTTATGTTTAATTTTCAATAACAAATTCAGAAATTCCAGCAAACTGACCTTGTCCTAGGATTCGGCTGGAAAAATCGTCGACTGTAATTGCGGGGCTCAGAGAGAATGGGGGAAAACTGACAGCCAGTTCTACAAATATCGATTCGATTTTGTTTAGTGGAAAAGGTATTGGATTGGAAAGCTATTGGAAAGCTGGATTGGAAAGCTTCGTGTATTGGAAAGCTATTGGAAAGCTTCGTGCATTGGAAAGCTATTGGAAAGCTTCGTGTATTGGAAAGCTGTTATTTAATGGGTGAAGAATGGATGAATTCTGAAAGGGTGGAAAAAAAAGAAGGGAGAACCTCACGAAGAGATTCCCCTTTTTTACTCTTCGATTGCCCACAACTCACCAATTTCCGTTTAGCTTTCCCGACAAGATTATCCGTATCGATACACTTCAAATTCGCCTCTCCTTTAAAATCAATTCACTTTTCATAGATTTTCTTTCAAATTCTAATAGAAATTTTTTTTTTTTTTTGATTACAGTTTGATTTTGTTGCTTTTCTAAACCAATAATTACGATTTTTTTTGAGAATTTTTTTGATTCTAAGCTATAATTATAAAATCTGAAAATGTTTTGAAATAAAATTCTTCAGATCTTACAGAAAGCTTACAAAGAATCAGAAATCAAACAATGATTAGTGAGAATTTATATTGATATTGATAGTTGAATTTCTATTGATAGCTTTTTATTGATAGCTTCTTATTGATAGCTTTCTATTAATAGAATTTCTATTGATAACTTTCTATTGATAGAATTTCTATTGATAGAATTTCTATTGATAACTTCGCTTCGCTAGCATCGTTTCTGAATTTTTTAACATCTAAAGGAATGGCTTAGTGCAGCCATTTTAACCAAAGAAGAGTGAGCAAAAAAAGGAGTGAAAAGAAAGAGTGAAAAGCGATGACGGAGAACAACTACGCCGAAAATGACACATAATTTCAAGGGGGAAGCGACGATTGCCCAATTTTGGGGAGCGACAGCCCTCGCGGCCTGTTGGGGCTCCCCTCCCTTCAACCCCCTTCTCGCACTCACTCCATTCCAATCTCACCACCATTCAACATTCAATAGTTTTTTTTTTCATCATACAATTCTTTGTTTTCCTTTTAAGCTAAGCACTGAAACGGGCAATTTACGGTTTCACTTTAATTCGTCATCCAGATCAACTTTTAACTTTTCAAATAGTTTTAGTTCGCTTCTTTAGCCTCTCTAGCTGTATCTTCTATATAGCCGTCTGTTTTAATGATAAGATAATGATAATATATTTAAAAAACTTAGATTGATTGAATGTAGATTGATTGAATGTGGATTGATTGGATCTAGATTAATTGAATCTAGATTGATTGAATCTAGATTGATTGAATCTAGATTGATTGAATCTAGATTCATTGAATCCAGTTTTATTGAATCCAGATTGATTGAATCTAGATTGATTCAATCTAGATTCATTGAATCTTGCTTGTCTTCTTATAATGCTAGTCATTTTTCTTTTCTTTTTCTTTAAATTTCTTTTTATAAATCTTTCAATAGTTCAAGTTTCTAAGATTTGTAGAGGAAATGGAAAAAAAAATAAGGAAAAGAGGCTGAAGGGAAAAGGAAAAGGAAAAAGGATCGACGTCCAAGTTGGGGGCAATTTTCAGAGCGACAAAAACGAAGAGAAGGCCGCGCTCAAAATTACCGTATTATTAGCAGTTGATTGGCAGTAATTTAGCAGTGGCGAGGAGGAGGAGAGATTTTCTGAGGCAGTTCAGGCAGTCCATCTCACACAGCGCACTCCTTCACCCTGTTTTCCACATCTACTTTCAATGTTGAATCTATTTGAATCTTTCACTTTGTTTTCATTTTCATTCAGCTTTAAAAGCAATACCTTTCTGAGGGTTTAGTCCCTTTCCTCTTTAGCATATATTCATTAAACATCGCTTCATTAAACAATCAGTATCGCAAACTCAAAACGATCCTTTCATTAAACAATAACGTTAAACAAAAATCATTAAACGATCCATCCCATTTTCAAATTCCCTATAGAAATAGTTCTCTCTTCTTTTTTTTTTACACCGTATTCTGTTCACCTACCACAGCCGCTTTAAACGAAAGGGTTGATAGTTTTCCGGGATTGGTCTTGAGGTGGGTAGGTTCAGTGCCCTGCCCTCTTTCCACCTTTCTTTCCTCCTTCAGTCCCGCGTCACAACCTTGGCTTGGAATGTCTATTTTGGCAGTACGCCTATAATTGCGCCTCTGCGATACCGTAGTTCGAAGGGGGGAGAGTATGGAGGAGAGATGGACAAGGGGAGGGTGAGGAGAAGGGGTTGAAGGGAGGAGGACTCTTTCTCTTTTCACATCTTCTCCCACTTCTTTTCCTTTTCGTCTGAGCCGAGAAGAGCACTGAGTTCCATCGAACAGGAATCGTTTGGATGGAGAGGGGACCGGCCTATTCACTCCATACATTTTCCCCCTATCTGGAAACGTTATAGCAAAAAAAAAAAAAAAACTCAATATTTTCCCTATTGACACAGACGAAACTAAAGGTTTTTCTCTGTTGAAATGCTTTCGATAAACTTTGAGTGACTGTAGGAAAGGATTAGAAAAGAAAAGAAGTTCATCAGAACAGTTCATCAAGAACCCACAAGACATAGGTAGTTGAATCAATGAATGTGTATTGTTCTTGTTCTCTTTTCAGAAGAAAGGGACAATGTATGAAGGGCAGGCATCCAGCAGTGCGGTCGCCCTTTAGCCTTTTTGCTCTATTCAAAATCCATTCGAAGTAGGTGAACCGGCAGATTTGGATCTCTTGTTGTTACTTTTTTATATATTAACAAGGAAATGCATTTGGGAAACTTGATGATCTTTATTGAGAGCTGTAACCCTTTACAGCTCTCAATAAAGAGCTCTCCCTTTACAGATCGTTTAAATTTCAGGGTGCATATAGGAATTCAGGAAAATTGCAAAGAAAAACCAGGTGCTTCTCAGAAAAAAAAGCCGAAGATGGCATAGGGGGTCAATTGGCCTTGAATTTGTGTGGACATAGTCTCTATGTTGTGTTCACCCTTCTCCAATCATCAATCCCCTTTCCCCCATCCATCCCACTCGTTCACCACCCCATCCTCCACCAACGATACGACGTTTTATGAGCCGTGACCTTTTTTTGCGGTTTCCGAATTGCCCAATTCCCTTTTTTTGAGAGTCAAGGAAAAAAACATTGGAGTGAACCAGTCGATAGCGGTTTGGTTTGGTTTTCATTTACTTCATAAGCTGACGATAATTAAGTCTTGAGCTTTCCCCTTATTAAGCAAAGGGATAGGCGCGAGTTTTATGGATATTGAATGGGCGAGTGAAATGATGAGACTCGGATCGGACATTAAATAGATTCGATTTGAGTTTATGATCTAGAGAAAATGGGGGAAAGCTAGAGAAAGATTTACGAGAAATAAAGAAAAAGAACTTTTTGTTGGAACTTGGGAAAAGCTTTTTCACTTTATCGGATAAGCTCAAACAACTTTGGTTACACTTTGTTGTCTCAAGTTAAGAATGATGAATCAAGTGCCAGATGAATCAAATTAACAAGTTCGAAGCAGATCAAAAAATTGTGCCCCCACTGGGACTCGAACCCACGACCTTTCGCTTATCGGTCAACTGCGCTAACCATTACACCACGAAGCATTCGATCGCCCTCCCTCCAGGGGGAGTTAAGTATAAATCTTGTTAAGAAAACGGGCTTTAATTCAATGGTGTTGTCAAAGCTGTGAATGGAGCAATTAAGGACTCGAGAGAGAGCCGAAAAGGGTGAAAGCTCTCGTGAAAAATTCACGGCTCTTCTCGGATCAGTCTTTATGGTAGAGAAGGGGATATCACAGAACATCGGCAACATGAAACAACCGCTTCACGCATGAGCGCATTGCCCCCCACTCAATGAAACCCCTCAATTTGCATTCACATATATACAGCGTCTGCCCACAGGTGATCATGATACCAGAATATTACCTATAAATGTAATTTTTCTTTTGAATTTATCGAGACCTAAAATTTAAAAATTAAAATTCTTTGCTAACATCATCCCCAACAAATCAGGGAAAAGCAATGACCCGCTCACGAAACTTTTATTGCGCTGGGAATGGGGGAGAAAAAGAAGTACACAACTTTTCTCTTCTCATCGAACGCCTTAAGAGATCGCGAAAAGTCAAGTGAATTCGTGTACCGGTACATCAAAAGTGTGATAAAATGATTTAAAAAGGGGATAAAAGTGGAGTGAAGTGGTCTGTCGAGTGGAGATAGCCTTGGGTCATCCATTCACTCACCCCCATCAGCCCAAGCACTCTCGATTTCGCCTCGGGATACACAAACGGGCATTCTTTTCACGTCCGTTTTTATGCCTAGCTAAAGATTTGCTAAATTGATCAAATCATTTGAGAAATCTGGTCGAGTTTATCGATCAGAAATGATTTCATGGGGATCAACAATGTACTTAGATTCAAAAATATAGAGAGAGAGCTATAGTTAAATAACAACCATTCCTACAACTTTCAAGCTGTTTCAATACAAGTTTTTTGTCAGTTTTTTCTTTCCATCGGATTCTAGAAAAGAATGAGATCAAGAGTCTCAATTTTTATGTGCGTGGTGGTGAGCAATCGGTCTTCAAGACTTGAGGGGAAGGGGTGAAGGGGAAGGAGAACCCTGAGGCCTTTGTTAGAGGAGAAGGCATGCTTCCGCTCTCTTTCTCGGCCCTTATAATTACTGTAGAGGAAAAGAAGGGAAAAACCCTTCCCAAGACCTTTCCACTTTCTTTTCTTTAGATGAATGAATAGAGGAAAAGGAAAAAGGGAAGGGGTCTCTCCGATTTGAATACCTCCTTTTCTTTTCTTCTCTTTTCTCTTCACCATTCTTCAATTCTTTTTAGGTAAAAAGAAACTCAACTTTTGAACTTTTGAAGAGAAGTTTATTTGAAAATCTAGAAACGGTAATGAAAAAATGGTGAAGTTTATCGCAAAGTATTAGTTCTTTTAGAAGATCAGCTTTTAGGAACTTTTAGAAGTTCAAAGCTCTGTTCTAACTCTTTAAAATCAAAGTGAAAGATAGCTGAAGCTTTTCAAAGTGGAAGATAGCTGAAGTTGAAGCTGTAAGTTGAAGCTGTAAGCTGAAGCTGTAAGTTGAAGCTGTAAGTTGAAGCTGTAAGCTGGAGCTGTAAGTTGAAGCTGTAAGCTGAAGCTTTTCTTTTCTATTCTTCTTTCTCTACAATTACTCCCGTTTATTTGCTGACTTTAATTATGATTGAAAAGAAAAAGATTCAGAAATGATGACAGAGATTCGATGAAGGAGATTTCATTTCATTTCGACAATGATCTCTTTGACAGTGATTGATAGAAATGGATGGAGGAGAGGACTTCTCTTTTCACCGCTTCCGCCCTTTCGTGTTGTTCGATAATTACTCCTTGTTTTACTCTTCAGATTGCTCTTTTCTCACTTGAAGCTTATTGTTTGTTTGTGATAAATTGTTTGAAAAGATAAACTGTTTGAAAACACTGTTAGAAAACTGTTCGAAAACATTTTCTAGTCATTTCCTTTACATTAACTATTTGCATATCGATTAATTGTTTCCGAAAAAAAAAGATTATGCAAAAGATTATGAGAAAACTGAAGAAAACGCCATGACTAATTATCACTGCAGGAGTGCGCCTATGGCTCATCGATTCGGCTAGATTTCCTGCTGAGACACCTGGGAGATTAGATTGGATTACACGTGCCGACACATGTTTTTTCTCAGAGTGACAAACGTTTTTCTCGAGAGAATCTATTCAAAGAATCTAATCTCGAATCGACGAAAAGTTTCAAGAGTTACTGTGCGGTAAAGAGTTTATTAGATCATGATTTATCTCAACCAAGTTCACACATAAATTTAATCCCAGACTGAAACTGAAACCACAGATTTTCAAGGTAAAGTCGGAGAAAAAAAGGAGAAGAGAATGAAAAGAAAGACTCGGGCCTCAGAACTTCCGCCGCTCAACCAGGTGCGCCTCTCTTGCGTAACTTTTTATTGCCCACTCTTTTTTCTCTTTTCTGCATGTGCTCTGGGAAGTGCGGGCCCTTCATGAAGGGAAATATCTACTCGATTTGAGGTCGGGGATTTGATCCACAAGACTAGTTAGGGTCAAGTGCTCTTGAGTAGATTCATTGTAAACAGTTGTTTCTAAGATGATTTTGAGTCTGTAGTAAGTAATTTATAGTAAGTAGTTATCTAATCATAATATTCATCACTTTAAAAGTTTGTAGTGACAAGCTTTTAATGAAGCTTATTTAATAATGAAGCTTCAAGAAATTCTAGAATGTTTACTATGAAATTTCAGAAAAAAAAAGAGAAATGGAAAGCTGAGGGAAAATTAAAGGTTTTGACGCTTCGCTTGTGGCCCATTTTAATTGGCATCTATGCGGGTTGGATAGCATTTTCAAGAGGATTTCACCAACCTCATCTCTCTTTATCGCTTTCTTTCTTCAATAGTCTTTTCATTGAATTCATCGAGATGAGTTTTATGATTTATAAAATAAAATAAAATAAAACATAACAATTGTAACCAAAAAATCTTAGTTACAATCATAATATTCTAATCACAATATTCTAATCATAATATTCATCACTTTAAAAGTTTGTAGTGACAAGCTTTTATTTAATAATGAAGCTACAAGAAATTCTAGAATGTCTAGAACAAGTTCTAGGAAAAAAGAAAGCCCATAGAAAGCTCATAGAAAGCCCATAGAAAGCCCATAGAAAGCTCATAGAAAGCCCATAGTTGAACTTTATTTTTTACGTGCCAGGTGCCCCGAAAGTTCCGACAAAGGGTTTAGGAGAAGAAAGAGAAAGTTCATGAGTCCTTTTATACAAGTCTAATAGTACTTTGAAAAGAGCGATTCAAAGCGGTGTTTCTGATGATCAGAAAGAAAGAAAAAAGAAAAGATTTAGGCTCATTTCTTTCCATCTCAAAGCCTTTCACTCATTTGCGCAATCCATTTTATAACCTTTTTTTACGATTCTGGTAAGAAACTCGACTACCATAGAATTTTATGCGAAAATTCTATCGAACTCTAGTTGAAAATTGAAATAGAAATCATGTTTTTGTTGGAATTGCTTTTAATTTACATCTTTTTCTGAATTATGACAACTTTTATGTACATAAAATTCTCAAAAAAACAATCACAAGATCAAATCTTTAAATGCGAATAGAAGCTGATATTATTAATGATTAAAAGTTTCAAAATATGTACAATATTGAGGAATATTGAGGAATATTGAGGATTGAGTATGTACACGTTGAGATTTGGCATTTAGAAACGATTTAAAACATTTAAAAACGATAGGGAAATGATGGTTTATCCTTGAGCTTGTGCTTTGAGTACCTGGAATCGTTTGAGAATTGTTTGGTGAAGAGAAGATTACCTCAATGCCCGAGCACCTTGTAAGAACAAAAAAAAAGTGGTCGAGACTTTTCAGGGAAGTCCGATATGTTGGCGCTCGGTCACCGAGACCGTCTAGAAAGAGGAAATTCGTTTTTGTTTTTGGATTGGATGCGATGTAGCTACTTATCGTCAGTAGAAATATACAGAGAGTTCAATATTTATGGCGACTTTTGAGCTCACAGCTTAGGCAGCAAAAGGTCATAATTTTGAAGAAAAAAAACGTAACTTGAAGTTGTTAACGTTGAGCGTATTGATAAGTGTGTTTCCTTTTTTAGCATTAAACTTGTACAAAATGAGTTTTAAACCTAGTAAGCTACTGGTTTCTATAAATATTAAACACCCTGTAGTCAGTGTATCGAAAGTTATCTACGCCAAACGTTAATAGTAAAAGGGTTTTGTTATCTAAGATCAAATAAGGTCATATTTCTTTGAGATCAAGATCAACTTTTGATTACTGTATAAAAATCAGAATACAATATAATTTGTCTTCAATTAAATCGAAAACAGATTACTGTAGATTTAAAAACTTAACACGCTTTAGAAAACGCAAGTAGAAGTCGAAAGTATTGGGTTGGTGAATTGAAAACTGCCGGCTATTGTCATATGTGACAGTTTGAGCACTTTCTTCAAAAGAAACCCATTTTTGTGTCAATGAAAAAGTTGTAGAGAATCAAAAATCAAGCTTATATCCAAATTTTCAGGACGATTCAAAAACTGGTTTTCAAGAAATGCCAAATTTACGAATTTGCACTAAACTTGCATTTTAAGCGAAACTACTAAGTGTATCTTTTTGGAAATTTGGATATAAGCTTGATTTTTGATTCTCTACAACTTTTTCATTGACACAAAAATGGGTTTCTTTTGAAGAAAGTGCTCAAACTGGGACATCTCCAGTCCTCCATTTTTGAGTCTCACACTTGTCTCACACAAAAACCAAAATCCTACTACGAAAGAGGAATCCGCAAATTGCCTGTAAAATGGGCATAAGTCGTCAATAATAATGGAAATTATTTTAGAATTAGAATTCATGGTTTTATGTTGAATAAATTTTAGTTCAAAGTCCGGCAGTTTTCAATTCACCAACCCAATAGTTCAGCTAATGATTTGTCAACTTCTTTTACCGTTCAACACTCATACCGTAAATACTGTAATAGTACCCCATCGCCCTCGTACAGTCGCGTAGTCGCGAGAGTTTTTTAGTATTTCATTTTTTGCAAAGCACCCGTACTTTCAAAAAATGCGTCTTTGGTATCAAAAAATAGCCCTGAATTTCAGCTATTTTTTGATACCTAAGCGTGCATTGTAGCATAGACCAGTGTCGAGAAAAATGCGTCCAAAGCTAGACTACGCAACATTCCGCACCGTCATTATGGGGGTGGGGTACTATTACAGTATTTACGGTAACTGTTAAAGTACAATGAAAAAATAGAAGTTGATTAGGAACTGATCATTGTTAGAACAAGATTCGTTCAAATTCAACACTTACATCTTTACAGTAATGATCGAACGAGCGTGCTCCAGAGGCGATTCCGTGACGAACCGATGAAATCACATGAGCGATCCCGTGCGGGTGATGACCCTCACCTGGATGCGATTCCGAAACTGAAAACAAATATTTTTAAATGTTTTTATTTTGATACTTTGTAGACTTGCAAAACGGGAAAATCTCTTCAAAAGACTCATCTGTTATCACTTTACTTTATGTGCCCGAGTTTGCTTTTTTTTTGTTTACACAAAACGTTTCTGATAGCGCAAAAGATCGATAATCAATAAGTGTTGAATTGAATTCACTAATTTTACTATCTATTTTGTTTTAAACATTATCATTGAGCAAATTGTAATCAACTAAAAAATGGGAAACAACTAAAAACCCACTTTCTTGTTTGAGAAACTTTTTGATTGTCGAAAATTTTCGGGAAATTCGTTTAAGCATGTTTGGAGAGATTTTTAGTAAGGAAAAAATTCGCAAATGAGCAATGCGGGGTAAATTTCTGACAGTTTTATACGCTCAAATTATTGTGCAATAGATTTTACAATGTTTTCCCATCCGCTACCCAAAAAAGAGCTGATCAACGAGAACAAATAGAACCCAGAATTCCATGGGTATTTTAAAGTGGATTGTGCTAAGTAGAGTAAGGTATATGGTTTGGTTATTGAACATTTGATAACTGGACTTTGATAACTGGATGTTTGATAACTGGACTTTGACAACTGGACTTTGATAACTGGATGTTTGATAACTGGACGTTTGATAGCTGGACGTTTGATAATCAAACATTTATTTAGCTCTAAAAAACAAATGCATTAATGTCGAGTTTTCAAATGTCTGGTAATCATATGGTTTCTTAAGTTTCAAAATCTTTTCTTATCAAATCATTCTAATCACATTTTCTTTATAATTCTTAAAATTTTTGAGTACTTATGGGTTTTGCTTACTGAATACTTAAGCACTAAACAAAGGCTATAACTATACCTTTCTTTGTTTAGCTTAACCTTTATCTATTAGAATTTAATCAAGAAATATAATTTAATAGTTTGCCCATAAACATACTTGATATTGACATAAAATTGACATACTTTTATGATGTAAAAAAATATGCGCTGGGTAAGTAATAAATACGAATTTTTGCTTAAAAATTTATAAAGATTTATAAAAAATTTATAAAGATATAAAGACCTCGACGCCCTTGAACATTTTGCGGTTCACGATGTGGCTCGTGACTTTCCGAATATGAGCGACGCTCTTTCACCATCTTTCACACAATAATTCACACAGTTGATAGCTTTTCTGAAAAAGTGTTACGTTTTTGATAAGTAAAAGATAAGTAAAAGATAAGTGAGAGTTCAATAAAAGTTCAATTAACAGATAAAATTCTTTAAAATTCAAAGAAAAGTAAAAGTTAGTACTAATCAAATTTGATATACTGATTATTAATTACTAAAAATCAGTAAATCAAATCTATAAATCAAATGAAATCAAAATAAACAGTAAATCAAATCTATAAAGTAATCAAATATTAAATCTATAAAGTCAAATCTATAAGTAATCAAATCTATAAAGTCAAAAATTGAAAATGCAATAATTTTGGGAAAGTTTCATTAGCAATGTGAAAAGGAAGATTCCTGGTAAAAGTGCAAGGGGCTTTTTGAATGAAAACAACACGGAGAATAGGGGAATGGGGTGGGGGGAAAAGAAGGCAATTCTTGTAAATAAATTTCGCAATCGTCATATAAAAAGGAAAAAAAGAGAGAGCCGAATTTCCTCTTACTTTTGTTATTTGATTGCACTTTTGTGAGAGTAATCAATTGGGCAAGGATTAGTGAAGAAATATGAATTTAGACAAGAGAATGAGCTTAAAGGAGTCTAAGTGATTGGGAAATGGTAGCTGAAATAGCTGTTCAATCAAATAACCAAAGCTAAAGACCAAAATTCGGGTTTATTTTCAAAGCTCATTTTGTTATAATTTATTGAACTAATGGATATTTTTATTTGAGAAAAAATGGCAAATCCAACTCGAGAGCTCGATTTTTGCAGAGATTAAAAGAAAGTCTAAGAAAAAAAAAACATTAAAACAAAAGTGAAATGAATAAACAAGGGAAGGCCAACTGGCTGAGGCGACCAAATGCTATGCGACCTATGCCATTCGATGCAGAATTTTATGCTGATTCCGAATATGCATTCCGCTTTTGCTAAATGACAATCTGCCAGGAGTTATAAGCGTCTAAAGCTAAAGAACATTAGTCAGCACTTCTTGAAAAAACAAAAAGGAAAAGCAAAAGAGGGGATCGAACTTGTGAGGTCTCTGGAAACGAATGTTGTACCACTCAGCTCCACTGAAATGGGTCCGCAACGAGGCCGCTAAAACCCAAATGAGCACATTTTCAGAGTCCTAACAAAACTTTAGACGCTTATAACTCCTGGCAGATTGTGATTTAGCAAAAACTGAACGCATATTCAGAATTAGCATAAAATAAGCATAAAATCCTGCCTCAAATGGTATAGCATTTGGCCGGCTCAGCCAGTTGGTCCTCCCTTGTAAGTAGATGCTGAGAAGTGGATTTAAAGTATAATAGAAATCAAAAGCGTTTCTCGACCATCAACACATTATATACACGTGAGAGGGGATGGATGTTTACGTGAATCGTTCACTCTCTTTTTTTCCTTTTTCCTCTTTGCAATCTCATCTCGAAATTCCTTGTTTTTCTCCTCTTTTCCTTTGTTTTTTCACCGTAAAAATTCCCAGCTGTGATCAGAAAAGAGAAAAACATTTTTTATCGACACAGCAGTGTGAATTTTTCAAAAATAGAAACAGAATCTTTTGAATTGTGAACTCTTTATGTGTTCCTTTTTCGTCAACAGACTGTTTAAAACGTTGTCAAAAGAAAAACAGATATGATAAAAGCACAGAAGCACCACAAGGCTCAAAGCGTTTTTGACGATACAGATTCCGCCGACTGGCTCTGGTCGACTGGCTGATCGACTGGCTAAGAGCCCTGTATCTTAGTCGGCAGGACAAGGGTTCAATTCCGCCAGATCCGCCAGGTTATTCTTCCCGTTTTCTTTCTTCCCTACATTTAGGGCTTGTGTATTGTTTGTATCATATTATTTGTGTGAATAAATGTATTTAAAAACAGACTAAGAAGAAATTTTTGAAACGCATTTGCTCACTTGCTAAACTCTAAAAGAGACAAAACCCCTTGTTTTAACAAAACGCAAAAAGAAGAAGAAGAAATTTTTGAATCTGTCCCAATGGACACTTGCAATGAAAGAACGGTCATTGTTCAAGAATGAATGAAAAGAATGATCAGATTTCAGGGTATTCATTGTCACAAATGGAAAAGAAAGAAGTGACGTAAGGATAATGAAAAATACATCAGCACTTTTTTCAGGAATCAATCTTTTCTTAAAAGCATTTGAATGAAACTTTTAGCTTACAATTGTTTTGTGTCTTTGTGCATGAATAGTTTGTTTGACTTTGTTTCGCATCTAGCTAAACGTAGCCCATCTGGTGCACCAAGCATCTAACTTTTAAAATTCAAAGAATCACTGGAAGCATTTGTGGTAAAGTACAGAAATCATTAACATAAAGCACAAGTACTTTAAAAAAAGTGGCAACTCTAGCAGCTTATAGTTTACGATTTTATCAAAAGCTAAGCTTCTAAATATACTTTTTGACTGAATAGCTTAATGAATAGCTTAATGAATAGCTGACTGAATAATTTTATCTACGATTTCCAGGCTTTACAGTCAGTAAGACGGTTGAATGAAAGACTTTCAATAACTTTGCGTCTTTCTCTGTCAATGAAATCCTTAAACATCAAACAGACAAATTGAAAATCATCAAAGAATGAGTTGAGCCAGAAGCACTGTTCATTTTCTTTTCAAGCACTCTATTTGATCCATTCTTTTTTTCTTTCTTTCTTTCTTCCTTTCCTTTTTCTTTTCTTTTCTCATTTTTGCCCTTCTTGGAGTCTCGCTATTGCAGGTTCTTGCTCCAAAGTAAACACCCGATCTCGCGCAATTTTCTAAAGATTTTTCCCTTTTAATTCCTTTTTTTTTGCTTTTTTTCTCACTCAATTCTGCTTTTCTCACTTTTCCTAATGCCGAAATTCTTTCATTTTCCGTCATAAATGAACAATAGATCAACATTTTACCGATTGAATCACCCGTTTTCTCAAAAAAATATTCTCCTTTCAATTTGACAAGGATTCAGTAAAGAATCGTATTAAAGAAAAGAAACTTTTAAAACAGTTGGTTTGGCCTTTCGATTTGTCAAAGTCTAAAAACGCTAATTGGTTTGAATTTCTGATGGGTTTGGATGCTATCGGTAAGTGGAAAAAGCTAAAGCGGATGGACTATTTGAGAAACACGTGCACAAGGGTCTCTTCAATTCTTTGGTCTCTTACAAGTCCTCTCCCAAATCATCTGCAAGGTGGCACTTGTGAGAAAGAAAAGTTTAGAAAGGGTGGGGTCTTGAAAAGTCTCATAATCTCTCTTCACTCATTTCTTGTAGCAAAAAGGAATCTTTTCCCCCCTGTCATATGAAGGGCACTCGCTTCTTTGAGTATCTCTTCTTCTTCCTCTTCTTCTTCTTCTTTCTTCTTCCTCTTCTTCCTCCTCTTCTTCTTCCATCAGACAACGCTCCATTCCTTTCCGACATCTTTTCCTTGGCAGATCTCATTTACTTTTCGAATTCACTTTTTAACTTTTGATCTCCTAAGAAATTTTCTCAATGATTTTCTTACTTAATTTTAGTATTTGTTGAGTATTCCATTTGTTCCTTAAAGACCTAGCCGATTAGACAAAGGAGTTTGTTTCAAATCATGATTTTCAAATGTGTAACTTGTCTATAGACTGAGAACCATTTGGTATTGATTGATAAAATATACGTTCCACCTTTTAATGCCGGTGTCGAACTTCACCAGATTTAATCTAAAATAAGAAAATGTTGCCTATACATTCTATAAATAATATCTTGCAGCTTGTAAGCCTAGTTTTAAACTAGAAACTTGTTAGTATAAACTGTGGTTACACATAGCGGTCACGAATTGGAGAACGGGGGGAGTGGGTTGTTTGATGATTGCATGGAGGGGAAAGAAGCGAGGGATTCCGGTCTATTTTCTCGTGTCATAAGGAAAAAAGATGGAAGAGTGCCGAGATGTGCGTATGGGAAAAGATCTACGGAGGGATCTTGGAGAACGGCGATGGACAAAAGAGGGAAAAAGTGTGGGCACAGGCTGCCATCAAGCTTTCATCCTTGCGCATTGACTCTGACTTTGACTCGCATCAAACGCTTATTTTCTGATGCACCTAACAGTAACTTTAGATTCAAGAGTAGAGTATTAGGCTGTGCTTTAAGAAAACTGTATTCTTGTTAGATCACTAGCTCTAGCTCTAGCTCTAGTATTCTTGTTAGATCTCTAGCTCTAGCTCTAGTATTCTTGTTAGATCTCTAGCTCTAGCTCTAGTATTCTTGTTAGATCTCTAGCAACTCTAGCTTTTATTTTCTTATTTTACTTTTATTTTTAACTTTTAGCTAACATTTAACTAACTTCAATTTTAATCGAGTACTACTAATCTTAAATTTCACCTCCTTTTTTCCTATCTATTATTTCTTTATATAGATTTGCAGTGCAAAGAAATAGACTCCGCTCTTAGATCGTCTCCTCCTTTTTCTTTTCTTTTCTTCTCACTCCATTTATGAAAGTGAATTAGCAGCTTATCACCTCTGCTCAATGTCTTTTTTTCTTTTAAACACATTAAGAAAACTTTCGATCCATTCGCAAAAATTTGAGAGTCATTTTCTTGTCACCTGTTACTTGAATTTGGAAAAAGAATTCAGGCAATCTTTTTAATTATCATAGAAACTAGATCTTGATAGAAATTATGTCATTTATTATTTTTAAAAGAAAAAAAAGTCATCCGTAAGTACATTTTCTATCGTCATACTATATTGTAATATTCAGTCATTTTTTTTCAAAGTTGTAAAACCCATTGCTTACTAAGGTGCTGCCCTTTTCTTTTTGGGTGAATCATCGGGGTGGGATTCGGCATCAAAAATGATAGAGAGTCATGCGCTTTTCAAAAAAGGCTGATAAGAAGAAGAAGAAAGTAAAGAGGATTAGGTATAGTTTTCCTCAGCCATTTCATTCATTATGCCCACATTATGCCGATTTTAATTTCGCGTGACCACTCCCCGTATCAGTTCTTCCGCTCGATTTAGATCAGAATGTCTTTGTTTGTTTGTTTTGTACATTTTTGAATTTCCCTTTCCTTTTGAATTTCCTCTCCTCATTCCCTACTACTGATTGCCTATATTTTTGTGACTATGTTTTTTTATTTGTTTTATTTTTATTTTTTTATGTGTTTACATTTTAACATCTCTGTTTTTCCTTCTTTATTCATTTCCCGGTCTTTCTAGATCTCGACTGGTAAACAAATAGTCAAAATATTTTGATTGTCCTTCGATTTTGACAGATTTCGATTTCACCTTCTTCAAATTAACAAAAAGATTATCTTTAAATGATTTATTGAGTTATATTTTTAAGAATCGTATAAAAGGATTTACGTGGCATAAAAGAGATTTTGGGGATAGGCTACTTTGCGCGAAATTTTTTGCGCAACTCGCCATAACTTTCTTCTAAGTCGGCCAATCTTTATGATTTTGATTTCATTTTGTTGCACTTATTGAGATCTACAAAATGAGACCAAAATCATAAAGATTGTTCCACTTAAAAGGAAGTTATGGTGAGTTGCGCAAACGACCCAGTTGCGCAAATGACCCTGTTGCGCAAAAAATTTGCGGAAATTAGCCTATCCCAGATTTTGAAATGGATCAGCTCCTTTTCTGGATCAGTTTTGATACTAGGGAAATCTTGAAACCGCGCACTTTTCCAATTTCCAAAATGAGTACTCTTTGAGAAATGGAGAGAAATCTTTACTGGCAACTAATCCATAGTAAATGGCACAGCGATTTGTCTGTGTTTATTTTTTTTTTCTGCTACTCATCTTCTTCGCTGTGGTGGTCTTTGCCTTTTTTATCCATTGCCAAAACACTTCTCTTAGTAGACTCTTCTCTTTGCCGAAAGATTACTCTATGTTTATTGTTGTAAGGATTTTCTTTTCCTCTTTACTTTTTCCACTTACATACTTACTTTTTTTTCTTCTTTCTTTACTTCTCTTTCCAATAAGAGTCATATGGGACGGGTTCCACTCCAGTCGAACTCTTTTTGATCTTTTTTTGCCCTTTTATTGTTTGATCAATTTTTAAGACCTGTTTTTGATGTTTTTATTCAAGAATTAATGATTAATTTTACAAATTTAATTTTTTTTTAGTCAGAATGCAAGCGGTTTTGGTGCACAAAAGGGAGCGGCCGAGAAACACGATTTTTCATATGGACAGCTTTCTTGGAGGATCGCCGAATAACTCGAGTTATGGTAAAGAAACGGGATCTATTTTTGATTATGTTATTTTGTTATTTTAGAAAACAGTTTCCTGTCAACACATTGCTCGGTGGAGAGCCTCAGTTCTCCGTCGCATTCGTCAGGGAAACGGCAATCGAATCGCGATCAGAATTATAATGTGCGCATCTTTAAAGATCTCAAACAAAGTGGACAAAGGTTAGTGTTTGAAAGAGGAAATTGCAAATATTTGTCTATCTAATGATAAGGATTATAAAGATTGATCATTTACTTGCTAGTGAACTCTTGTTTTTGAGAAATACACGAAGCTTGACAAAGAAATCGGTATAAATAACATTTTTTCTTCCAGACCCCTTCCGCAAGACGTTCAAGAGGCTCGACGAGAGTGCCAAAGTGCCTTTGATGGAGTAAGGAGTGTCGAAGAGAAGAAACAAACGATACACGAAGCGCATGAACAACTTAATCAATTGGCACTCTTTCTTGAACCGAATTCAGGTAATGGACAATTCAAATGATTTCTATTGTAACATTTTAGATGAATGCAACACTCAATTCGTCGCCGAGTACCAGGCTTTTGTTTGCTGGATGTACACGAAGATCCGATTCGGCAACTTTGCTATCAATATTGCGAACCACTTCTCACAGTTGAAGGTTAGTCACCTCAAAGGTCAATTTTTCTAAAAAACTTTCCAGAATCGACACAAGCAAATCTTTGAATGTTTGAAGAGTAAAAAGTTACGTGTGGAGCGTCTCTCGGCGATGCTTCGATTCTCGCAATTATGTCTTGAATATGCGGAAGTTTGCGATGCTGATTCACTTCAATGGTGTCGACGAGCTCTCGATGAGGCTGAGGGTTTGTATTTAGTTTTTCAATTGACATTAACGCTTGAACCTTTCTGTAAGTAATATTTCTATTTTGTGACTTAAGTGCGCTTCACTTTAAGATCATTATTTCTTTGGTTGAGATCTCTTTTTCAAATGAGACTTCTAAATGGTAACAATATTGTTTATCCAACTTGCTTTAATGACGGAAACTTGGCTCTGATGAGCGACTTGACACCTATCACAGAAATTGGCAATCTTTGGCGGTGCCTATTCTCCACACTTTTTATAGCTTACTATAGCGTGGCAAGAGACGAGCTTTGTAGCTTATTGCTAGTAAAATCGATTAAATAATTTCTATCTATTTAGAATGCCGTAAACGAAGCGGCTCTCGATTGAGCGACAATCAAGATGGATCAAAAACAAAACGAGAAAAGGAGGAGAGACGCGAGAAAGAAGAAAGGAGTATTAGTCTGGTAAGATTCGTTTTTAAGTTAGAATAGAAAATTTCTTTTTTGAAATCAAGTGGTTAGTATCTAAAAATAAAAATTTCAGATTCGTGAGCTTCTCAATTCGAATATCACTCGAATCGAGCTGGCTTGGACCCGATGGGGAGAGATTGGAGAAACGAAACCGAAGAATGAAGTGCTCGTTTGAAAGCTTTATCCCTAACAAATCTTTTCACACGTCACACATATTTATCTCATTTTTGTGTCCATGGATTGCCACCCAAAAAATCGATCATCTCAGCACTAGTCTTTTTTGCATTGTCTCAGAATATTTCCTTTTTTGCTCAAGCTTGACAACTTGTCAACTTTTCGTTGAATACTACTTACCATATAGCTTTTTCCTCTTTCGATTGATGCCATTTTTCAACGGGTTTTTTATAGAATATTTGATTTTGAATTGCTTAACACGATCACATAAAAGTTTATTAGCAATACGAGCAAGGATTTAACCAAAATCGATTTTTGAACACTTCATTCCGTTTTCACTGGACTCAATGTTTTTCATTTAATCTATCGCAACACATGCGGTAGGAAAAAAAGGCAAAAAAAAGACAACAACGTGCACTTAAAGGACAGTGAAAACGAGACAGAAAAGGGGAAATTGACAGAGAAGACTCGGTAATCACATTGCTGAATGATTTGTGATGGTAAACACAACAGTGATAAGTTGTACCTACTTAAAACAAGCAAAATTGAAAGCTTGTTGTTATTGAGGTTATTCGATTGATATCCATACTTTATTATCAGAAACTTTTAACAAAATTCCTATTAGATTTGAAATTGAAACATTTTATAGAGGATTTGTGTAAGCTTTTTACATTAAAGATTCAATAATCGATTATTTTAGTTATAATAATTCTAGAAAACGATCTAGATAGCTCAAATTAAAAACAAAATCAAAATTATTCAGATTATTGACTCAAAAAAGTAAACCCTTGCTGGTTGCTCTTTTGTGTGTCAAGAGATGGATAGTGTGGTGGTGGTGATGGTGGATGTGAATAGAAAGAGAAAAGAAAAGATGGGGAGTGAGAAAAAGAAAGAGACAGAAAATTCAAATGACCCCGGTTGAGGTCTTTTTCTCTCTTTCTTTTCTCTCCACTCTCCACTCTCCACACGATGTACAGTCCCTAAGGCACGACCTCGGTCCTTCCTCGCTCTTTCTCATCCTTTCCCCCATCCATGATCACCCTCCTCCTCTCAGCTGTCTTTTTTCTTACCATTCTTTCACCTCTTGCCGCTTTTTTAAACTTTGTTTGAATTCGGGAAACCTCAAATATTTTTGGGTAACTCCTCCTCTCATGCTTCCATGCCGATCATGAAATTTCTCTTTTATCAGGCGTTCTAGATTTCGTTTTATCAATAGATTTCGTGAAAGATCCGCAATAGATGATAGGCTTAGGAAAGTGATTGATAATCTAATATCTAATATCTAATATCTAAATCTAATAATATTCTCTGAAATGATGCTTATTTCCTTTTCCGTCATTTTAAAAATCAACAAGTCTGAAATCTTGAAAAAAACTAGGCGGGAATTTCATACGTTGTTTGGCTGGTTAGATGGGGGTCCAGCTGAGCGAGTTTTGTGTACATGGAATCGCGGTGAGACTGCCCTGATAAGGTCTCCGTCTATTTGATTTTCAAGCCTTTTTTGACGATCTTCGAGTGATCGAGTGAACATGAGCTTTTCCTTTTCCCGTAAACACTCCCCATTTCCTATGTGCTTCATTCGTTTTTGTTTTATTGTCTCCTAGAAATAACTCTTGTTAGCCAATCCTCTATAGATCTTATGCAATTCTTCTTTCAATTTTACAATCCTTTCTTCCTCGGCTTCGTCGATAGATGTGTATTTCGCAGATCGAATCAAAAAAACATTCCCCTTCTCTTGCTTTCGATTTCAAAATTCCTTATCAAAAAAAAAATCCCGCATATTTTTAGTGCTAAATATTCATTTGAAATCGGTCTTGCATCCAATTTTTTTTGGCAATCTTTTGAATGCATTCTTTTCTTTTATTGATCATTGAATGATCATCATTGGAATTATTGATCAAAACATACAACTTTTCATAAATGAGATTCTCCATTTATAAAAAAGCAAAAGCTTATTGATATTCACGAGGGGTACCTCGATGACGCATTCATGAAAAGACCCCTTTTTTCATTTTTCTATCATCTTTTTTTCTTTTTGACCTTTTTCCCTGAATACCATCAAACCAGAACCAAAAGATCATCGTTTTTTTTTACCTTTTCTGAATTTTTATCTATCAAATCAAAATCTTTAAGAGCAAAATCCAGAAAATGTCATCAGCGGAAGACGATGAAACAGATTCGATCTCGCAAAGTTCCTCGATTGGTCCAAGAATTCACTTGACTGACTTGGAGTCGGCTCCTCGTGGCGGATCTGACTCAATCTCGTACTCTGGATCGACCAACAGTGAATCATCGGCCTCCTTCGCCGGCAATTTACTTGCTCATACGGCTTTTCTGAAGCCACTCACTCAAATCAGTAATGGATCGAAAACGGTTGTGATGAGAGATCGAGACGATTCTTTTCAAAGACGCACTCCCGAGCGTCATTCTGCTCATTTTGGTACCACTGGTCGAGTCGAGAATTTCGCTCTTCGACGTAGCCCGAAAAGCCCGAAAACCGGGGATCCGCCGGCCAAATGGACTGAAGTGTTTGTGTCGAAAAGAATCCGCAAAAAGATCAACAATGCTCTTGGGTATGATCGAGAAAGTGCTGAGGTGAGGGTTCTATTTATCGCTTGCCCCAGGCAAATGTTCAATTTCATCTCGATCAGCTGGACTTTTTGCAAAAGTTGCTTTTATTTGGTTATTTACTAAATTCCACTGAAATTGATTAGATTGAAATGTCTTTTTGGCAAAATCGTGATAGATCGGTTCTAATACGGTTCCTATTTTGATCTAATACGGTTTCAATACGGTTCCAAGACGGTTCCTATTTTGATCTAAGTTAGTAAGACTGGAATTTAGAAGAAAGATAGAAATTTAGTAAAAGAGCAGGTAAATTCCACTTTTTTGTGAACTCTTAAAACGAATTTCCATTGTTTTAGACTTTCAATTTTCAGACCAGCGCCGAAACAACAGAAAGCGCATCAGCGGATTCAAAGGCTGAAGTAAGTTTATAAAGAAAAATATTCTGCAATTCGGATTTAGTTGAATCGATTGAGCAAAAAGGAGCTGGATGCACGAATGGAACAACTGTTACAAGAGAGAAATGTGCCACCGGAGAAAGTTCGCGATCAACTCGCGAAAATGCCTGATGAGGTGAAAAAGCAACTCCTCTTGGCCAACAATCGACAAATTTCGGAGACAAAAGTTAGTGGGGAAAAAAAAGTGAAAATCAACTCATCAATCAATTCAACTTTTAAACTTTTAAACGATTCAGCATCCAAACAAATTCTTGATGATGCTGGGACAAGGGCTTTCGTCACCAGTGGAAAACGTTCGTGAGGGTTTAGCCTCACTAAGAGTCACACTCACCTGTCAACCTGTGAAATGGGTTGAAGAGGTTTGGAAAAAAAAAGAAATAGATAGATATAGATATATTTTATTAGTTTGCTACATTGCAAATGGAGACATCAGAGGGGATGGCTACGGGTTTGGATCTTGTTTCACACACGATGAGACGAGTGATGATCTCGTTGAAAGAAGTTGTCAATGCAAGGTTTGAGGGGATTTTATTTATAAGGAGATAAAGACGCTTAAAAGCTTCTATTTGATGATTGTGACTACCGTATTTCTTCGAATAGAAGACCGGGTAAAGAGTATCATCGCGTACTCCTGCGTAGCAGCCCTTTTTAAAATTTCTTTTCTGCATAAAAGCTTTCAATGAAGTGCTATAGGGCTGGAAGATGACTCAAAAATACGACATGAGCTAACAGATTTTTGAGCCATTTTCCAGCTCTATAGCACTTGATTGGAAGCTTTTACGCAGAAAAGAAATTTTAAAAAGAGCTGCTACGCAGGAGTACGCGATGATACTCTTTACCCGGTCTTCTATTCGAAGAAATACGGTAATTCCGGAATTGTTTGGTAAATTACCATTATTATTGAAAGAAATCAAGCTGTAACATACTCGTGATTTTCTTTGCCACTTTAACATTTTAATTGCATATTTTCAATGCAAATTTTACAAACCATCCTTTAAAGAAAAACGCAATTTTTAAATCAAAAAAAGAGAAAGTTCTCCGATTTCATAGCGAAAATCTCATTTCTTCTTCAAAATCTCTTTTAAAAATTACAATTTTCGATTATTGCTTATCGAAAGTTGGTCTTAGTCTATTTTTGCAATCGAAATATTATTTTGAAGAATGTTAATTACAATTTCCTCTATTCAAAACGTTCAAAAAAGACTCCAACATTGGAGTGGGGTCAAACCAAGGACCACCTCTTTGACACAAACTGACACACAGCGCCTTAGACCACTCGACCACGCTTTTAGACCAGTCAGTCATAAGGGGAAATCGAGAGACCGCAGTTTTTGCAAAAAATCGCCCGTTTAACCCACAAAAGTAATTAGATTTTTGGAAAGTACATAAAATTTTAGATATAATAGTTAAATTTTGAGACCGATTGGTTTGGCGTTTTTTTTTCGAAAACAGCGGAACAGACAGAGACACATATTCTCTCACTTACAAGTAGGGCTAGATGCAGTGCCGACACAAAAGCTCACAAGAACTTTATATTTGAGTTTATTTAGAGACGCAAACCTTAACCATGCCGCCGTTCTACTCGGAATGCTCAAGGATTGCGTGCTTTGCATTCATGGAATCGCCAACACTTATGTAATAAGCAAATCAATAGATTCTTATGCGATTCGATTTAGCCGGGTCTTAACATGGTACTCCGAAAAGCGGATATATCTGTGCGAACGATGCTCGCCACTCTTCTCGATCTCAACAACAGAAGTCTAGAGGAGAATTTCGTTTTTCGGGTTTGTGATAGTGAGCAAGAGAAACGTAGAAAAGCAAGAGCTTTACAGAAATTAGCTTCTGACGTTGATGCAGCGCGAATGGAACTCCTAAAATTGATATCTCTTGTCACATTTGTTAGTGAAAAGCTTGTTCGTGCGACAAATGTCGATATGAATGGGTGAGTTTTTTGGAGAAATTTTTCTATTATCTAAGATCCCAGGTTGGACAAAGTGATGTCGGAATTGGGAGCGATCGCAAAGCAAATGAAAATGCCAAAATGGTGGCCGATTCTGTCAACTCTTGGATGTTTATCCGACGATCCATCAGCAGATGAACAAGAGTGTTTAGTGGGTTGAATCTCACTCTAAATAGTTTAAGATTAGTTTTAATTAGCTCGAAAAAGCTTTCAGCCTAAAAAGCTGATTGCCACAAGATGAACACTTATAGATGAGAAGAAAATAGAGAAAAAGAATTGAAAATAGACATAATTTCCTAGAAGAGTGAGAAAAAGAACAAAAATTGTGGATTATTCACATCATTTGAACCCTAATAGATCCAAATTTCGATTAATTTTAGCCAAGCCTCTACAATTTTCACATCTTTCTTTAAATATTTAGCTAAAAGTGTTGAATGTGATCAATTTCGCGATCAATCCGACACATATGATGAGTGAAGGATCGGATGATGGAGACAGTGTTGAAGAAGAAGCAATGCTGCAATGGAGAATGAGGATACGATCCGAAATCTTTCATCAAGGACTTGGAAAATATGAACAGGTGCAACACAGAGAAACGCTTGGAATTTGATGTTTCAGAAAATCGAGAAGTTTTTCGCGAAAAGCGAATTGACGCCTACATTGTCTCAATGCGCTGAGCGATGGAATGCTTATGCACAGTTGAGAGAAGAGGACTTCAATGAACTAGTCACTCGACTTGATACAATGTAAGCTTTGAAAATAGAAAAATAGAGTTCGAAATGTCCTTTTATGGTTGGGGAAGCAAAAATTGAGCGTTGCTGGGTTTCGAACCCAGCCGACCTCGCTCGGACCCTCGCTTACCGGGCAAGCGCTCTACCAATGAGCTACACCCACATGGGAGTCACTGCCCTCAGGACAAGGCTTTATATTTTACTCTGCAGAAAAGTCGATAACGAGAAGTACAACTCGATCGATGGATGTGCCAAGATATTGTCAGAGATTGGAAAAGGCTCATTAGAGGGTCAAGTGATGCAGGGTCTTCTCCTATCTATTCTTCAACTTTTCACTCTTCTACCTGATAAGGAATCTGCTTTAAGGTAATGAAAGTTAACGCTAAAACCATTGCAAAAAACTTTTCAGAGTTGCCTATCTACAACTCATTGAGTCATGCATTTCTGAAATCGTTCTCCATAAAGGAGGCGTTCATCCAAATTTCGAGGAGCGTTTCGTTTTTGAAACCCCGGCTAGAGATATCATTGGTAAAGTAACAACAGCTTTCAATTCAAAACCAATTTCAGAGCAATTAGCCGACTCAGATGTATCAAGAAGACTAAACGGGGCGATTGAATCGAAGCAGATTGCTGTCGCTCGTCAACAACAATACTGGACAAAGCTGGAAGAGTTTCGGCTGGAGAGTGAAGCCTTGCGAAAACATGTAAGTTGACATGCTTAAAGTAATCTCAAGCCTTTTAGATAGAAGATCCATCAAAGCCTGTTCCATCTAAAACTATGTGTACATTAACTCCACCAGAAGCAAGTTCAGGTCTAAGAGATAGAGAAATTCGTAGACTTTTTTTTAGCGTTACCTCCAGTGACTGGCGGTCCACCTCCACCTCCACCGCCACCTCCACCTGGAAGTGCTGCTCCTCCACCTCCACCACCTCCTCCGCCGTTGCCTGGTACTTCAGAATTCTTTTCTAGATTATTAACTTTTAGGTGGTGGCCCTCCTCCACCCCCTCCACCCCCTCCACCTCCTGGTTTCAAAGGTCCACCTCCACCACCTCTTCCTGGTAAATCTAACTATCATGTTGACTATTCCCAAAAATTTTTTAGGCCTATTTGCTCCTGCCCTTCCTACTTTACCCGCTTTTCTTAAAAAGAAAAAAGAAGTGAAAATTGGAGTGGCATTGAGAAAACTTCCGTGGACATCAAATTTGGTTACACTAGTTAGAGTTTGAAAAACTAAAGTAACTTTCAGATTCAACCAATGTCATTGAACGAAGACTCGTTTTGGGCAAAAATCAATGAAGATCGTTTAGCAAATGATGTGCTATTGAGAGAGCTGAAGGTTTTTTTAAAAAACGAGATTAAAAAGAAGGAGAGATTTTCTTTTAGGACAGATTTGCAGCAAATCCAGGCATCGGAACAGGACAAACAGTGGCGATAAAAGCGGCGAAAACAAGCAAACAACCACAGATATTGGATGATGCGAAGAATCTTCAAGCTCTTGGTTTGAATTGAGTTTTATTTGAATTTATCAAATTTTAGCGATTCTTTATGGTTCTTCGAAGATACAATGCAAGCAATGGGTGAAAGCGATTCTAAAGGTAAGCTTTTTTTGTCTCTTTTTTATACTTTATACTTTATACAAGAAAATATACTTAAAAAGTCAAATATTCGGTAGCTAGACATCTACAATAGACCAAAGAACCAAAGGATTGAATAGTTAACGTACACTACTGGACAATGAGATATCATATTTGAAAAACGATCGTCACTTTCGCGCGTCTGTAGCTCCCTTGTCTTTACCGTATTTCTAAATATTAATATTACCATTGTATAGCCCTTGAAAAGAGCTTTCAAAAAATGTATAACACTAATAGTTTAAACTCAAAGACAACGGAGTTACAGACGCGCGAAAGTGACGATCGTTTTTCAAATATGATATTTCATTGTCCAGTACTGTAGTAACTAGATGAGTGAAGAAATCTCGTCAAGAAGATTGTTTAAAGATAAAGATATTCAAGTGTACAGTATTCTGAAATGAATGACTTCACAATGAGTTGACAATACTGAACAATCTTTAAGTTGACAAAGAATCATTCAAAAGGATTCGAGTGGGTAATTTGTTTCGTCGAGAAAACCTAGTAACTAGATGAGTGAAGAAATCTCGTCAAGAAATCTGTGTAGCCATTGAAAAGAGCTGTGTAGCCATTGAAATAGTTTAAACTCAAGGACAACGGAGTTACAGACGCGCGAAAGTGACGATATTTTTTCAAATATGATATTTCATTGTCCAGTAGTGTATAAGTTAACATGGTAATCTTTTGGGACTTTTAGGTAAAGACATTCTAAAGGTAAAGTCTTTTTTTGTTTGTTGATGGTTAATTCTCAGCAAAAGATTGCCAAAAAAACCAAAAAAAAACTCAAATTGGACACTCGAATGATTGGATTGGATTATAGGTTGACTCAGATCTCCTCTCAGCAAATACCCTCGAACAATTGAAAACAACTCTACCACCAGTTGATAAAATGAAAGAATTAGCAGCAGCGGGTACAACAATTTTTGACAAAATGCCTGAAGGAGAACAAGTAAGAAATGAGGTGAATGTTTTTAAAAAAAAAATCAAATTTCAGTTTGCTGCCGTTGTTGCGAAGATTCCAGCTCTTCCATTACGACTTGATTTGATGATTTTTCGATTAAGACTCGATGAATTAATGGGTGAATTGAAACCGGTAATTGGATCTTTAGTTGGAAATCATTTTTCTTAAAAATAGAGTATCTCAAGTGTGATGGAGGCTTGTGAAGAAGTGAGGAGCTCACGGGGATTTAAAGTTTTTTTGGAATTGGTTCTACTCTCTGGGAATATTATGGCCGCAAGTGGTCCCGCACACAAAGACACTTTTGCTTTCGAGATGTCCGTGTTACCGAAAGTATTATTAAAAAATTGAAAAAAAAAGAAGAAGAAAATGTTTAGCTGATTGACACGAAAGATGTGGAAAATAAGCAGACTTTTCTTCACTTTTTGATCAAACAATTGGGTCGGATTGCGGGTGAACGAGAAGCACGATTTGCATTTGAGGTTGAAATATTGAAGGAAATGAATAGACTGGATAGATAGACTGAATAGATAGGCTGGATAGATAGGCTGGATAGATAGACTGAATAGATAGGCTGGATAGATAGGCTGGATAGATAGACTGAATAGATAGGCTGGATAGATAGGCTGGATAGATAGACTGAATAGATCGACTGAATCTCTTTACTTTTAACGAAATAGGAGTCTGTCAATCTGTAAACTGTAATCTATAATCTGTAATCTGTAATCTATAATCTGTAATCTATAATCTGTAATCTAAGATTACAGATTGACAGATTACAGATTATAGATTAATAATCTGTAATCTGTAATCTATAATCTATAATCTATAATCTATAATCTATAACCTGTAATCTATCAATCACTAATCTATCAATTCAGGATTTCTATCATGTTCCAACTGCAGCTAGAGTGAATGCTGAAGAAATTAGTAAAAGTGTTCAACAGCTTAAATCGAACGTCAATAAGGTGAGTGAAGATGAGAGGCTTGTAAACAAAAATTTCAGCTTGAAAACCATTTGAATATACATAAACCGTTGAATGGAGATGATCGCTTTTCTGAGGTTTAAAATAAAGCAAAAAAAATGAAGAAAACTAATATGTTTAGGTGATGAAACCATTCCTACAAAAAGCCAAAGAGCAAGTGATGCTCGTTGATACGGTATTTGAAAGAAAATTCTTCAATTTTCAAGGAAATTTTACAGTTACACGAGAAGATGAAAGTCGATTGGCAAGCGTTGACCCGATTTTTCTCGTTTGATCAAAAGAAATACCCGCTTGAGCGCTTTTTTGAGGATCTTACGCATTTCAAAAAGCTTTATGAGGTAAGCAATTGAAATTTTAGTAATTAAAGAACTAGTACTCTTGACTGGACTCACTCTTGACACTCAGTACGGTACAAGATATTCGGATCTCAACATTGACAATCCTTTACAAGATATTTAGTCTTGATTTTTAAATATTCACTGCAAATCGTGAACAGGTATTTAAAGATGAAATCCGGTTTTTGAAAAGGGAAGCCGAGTTCCAATGAGGCTCAAAAGGGGAGCTTATGCTAGACGGGTTTGTCAGATGGTGAACGATTACGCGGCCGCACACTTTCGCCATCCTCGCCAGTCGTTTACACAAGGATTTCCCTTTTGCTCTGTAGATTATCGTATTCTCTCTAATAGTAGTGCACCCCGGCGAGCCGAGCTGATGGCTATTTTACGGTTTCGAAGTTTTCGCAGAAGCTCAACACTCTAATCCCACACAAGATCTCATTGTCAGCTGCATTTTCCGATCCCACATCGATAGGTTCTGATAAGCGGTTTTCGAGATTAGAGGAATTTAGGCAACGCTCAAGGTGCACTACTATTCGAGAGAAAAATGGTAATGCTTTTATAAACTTAAACTTATTTTGCATAGGATTAGATTTTATTGCTTTAAACTTTCTGTCTTTTCGAATATAAATTAGCTCGATAGGTTCTGATAGGCGCGTTTCGAGATTTCGAGCAATTTTGGGCGACGCTCAGGGTGCACTACTATTAGAGAGAAAAACGGTATTCCGTTGTAAATTTGTACTCGGGGATTTTCGGGGTACCAAAGAAAACATTTCGCTTCAAAAATAGAGGATAATTGAATAAAAAAAACACATTTAGGATGCTTATAAAGAGATCGAGAGTGAACGGCAGAAAGAAGAAGAAAAGAAGCGAATTCCATTGAAACAAGTGCAAGCGAGTAAACAGAAAAAGCCGTTTAAACAACCCGAAATCAGCAAGACACCGGCACTCAAGACTGGTTTGTTTTTTTTTTTAATTACTAGATAAAGGAAAGCATTTAATCTTATAAGGTTTTTAATTTAGCTCATGATACGGCTGGTGTTCTCGACGAGTTGGACAAGATGATGAACAGCGGTCTTCTTCATCAGCACACACCACGATCCAAATCGAAATCAAAAGCCGAAGCACGAAGTCGAATAGGTTTTTTTTTTTTGATAAATTTAAAGTTTTAAAGTTTTAAAGTTTTAAAAATGAAAGTATTTAGCCAAAGCTGCATTGCAAAGACAAAGATCGAGAGTATCATATGATGGAACAGAGCCACAGCAAACTGCACCGACAACGATCAACTATCGAGTGAGACGAGCCGGTCAGCCGCCGGTTCAGGTTTGTTATACAGTGCGGTGCAAAACCATACGCCACCCCCTAAATTTCAATTTTCTGCGGCTTCCGTGCCAGTGACAAAAAAAACTGAAAACGTAGTTAGATTCAGGACGAAAAATAACCCTTAAACCCCAAAAATCATCGACCTATCGTGAATAGGGAAAATGTAACAGCCAAAAAAAGGAAAATTCACCCGGTGCAAAACCATACGCCACCTCCCAAATTTTGGTGTCGTTGTTGCATTTTTGTTCAATTTTTTGGGGTTTAAGGGTTATTTTTGGTCCTGAATCTAACTACGTTTTCAGTTTTTTTTGTCACTGGCACGGAAGCCGCAGAAAATTGAAATTTAGGGGGTGGCGTATGGTTTTGCACCGGGTGAATTTTCGTTTTTTGGCTGTTACATTTTCCCTATTCATGCTAGGTCGATGATTTTTGAGGTTTAAGGGTTATTTTTCGTTCTGAATCTAACTACGTTTTCAGTTTTTTTTGTCACTGGCACGGAAGTCGCAGAAAATTGAAACACTGTACAATCATTTAGATCTTTTGATAAACCTTTCTATTCTAAATCTAATTCTAAATCTAATTCTAAATCTAATTCTAATTGAATTCTAATAAAATCTAACAATAAATAAACAAATGTAACAAGCTAAAGTCCAGCAAATTTCTCTTTACTTCCAGATGACGATGGAAGTCGACTCAGCACAGCCAAAATCGATTCCCTCCGATCATTTCCGGGAAAATATGAAACCGATTGGGTAATTAATTCAAAAACTAGGTAAATAAACTTGTAAAATTTCAGAAATCATCCCTCAATGGACTCTCGAGATTCGAGTCAAGATAGAGACATTTGGCAAAGACTTAAAGATCTTTAAACAAAAACATTTTTAGTTTAATTTAATCCAAAAACTCAGTACTATCTTTTATCATAATTTTTATGCCTTTCTCTGCCTTTTCTTTGCTTTTTCACTTTTTTCTTTTCATTACGGGTATTCCGAGCGTTTGCTCGATTTCAAAAAGGGTTCTCATTTTTTTTTGAATTGATTTTATTAGCGATAAAATGAAATGCAAAATCGAAAATCAAAAGATGTTTTCTATTTCAAAAACCATATCGATAAGTTTAACGATAAGTTTAGCACGATTGAATTCTTTAAAAACTTTTATTAGAGAAATAAAAGAACTTATCGATATAGTTTTAAAATAGAAATATAAGTTCAACGATAAGTTTAACACGATTGAATTCTTTAAAAACTTTTATTAGAGAAATAAAAAAGTTATACTTCTATTTTAAAACTATATCGATAAGTTCAACGATAAGCTTAACACGATTGAATTCTTTAAAAACTTTTATTAGAGAAATAAAAAAAACTTATACAATCCAATTTTTTTTTGTACGGTTTCTCACAAATAAAAACAAAAAGAAAAGATTTTATTCTGAAAAAAAAATGACAAAATTTGAATGAATGAGTGAAAATTCTTTCACCGAATTATTGTTAGAAATTCGTTTTTTTTAGTCGAATCACCGGTGACACAAAGGTTTACACATTTCTATACGTTTTACATAATGAAAAGTCTGTTTTTTTTTTGAAATCGAGACCAGAGTTGATCAGGAATGCGGGAAAATTTTGGGATCACAAGTTTTCTGGAAAAAAATGTTCAAAGAAAAAAAAAGAAATGCAAAAACGAATAAAAAGCTCCAATTGGCTTCAAAAACGAATAAAAGCTTGAATTGTTTTTTTAAAAATGCAATCATCTGTTTATTGGATTTAGACTGTAAATTGTAAACCTGATGCGGTGAATGAACCGCTGATGGGATGGGGTAAACCTGTGAATGGGGTGTATGAACTGTGTTTCTCTTGGCTTTCCCTTGGCTTTCTGTTCGCTTTCTTAGCTTTGTCTTAGCTTTCTCTTAGCATAGAGTAGCTTTCTCTTAGCTTTCTTGACTTTCTCTTAGCTTTCCCTTAGCTTTCTTAGCTTTCTCTTGGCTTTCTTAGCTTTCTCTTGGCTTTCTTAGCTTTCTCTTAGCTTTCTTGGCTTTCTCTTAGCTTTCCCTTAACTTTCTCTTGGCTAATAGTTAATTTAAAGCTACTCTATGCTGGAGATGAAGTCCAATTTAACAAATTTATTCAAAAAGCAGAAGTACAATCTCTGTTTTTTTACAGTAAACCTTAGAAAAGCTAAGCAAAAACAGTAGCCAAGAGTAACACAGTGTCATCAAGCTATTGTTTTATTCTCTTTTTGGTGTAAGGACCAAAACCAGTAATAAAAGGAGTAAAGGAATGTTGATATGAAAAGTAATTACCGTATTTATTCGAAAATCGATTTTGTCGATCTCTTTTTGGTCAATTTAGGTCAATTTAGGCCCAAAAAAACTGCTGTCTTAGTCAATTGGGTCTATATTATACATTCCGAATGTCCCCCCTCCTTTGCCTCCCTGAGTACCCCCTAAATGCCCCCCTTGCCAGAGGCATTTTGCGTTTTTCTCGACGCACAATTTACCGATTCGGCTGTTTTTGATTTCATTCGATGCGTCTAACTCTCCTCTATCCAATGAAATCAAAGACAGCCGAATTGGTAAATTGTGCATCGAGAAAAGCGCAAAATGCCTCTGGCAAGGAGGGCACTCAGGGGGGGGACACTCGGAATGTATAGTCTATATCTTTGAAAAGAGATTAAAAAAATAAATCGATCAAATTTGAGGTTGAGATGAATCGGTGGAATCGTGGGAAACATCAAAAAGAATGTTCTCATCGAGTGATGGCCGATTCGCTTGAATGAGTTGCTCTTTCAATGACAGCGCCTCCTTTTGCGCTTTGCAGAAACGATTAAAGTAGGCGCCTAAAAACATTCTCCAATTCACTTTTTTTTTTCATCTAAACTAACGAGCTTTTTTCCGTTCAGCTTCGAGTTTTGTCTTCATCATTTCCTCGCTATCCTCCACTTCACGCAATCGCACTCGCATCGCGTTCAAATCTTCTTTAAAAAAAAGGATTTAAGAAATTGTGAAAGAATTGTGAAAGAATTATGGTTGTTTTGCATTAAAATTTACCTCTTTCTTTAGCCAATAGTTCTCGTTGTGCCTTGAAATGTTCATTTGCCATATCGACAAGGGAAATGATCTTTCTCAATGCCAATGAAGATTCCTCAACGCTGACTGAAATTGTTTTTGATTTCAGAAGAATGGTTGAATTGGTTAAATCGATTGGTTAAATTAAAAACCGGATTGATTAGAGGAATTTGTGGTGGAGACAGCCGATGATCCGCCTGAGCCGGCTGATCCAGATGAGGCGCCACGCTCTGACATTTGGGCATCCTAAAAATGCATGCTTTTTTTCGAAAAATTGTTCATTTTTCTTTTTTCCAACCTCATCTTTTCGCATATTTTCGAGTGAATCATTGTCGGAAGTTTCGCTGTTTTGATTCTCGTTCTTTGTGAGATTGAGAGGAGCCGAATCGGTGGACAGACTTTGCCCTCCGTCTTCTTCCACATCCACTTCATCGGTACTAAAATTTATAATTGTTAGCTGTTAGCTCATGTTCACCCATTTCGAATTCACATAAATCTTAAAGGTAGCACAATGGTTTTAGATTCGAAAACAATGTTTATCTCGATTTTCTCTCATCTCGTCTCATTCGCATTAACAAGGCATTTACAGAGAAGATTCCCTTTCTTTTTCTTTTATTGCTTATAAATCTCGCGCGAAATTTCACACTCTTGAGTTAAAGAGAAAAAAGAACATCGAATTCGATGGTATCTCTCGATTTGCTTTGCCTTTTTCGATGAGAAAACGATTGCGAGCGGTGCCACTCTTTTCTTTTCATTGAAAAGAAGTCAGGAACAATCTCCGAAAAAAGAATCGTTCCTTATGTGACAAATTGTTGTAAATTGTGAGGAGTGAGGTGAGAGAAAAGAGAAGAGAGAAAAGAAATTGATGGACATTCATCTCCTACCGTAGTTGATGACGGGAGGGTTCGGAGTGTTGTTGAGCTGCAGCGACAGCCATCATTTGTTGAACGAGAAGTTGATGAGAAAACGGAAGGAATTGCCCGAGCAGCATTCCAGCGTTTCCTGATGTTGTGGCATTGTTTTGTACACTGTCAAGTGGGACTGAAAGTTTTGCTTTCTGAATTGATCATTTGAATAATCTATTGACTCTATGACTCTATTACTATTCGATAAAATCGATCGTTCTCATAAAACCCTGATTCCAAAAGATCTTTGGCTTTACCCTAACTGCTTCTATCTACCGTATTTCTTCGAATAGAAGACCGGGTAAAGAGTATCATCGCGTACTCCTGCGTAGCAGCCCTTTTTAAAATTTCTTTTCTGCATAAAAGCTTTCAATCAAGTGCTATAGAGCTGGAAAATGGCTCAAAAATCTGTTAGCTCATGTGGTATTTTTGAGTCATTTTCCAGCCCTATAGCACTTCATTGAAAGCTTTTATGCGGAAAAGAAATTTTAAAAAGGGTTGCTACGCAGGAGTACGCGATGACACTCTTTACCCGGTCTTCTATTCGAAGAAATACGGTAAATAAATGTTTGGATCAAAGATTTCTCAGATAATTTCAAAGATCTTCATACGTTCTCATTATCCTCTTCATAAAAAAGTAAAGATAAAGTAGATTTCTGGTGAGCGGATTGATCTTTTGCTGCGATCTTTTGCTGCTTTCCAGGCAATTGCTCTAACCACTGAGCTATTCAGTACCTTAACTTGCCTGAGAAAGAGAGAAAGATAAGGAGGAAGAAGAAAGGAAAAAGGAAATCTACTCTATGAATAGCTAATTAACCGAATATCCAATATTTTCTCACCATCATTTCTTGATTGTTTCATCGTCCATTCATCCATTGTCGCTAATCGTTTTGCCGGTCTTCCAGGTCTAAACAAGAGCAATTACCCAAAATCTCAATCTCTCAAGGAAAACCTGCTTGTGCAATCATCATAAAGTTTATCGAAATCATTGGCGGCTATCAATTTGCATCTATTGACTCCCGGTTGAATAGCGCCAAGTGATCGTAAAGCACGAACCTAAAGAAAATCATCTTACTAGAGCTTTATTTTTTTTACCTGTTCAACATTGCACACTAGTGGCGTAATTTCAAGACGTTTCAACTTTGTGTACACTGTATGCAGCCCACCAACGAGATTTTTCAAGAAAAACTCATAAGCCTGAAAAATGAGATGTTTATCGGGATTAATATTTTCTGAATACCTGCGGTAAACATATCATATCAATTCCAGAAATCTCAAAACATGCAAGTTTTTCTCGACGATACTCAATTATCTAAAAAATGATAAAGCTATGATAAAGCATAAAATATGATTTCACTTTAGCATTTGGCGTTTCACCGTTGGCTTCAAAAATTGGGAAATCGAAAGCAGCACCGTTAGAGTCTGTCGATGAAGCCGATGAATGCACTAAAGGAAAGATCAGCTTTAATGAAAGATCAGCTTAAAGCGAAAATTTACTGAAAAATATTACAAATATCTAATAAATATCTAACAAATATCTAACAAATATTAAAATAAACAAACTTTTATCTAGATGTTCACTATTTGGAGATGATGTGGCGACTCTTGGCGGTGAGGCGAAGAGTCCTGAGAGCGGTAATGGCAATAACGGTAGTCCTAGTGAGCCGAATGTTCTCACTGGTTCGAGCATCTGAAATTCTTTTCCTTATTTCTTTTCCTTATTTATTTCTCTTCTCATCGAGTTAATAAAAAGATTTTTTTTGTTCCGAAAAGTGCTTTGATTTCAGCGAAAACAGTGCCGAGTTGCGATTACAAAATTTCTTGCGTCACCAGATGAATCTAGAATATTCTAATCGAATTCCTGTGATGATATTTTCCATGGCTTATTGAGGGAGGGGAAAATTTCGCAATCGGCCTACATCAGCCTTTGTGTTGATGAGATATGGCTATTTCTGGCAAAGAGATACGCAATCAGTGGGGGATTTTCGTTAAGAGGTAAGCCGCTGCGGGTAATCATCCCCCCATCTTTCATCTTTCTTTTTGCGACTCCTTATAGCCTACTTCATGACAAACATCCTCCCAATCAATCACAGATTTGCTGATTTTACCGGTTAAGCTTTATCCCTATAAAATTGCCATTTTTCACTATTTAAGAGTTATTTTTCAATGCCCATTTTGTATACATCATTTCTAATTTCTAAATAGGTTTACCGATCAACAGCTGGTTGAACATTTGCTGAGCTGTTGAATAATCAACAACTCAGCTCGAGAAATTTCGAGCAAATTGTGAACAAGTGGAAAAAAGAAGTTCTAGAAAAGGTGTACCTTATAATCTAATACTGTGCTTTATGCACATTAAAGGCTTATCTTCTAATCTAATACTCAATCATTCACCTTACTAAAGGATTTTGTTGCTGAACTATCAGTGAGTAATGTAGAATATTATTGGTTTTCAGTGAGTATTGTAGAATATTATTGGTTCAATAATATTCTACAATTGTTCTACAATTGTTCTACAATATAAATCTATTTTCTATTTTCTTTTAAAAAAAAATCATTTGTTTTACGTAATCTAAATGAAATCTGAAAGGAATTTTGGGAATCGGCAATTCGAATAATTTTTGAAATTAGTGATAAGGGGGAAATCAAACAAACGAGAAACGAAAGGGGAAATCGAACGAACGAGAAACGAAAGAGGAAACCTTCTCAAATTCGGAATGAATGCACAAAAGAGATACAGAAATGAGACTATCGAATAAGTTTTTTCAGCGAAAACAAAACAATAACCCAAATGTATAGATGCACCTTTAGATACAGTAAGACCGGAGACAAAGACTCTGACATTGAGGTGGGAGAACGTCTCAAGAGGAAACGTCCACGAAACTGATCAATTTGCACCAATCTAATGGATGGATTATAGAAAAAAAAACTTTCATCGATTCAGACACGAGAAACAAAAAATGAAACAAACCTCCTTTTGAGTGAATCGAAGAATCGAAAGAAAAGAAAATAAAATAACCTTACCAACGATCAAAGAAATAACTTCAGATTGAGTGAGATGAGAAGGAATCGAAGACCGAATCTCATCGCAGAAAGGAAAAGAAAAAGCCCGAATAAATGAAGTAATCAAGGCTGAAGGGAACTTTTTCGAGAACAAGTGGAGATGGAGTGAAGAGTGAAGAAGAGAAGAGTTGAGGAGGAAAAAGAAGAAGAGGTAATCCGTGGGAGGATCCTTTTCCTCCCTTCAATTGTCATTCTCGGCATTTTCTCGGCGCACACCGTCTCACCTTGGAGATCTTCCCGCTTTATCCCCCATTTTGCCAATGTTAATTTTGGATCAAGTGTAGTTGTTGGGTTTTTTCTTTGAGTCTCTTGATTGAAGTAAACAAGTTATTCCAAGCAAATCTGTGATTTCTTATCACCAAGCAGTGACAAAGGCTATTTTAAAAGGGAATTACCGTATTTTCTCTAATAATAGTGCACCCGGCGCGTTGCCTAAATTCCTCGAAATCTCGAGAACCGCTTATCAGAACCTATCGATGTGGGGACGGAAAATGTAGCTGACGATGAGATCTTGTGGGGGATTTGAGTGTTGAGCTTCTGCGAAAGCTTTGGAAGCCGTAAAATCGTCACCAATTCGGCTCGCCAGGGTGCACTACTATTAGAGAAAATACGGTATTCTTTTCTTATTCCTTTAGAAATAAATATTCTATTCAAATTTTTTACAAAATTTGTCTAATTTTACAGTATGACAAAAATGAATAGACAGAAAAGTAGTGCTCATTTTGAAGTAAAAAAGAAATCAAAAAAAAAAGCACAGAACCGAGAGGATACGAGTGGAATGAGGTGGGTGCTAAAACATACACACACACCAAAAAAAAAGAAGTGTTTTGTGTGTGTGTGAGTGAAAAGAAACTCCGCCGAAATGCAAGAGATTGGAAGCGATATGGGAATGAGTGAATGAAAGGTTGACGGGCAAGCAGACTCAACCTCGATTTGGACCCGAGAGGTCATTACAAAGATTTCATTAAAGAAATTAAAGAAATTAAAGCATTTCATTATTCCATTTTTCTATAATTTGATAGAAATTGGTCCAAAAAAATGTGAAAAATTCGTAAAAATTAAAAATTAGCTACACTTTATCATTATGATCGAAAAAGTTGAAGAAAAACAAAAGTAATTGAGTGGTGAAGTTAATGAAAATGAAATGAAATGAAATCGAGAGTCTTTTATGAGAAATTTTTGAGTGTTTATGTGAGATAACGCAAAAAAAAAATGAAAAAAAGAGAAGAACAATTCCATTCTAAAAGTGCCATCTTCACGCCAAATCAAGATTTCGTTTTTCTTTCGGAAAATTCATTTCTTTCGGAGATTCATTTAACTAGATTCTTTTTGAATTTTATCACTGCATAAATAGATACAAATATACTTTAAATAGATTGTTTTTTATAATATTTGTTTAAAATTTTTCTCTACTATAAAGTGTTTGCGCGTTCTTTGTTGTCACACTGCAAAAAAAAACGGTGTTTGGCATACGACCGTGCGCCATGAAGGGATCATAAAGAAAGTTTGATTAAAAGAAAAATGTGCCTTTCAAATTGCTAGCTAACTAGGGAACGTTGTTAACTGATCGTGGCTTTTGACTCCGAAATAGCCTAGCTGATGCGGTTTTTCACGCTGATTCCGAATCTGCAATCAGTTTTTGCCAAACGCTTCTCTATCGTGAGATATTTGGCATGCAAGGTTTTGGGGTCTCTTTATAAGGACGACGCACTGGCTTCAGCCAACGATCTCAGTGGTGTAGTGGTTAGTGCGGGCGTCTCCCGGGCGTAACCCTCTTGGACCTCGAGGGTTCGAGTCTTATCACAACATGTTGTGTTTATCACAATAGGTTTGTGCTCATAAAATGGACGAAAAAGCGTAAAAGAAAGGTTGCCTTGTATAGACAGAGGACTTGAACCCTCGGGGTCCAAAAGGGCATACGCCCGGCAGACGCGCGCACTAATCACTACACCACCGAGACCGTTGCCGAAGACAGTGTGTCGCCGTTATAAAGAGACCCCAAAAACTTGGATGCCAAATATCGCGCGATAGAGAAGTGCTTGGCAAAAACTGATTACAGATTCGGAATCAGCGTGAAAAACCGCATCAGCTAGGCTATTTCGGAGTCAAAAGCCACGATCAGTTAACAACATTCCCTAGTAAGATGCATCCAGGCTATCGTAAGAATTCTTAAAAAATAATTGTCTTTTTGAAAAAGCAAGTACAATGCTTGTTACCAGAATGGGAGCCACCCGAAACGAGCGCAATACTGTACGATCCCACCATGATCACCCATTTTTCTCTCACGTTTTCAAATGAAATGTTTCCAAATCTCTTTCCTTCACTTAAATCAAAAGCTTTTCAAATACAAATAATCTTCTATTTCAAGTGAAATTATCGTGTGAAACTAGAGCGTTTGGATCCCTCGAAAATTAGTGTCGCTGGCCAATCAAAAACAGAATTGTGCGGGGAAATTATCGGTGATTTCAAATGATTTCCTGAAGCGAAAATGTACCAGAAGATATCAAATTTTGGGGTAGGCTAGTTTCCGCAAATTTCTTTGCGCAACTGGATCATTTGCACAAGTGGGTCATTTGCGCAACTTGCCATAACTTTTTTTCTAAGTGGGCTAATCTTTATGATTTTGGTTTCACTTAGAAAAAGTTATGGCGAGTTGCGCAAAAAAAATGCGGAAATTAGCCTACCTCCAAATTTTGACAGAATCTGTAAGTTTATTTAAAAAGAAAACATATTTAATGAAAGTTAAGGTGTTTTTGTTTGCAAATTTTCTAAAACAATGAGCCCCATCCAACCAAAAAGCCAACTATGCCAAATACTTTTTAATATGCATATTCATCGGTCAGAAATTTAGCGTAAAAATTATAAACGAAAAAGAAGAAAGCTGAGAGAAGAATTGGTCACTCGACAATTCTTTTCCATTATCAGTTCTTGGAAAGAGCATTTCCCCGGTTATGAATTGAAATTTCAAAGAAAAGAATTGTGAAAGAGTTTAGTCAAAAACAAAACAAAATTCATACAAATTTGCAATTTTTTTCTTAAAAATTGAACATTAAAAGGTAGATTTGCAATCAATGATCCACCTTAAACGAGAATTATAGAGAAATACAGAAATCTTTATACAGAAATACAGAAATCTTTATAGAGAAATACAGAAATCGCTTGCCAACTATATAAGGCAACCTTTCTTTTACTCTTTTTAATCCAAGATATCAACTTTAAAAAATCAACTCAACTCAACTATCAACTGTAGTCAACTTTAAAAACATCAATTGTAAATCGAAAAATTGTAAATCTTTCAAAAGAAAATAGTTGTCAGAGGAAAAAAAGAGCGACGATTCTACAGTACGATTCACCATTAGAAATAACGATTCCACGCTTTTCACGGAGGGACACAAAAAGAAAGTGAATATTTGGAGAGAAGAGGAATATTTATTTGAGCTTCATTCACATTATCACATTGAGAGCAAAGCGGGCGAATTGCCCCATTGAAACCGTCGCGATAATCCTTTTCATCGAATCAACGTATAGTCTAGAATCAAATCGTTGTACATGTATAATAATTGTGCAAAGTGGTAATTGAGATTAACGCGAACGCAAAGAAATATTCAAAAATGAATGCAGTAAAAT